AACACGGCAACCTTAGCTTTTCACACATTACGCGTATATTTTTGGAACGAACCTTAGAAAGGTCTGCGTCACTGGTCAGAAAGAGAGATTGTATTTTTACACGTGTGGTATGGTATTATACAATGCTAACACTGCTTAGATTGAACTGTTGTTGGCAGGTTGTGTCAGGATTCGACCAGCATTACACCCAATCAGAAGTGATTTCAGCAATTGATGGAATCCAGTATCCAGGCGGTGGCACAATGATTGGGAAAACTCTCTTGAAAGCTAAGAATGCTCTCTTTGATACCAGCGCACGTCCTGGTGTTCCTAATATAGCTTGTCTTTTGGCTGGCAGCAAGTCAACAGATAGATTTTCTGCTCCTGCTCAGGAGCTCAGAGACTCAGGAGTCACAGTCATTACCATAGGAATGGGTAATAGATACTGTAGTAAACAGCTAGGGAATATAGCTACCGACCCAAATTCACGGCACATGTTCAAAGCGGAGTTTGATGCGCTGGGATCCCTGGTGGGTTCCGTCGTAGACACTTGTTGTAAAGGTGAGTCTTTGGCTTAGTTTGATCAACACTTTTTTTCAGTAACTGTTTTAAGAAGATATTCGCATAAATACGTCTTCAGCTTAAAGTCAATCTCTGCATAAACATCTTCTCATGTTAATGTTAGGACTTCAACTGAGCGTTAAAACAGTGTCTATTTGGTGTATTATTTGTTAACATCAACCTAACCGCAGTCTATAAAGTTTCTCAGATGTTCAAGCCGATTTCGGCCATTCTTTATCATAGCCAAGATTTTTCGATAATTGGGCTGTTTAGCTAAAAAGGTAGCCTTGCTAGAAACCAAAGCTTTCGCTGCATTCAAGGAATCGAACATGAGTTGCGAAAAGATTTGCTTAAGTATTTGTTTTCTTTGTGACTTGTATTTTGGATTTTTCTCAAATTAACAAGTTATTCTCTCGTATACCTTCGTCTTATATTACATTATTATAAATATAACATTATTATAAATAATGATCTATAATTTAATCCATCAGCGGCAGGAGGAACAGTTCAGGCCTCACGTAAGTTTAAGTAGAACATAGTTATGGTTTCTGCGTAAACATAAATAGCCGACATATTTCCTGTCTTTGAACGTTAAGATACAACGTCTTTCAGTTGCACTGACTTCCCTATACCGCCATTTCTTATCTCCCTCAGTGTATTCTCCTGATATTTAAAGTATGATATCTATGACGGCGAAAAGAAAAAACGTTATAAAACACGACCCCATCAAAGATTCTCAGTTGGCTTGAACTTTTTTAGTGTGCATGAAGTATGTCTTTGTTGCTGCATGGAGAAACAAATTCAGTTAGCAAGTATGGGAAAGATAAGACGGACATATGCTTCTATTTTTCCTCTTTTCCATGAACCTTCATGGAAACGGTAGGCAGAGGGAGCATTTCTACTGGAGGCGGTGGCTACTCACAAGGAGTAACAGGTGGATCAAGCACAGGAGGCTCCAGTGAAAGGGGAAGCTCCTCACAAGCTGTAACTGTTGGATCAACCACAGGAGGATCCAGTGTGATTACAGGTGGAGGGAGCAGCTTTACTGGAGGAGGAAGCACATTAAAAGTTGGCGGGACTTCCTCCAGCGCTGGAAGTAGCAGTTCTAGTTCGGAAGGAAGCTCCTCGATGTCAATTAAAGGTAGAAGTAGCGGTTCCATTGTAGGCGGTAGCTCCCCGATATCAATGAAAGGTGGAGGTAGCAGTTCTAGTTCAGGAAGTAGTTCTTCTAGAATAATAACCGCGAAAGGTGGAAGCTCAAGCTCGGGAAGCAAAGTTATCTCAAGTCGAAAGAAGATGGTAAAGATCGGAAAAGTTGTTCTGACGCCGAAGCAAGGCACAGATGTATGGGGTACGGAAGATAATCTTGTTAAAGATGTTATTTCCGCTAACACTTCAGGTAAGTTTTTTATATCAGAGAAAGTATTTTAAAGATTTTGAGGTACTAAAATGAAAGGTTCACCTTGACAAGAAAGCTTAAGATACGAGATCAAAACTCATTGCTACGCCTTAAACTTTATTTATTAATCATTCATATAGTTGTGACCCTAGCTCAGTGAGTGATGGCTTTTTGACAGCCTACCTAGTTAAAAATGTGGTAACTAAGCCGTGATAGTAATCAAAACATTCTGGCACTTGGAGTTTTCCCTTCTAGCTGCTTTAACATGTTACACTTGAATCATACTCTTTATCTGTCTCGTATACTTTAGCTAACGTCCGACCAGTTGCGCTGTTCCCATTGAACGAGAGGTACGGGGCAACAGATGTGATTGGCGGAAACCTTGCTGGCGTGAAAAGCTACGTCACAACTGCTCAAGGGCCTTATAATAAAGAAGGTGGCTCTCTGTCATTTCTTGGAGCACCAGACAGTTTTATCGAGTTTCCAAACAATGGTAAACTGGATACAAAGGATTCATTGACAATACTGGCCTGGATATTCCCTGAAAAGGCGGGACCCATCTTTAACTTTAAGAGGGACGGGTGGGGAACAAATCTTTGGTTAGCAAAACCGAGAAAACTGTTTGCTCACTTTGTAGACAGAGAAAATCAAAAATCCATACAGCCATTGAAAAGCACTAAGATTGCACCAAATCGATGGAATTTTATCGGTGCAACATATGATCAAAAAACGGGATATGCTGGCCTGTGGATTAATGGAAAGTTCGAAGATTTTAAGCACATAGGCCGTATTAGACTGGCTACTAACTATCCAATCAGAATGGGAGCTCGAGTCGGAGATAAAAGAAACTATCGCGGACGCATCGCCTGTTTACAAATTTATGATAGAGCTCTTACTTCAAAGCAGATTGATGATGCAATTAATAATTGCAAAATTTATACCAGGCAACAGAAAAAAAATTAAGTTATCAAAAAACCCTAAAAGCCCCACGTGTGCTATTACTGAAAAACATGAGCTAAAATCCCTGTATAAGTTAGACACAGTCTATGGCATTTTAGTTCATCTCATCATCTTCAATATAATCACACAATAAACGAACCACTGATATCTATAGAGAAATTGAAGTCTAAAGTCCTCACCAAAGCCTATATAAGTTAAACACTTGTCAGTTACTTCGAATCTCAAGGGACAGGGGAAATATAATAAGTCATGGCTAAGAGCCTAAAGGCCGTGAGGCTAACTACCACAAACGACACATGACACCCTGTGATGGGTATGTAAAGTTTCAGACTTATTGTTTGATCAAATGTCACTCCTATCGAATCTTCCCTGATATCCTTATTCAAGAAACAATCGTTTATCAGTGAAGGCAATATTTTGCTAAATAAAACAATACAGTCGAGAAGAGCGGCCTACATAACCCTATGACCCCTAAGAGTGACTAGGATCCAGTTTCTCCTCACATTATCACCCCTGAATCACATATTAAGGTCAAAAGAATAAAGGAAATGATCACCAAGTAAAGAAGCTCTTGAGTGTTAAAAATATTTCTCCTTGTCAGCTTAGAAGATGTACGGAGAACAGCTTGGGGAATATGGGTACTGATGTCAGTCAGGGTGTAAAGAGTTAAGTGATGAACCTGACGTTGCACGTCGACGGATTCGACGTGACTAACAATCATAATCGCGTAAGTAGGCTTATACCCAGGGGGTAACAGACTTTCATTTCGCGTTGTAGACGGGAAAGTGAGGATAAGAGGGCTTTTTGTTAGTTGATACTTTGTTAATGCATATTGGGGAAGAAAATTCGATTAACATAAAGTATCATGTTGACGATCTTTTGAGAATGACCGGAGGTTTTGGTCGTTATCAACTGACTCTGTTTGCTTTAGTTTGTTTGGTTTCATTTCCCACCGGCGCTCAGCTTTCCATCCCAGTATTCTATACTATCTCGCCTTCTTTTATTTTACAAATAAATAGGCCAAGTTCAACCTTAAACAGAATTGATCCTATAATAGGAAAGGAGACTTTCTTAAACTACAGAAACTCATAGTCTGACCGAATGTCACTCTGCAAGCTGGCGTGATGTGTAATGAGTAGTTGTGTCACGCAGTCTTCTTTCCCATAGAGGCTGTTGATTTCCACAAATAAGAAAGAAGGAAGAAGGCGAAGTTGCTCTTGAAACATAATTTACTAGACCGTGTAAAATGATGTTGAGTAAGGATTTCGAGGTAAACCCGCTACAGTTAGATGTGAACCACAGTCTTTCTCCAGAGCAGCCGCAGTCTCCTTCAAAGCGGTTGTTTGGTCCCGTCACGCAGCTCTTCTGTTCCTTGCGTTGTGTTATGGGACTAACGGCCCAGGCCAGCCGAGCTTCTTGCGTGACCTGGGTACTGTTTACATTTGGCAAGTCACGTCACGAACACATGATGACTGCTTCGATATCTGCCTCTTTCTCGCCATAGTTATTGCGTTCATATACATTCTTTTAGATCCCTGGGTGCAGACACCATTCCTTTGAACGAAATGGAAATGGATGAAGTAGAAAATCCCGAGGAATCAACAGAGAATCGATCTACGAAGGAAATCAAAATCCACGAGTTCGATGACCTTCTCAAAATAACCGGTGGTTTCGGTCGCTATCAAATGGTTCTCTATGCTTTTATGTGTCTGGTTTCTATTCCTACTGGCGCTCAACTCTTAATTCAGGTGTTTTACGGCGCTTCGCCTCCCTTCGTCTGTGTTTCGACGTCGAGAAATGAAACATGTGCCTCTGGTTGCTGTTCAAGTTGCCATGAGTATGAATTCCGTGGCCCTTTTACCAGCGCTGTCTCTCAAGTAAGAAATTGTAATGTTTATGCATGTTTTGTTTACCGAAGATTGCCGAGAAGTAACTTTACTTGATTTAGCTCCATGACTTTGAGTATTTGCGGTATTTACGAGGAAGTGTTCTTGAATTTGCGTCGAAGTGTTTTTAATGATTCTCTAGTAAATAAACCCTTTCGTGGCATTATCAACTTTTGACGTGATCAGTTAGCGAGAATCTCTCGACACTGTACAGACCAGTTACATAAAATGAGTAAAAATTACCGAATTTGAGAACGATATTTTGAGAACTAACGACTATATAACTCTGAAAAGTCGGAAAGCTTCACAACTCGAACCAACATTTGTTTAGGTAGGGAACACAAACCTCACCTTTACTGTGTGTAGACGTTCGCAAAATTTCGCCACGTGGCCCTTTTTCCATCGGTTCTCGACAAATTGCTCTCAAACTTGGCCATATTGCTGATTTCATGGCGCAATTTGCTGCAGTGTCGATGAATTGCTTTAAACTGATCCATAGTGGTGGTTGAAAAAATCAAGTTGAGCGTGTTATCTTATGTAATCTGCGACGTAATTTGCAATAGGTTAGAAACGAGGCTAATTTCAGCATGAAAGGTTTCTGTAGGGTCTTAACAACACCAGTACAAATGTCAATCGACTGTTCATATTGAAGCCAAATTCCTTTGCTGTAAAGCTTATTTTTATATTTGTATTTGTAAAAGACAGCAAAGTGCAGGCGAAGTGCTATTGAGACTGGCAGGTAGAGAACCCAAAATGCTTGTAGTGCACTCAAGATAATTGTCGGGTAAGAAAACAAAAGGCCTCAATTTTTTTTCTTCTCTTATATGTCATGTTTGTTATATTTTCAGTGGAATCTAATCTGTGACCGCCGACACCTGAAAGCCATGACTCAAGCTGTTTTTATGGCTGGTCTCTTCGTTGGTGCAATCACATTTGGTAGCATCTCGGATCACTTTGGAAGGAAGTTCTCTTTCTTCTTGAGCGTTGGAGTTCTGGTAAGCAACAGGTACAGTAAAACCTGTATCAATGGGCACTGTCTCAAGCGGTCACCCTGTATTAAGCGATCAGCTGTCAAAGTCCCGAATTTGTTTTCCCGTAATCTCTGTAATTTTCACCTCTATTAATCGTTCCCAACGGCCTGTTTTTAATTGTTTTCCGCCGGTCTTCAACGTTTCTTGAAAGCGAGACTATTTAAATAAAATTAAGAATAATCTTTCAAATAATTTTGATACCATGTTTCTCTCCCAAAGTCAAAGTAGGTAGTATTTTTAGCAATACTCTGTACATTAAATGTCAATTATGGCATTAATTGGCATCGTTTATCGTTTCTTATAAAACGCTAAATCTGTGCCGGAACCTGCATTAAGCGCTCACCCCGCTATCCCCGTTGGAAGTGGGAATGCCGCTTAATACAGGTTTGATTGTCGTCGTTTTACTACAGTACGACCATTTCTATGACGATGATGACTAACTTTCATTTTTTTCCCATTCACAGGCTACCTTCGCCTCGGCCTCTGCTGTCGCGGACTGTCTGTCGCTGTTCTCTCTGTTTCGCTTCTTTGCCGGGGCTGGGACCGTTGGTTGTTTATTGGTGCGGTTCGTGTATTGTGTGGAAATGGTTGTCACAGCTCATCGCTCGTACATAGGCATGATCAACTTCCTCTTTCTAACCGTTGGTGGATGTTTTCTCGCTTTACTTGCTTATTTAATACCAAACTGGCGTTACCTCATGCTTGCAGTGTCGTTACCAAGCTTCCTCCCCATCATCGCCTGGTGGTAGGGGACCCGTCATTATTCATTATTCATCACGGGAAGGGGGGGGGTGTGGGGTGAGGGGTCACAAGAACGAGTGACGAAGGTGCGGGACACACAACAGAGCGAGGCTCCAAATTAAGTTTGCCCTGAAGAAAAATACACAAATACTATATATGTAAACATTAAAAACATCATAAGAAGTATAAAAATCCTATTTCCAAAAAATCATAAGAACGAATCGCTCCCACAGCTGATAAAAAGAATCAGTAGCAGCAGTTGTCAGCTAATAGAAGGATTTTGGATTTGGATTTTGTGTCACAATAACATTTACCTGATCATTAAGCTCTGTAGTTTTCTAATGATCCTGCCTCAATGGCGGCCATTTTCTTTATAGCCCCCCCCCTTTTTTTCTCTGTTAGCGACGACTAATTCCTCCTCGATTCCCCTTAAAAACCATGTGGTCTCCCAAAATCCTCCGGGCCCCCCTCCGCGCCAGGAGATATACGATGACTGGTGCCCAGGCTTTTCTCAAGGTCGATCATTTCTTTTCTGATAGTTTACGACACAGTGATCCAGTCCAACTAGAGAGGAAGACAATTGTACAGTCTAAGAGCTTGATTTTGACTCTTATCCATTCCCTACTAAGCATGTTTTAGAGTGTGATTAACTTATTTTTTGTGGTCAGTCTGATTCGGTCTTACGAGAAATCATTGAAGTAAACTCCATGGAACAGAATTGACAGTGAATTCACAAGTGTGCGTCTCAAGTCCTTTTAAACGTAGTATTCATTTTCTTTGTTTTTAAGGTGGATACCTCGCTCTCCCCGGTGGCTGATCGCCAACAATCACCTTGACGAAGCTCACGAAGTGTTGATGAAATACGCTAAGTACAACCACGTGACCGTGGATTCGAAACACCTAAAACACTTGATTCAAGAAGTCAGAAAGACCGATGCAAGAAAGTTTGAAGATGAGAAATATGGAATTCTTGACACGGTGAAAACTCCAAAGTTACGAAAACGAACTCTGATAATGTTCTTTAACTGGTAAGAAGAAGCAGAAGACAATGGAGGGACTTTAAATCAAAGCAGTCTGTCTAACTCCTTGCAACTTGTATAACTATACAGTGGTTATGTGAATACAAAACGTATTTTGACAACTGTTGCTGTTAAAGCTACAAAATGTGACTTAATTTCGTAAGACTACAGTCGTTGTTTCTTCCAAGTAAATATTCCCGTGTTAAATGATTGAAATATGGGTGAATACCCTGCCCGAGCATTTTTACGGTGTAAACAATGGTTTCTTTTTTGCATGTCATTCATGAATGTGACTCTTTGTCTTGTAGGTGCGCAAACGCGCTGGTTTTCTATGGCCTCAACTACAACATTAGGAATCTGGCTGGGAATATGTACCTGAACTTTTTTCTTCTCCTCGTGGTAGATTTTCCATCCACTGCATTATGTTGTTATTGCTTACAAAGGTACGAAAATGCCTTCCTGAATCTAAGATCACGAAGTTTCGTGACTTTCCGAAGCGATGATTTATCTTCAATTGTCTTTTGATGTGTTTCTTCTGACCCAGGTTTGGTCGACGTCTAACGTACTCTTCATTCATGACGCTTGCTGGGGTAGCCTGTCTGTTAGCTCTGGCAGTACCAAGTAGTAAAGGTACGTAATAATGTTTAAATTCGTAGAACAGGGATCCACGAGTTGTCATGAAAACCGTAAGTCCATTCAGCGTAAATCACGCCAGCGATTACTCACGCGGACAATCGATTTGGAGAGGCGCTGGCCTGACAGTTTGTTCGCTCAAGGGGCTCCGGGAACAGGAAGAAATGCTGGGAGGAGGGGTGGGGTGGGGTGGGGGTTATCTACGATGGACTAGCGTCCTATCCAAGGGGAGAGGGGAGTCTACAATACTCCCAGACGCCCTGCGCTACAGAGACAGAGATGAGCTTTAACAATTCCAAATAGACGAGTCAATCTCCTATGTACAGTTCTCAGTCACCTGTTTTAGAATAGTTTGATTTTGTGGATGTTTGTCTTACCCTTGCAGTTGTTTTCGAATGTGTGTTAACGTGTCGATTGCGTGTATTCATCTCATTTTCGGTTTCTCTGTGAAGCCGATCACATTTTACAATTAACTTCAAAGCATTGAGGAAGTCGTGTTATTTTTTTTCCCTAGAATACCAAGTTGCTGTCATCGTCCTTGTGTTGTTTGCAAAATTTTTCATCATTTCCACGTTCAATTCTGTGTATCTATACACGGCGGAGCTTTATCCAACGGTGATCAGGTATGATATTTGATTCAATGATAGTTCCATTACCGAGCGCGGGTTGAATGCGAGATCGTGTATAAAGTCAGTTTGGCAGAGACAACATCATGAGAAATGAAATGTGTGTTCATAACCTGTACAGTGTACAGGTTATGAACACATTGGTAAGGTCACTAGTGTGGTATGCTTTTTGATAATTTCAATGTGGCATATATATTTAATGATAATACTGATATTAATATTTACGATGATGATAACAATGATGAAAACAATATCGATAATGAAAAGAAACAATGATGATAATGATGATGATGAGAATGATATTTACTGCTTTTCTTGTACAGAAACAATGGCGTTGGACTGTGTTCGATGATTGCCAGGATTGGTGGGATAACTGCTCCATATGTTGTTTTACTGGTAATGTTTCCTATTTTATGGTTAGACCACGAGGAATTTGATTCGTTCATTGCAGACGTAGCCTTCACCAACTTTGGTGCACGCATGCCAATTTTTTAAAATCTATTATTAGTGTATACTACTCAGGTGAATGTTGCTTTTCGCGCGCGTTGATTGGTTAGCTCAGAGATAATAAGCGGGAACTATTCTTCTCCTCGCAGTCGAAGAGACTAAATGGTGCGCTGAGTGTTATTAAAATGCCCGACCTTTTTTTTTCAGTTATAGCCAGAAATGAGCTTATTATTTGGTTCTTGTGTGATATATACACTTAAACAATTATTTACCCCACCGTCGGTAATTATATTAATAACTGTGAAGTGTAACAGAAATGTCTAATAATCAAATTTTTCATTGTTGATTTTAAGGCTGACCTTCCAAATCTGAGAAAAACTTTTCCTTTGTTGATATTTGGAGCCTTGTCTGTGGCTGCTGGTGTAATGGCCTTCTGGCTACCAGAAACTGTGACGAGTGAAATGCCACAGACCGTGGAACAAGCGGAGGCATGGGAAGAGGATTATAAGATCTACTGCTGTCGAAAACCTAGAATCCAGTCTCCTCGCGGTGAAGTAGTGAAAGACGAAGAGGATACAGCATTAGTGTAGTTCATTGTGTAAATGGAAAAAGCTAAAGAACATCCGTTTTGATGAGTTCTTGCGAATCATGTTAACGACACAAATTGTTTGCAGTCAGTGGTCTCACAAGGCCACAACACATGCATCGCATTTGTTATTCCTGTAACTCGTCACTTTTTATCGTCCTCGTGTTTACGTAGACAATTTTTTTTCTATTTTCTTACGTTTTACGTTTGATGTTAGTATCGGATGGTTATGAGAGACCCTTAATAAAATCAAGTTCACGCTTTTACAGTTAGGATAGACTGTCTTACCGTACTACATTATTGATGCAATTTGGCTATTCTCCTTACAGCTCCATGAGATTGTCTCTAAGCGTAAACTTTATTAACTTAATACAAACATATACTTAGAAGTGTTGGAGCGGAAAATTATCGGAAGTAACATGGTACCGGTCAATATCACCAGTCCACACCGGACTTATTTCACATGCACTGGTGAACATTTTTTGACTCGACATAGCAGAACACGGTTAGCTGTCAGACACTGGCGTGGTGTGATTTCCATTTTAGACTCGATTGAAATAAAACATTTTCATTTTTGTTTGAAACGACTGTTTTATGGTGAAAATTACCTCAGAATAAAGTCAGCCATTCCTTACCGCAGTACACCAGTAATCAGCGGATTACTTTTCATTTCGGGCGTGCTGCGCCTACTGAAGCTTGCCAAATCCTAAATTTGACTTTGCATTATTCACCAAACCTATTCGGGTCAACGAATTGTGATGTCAGCTCGAAGACATTCCATATCACTTCGGACCGCAAGCGTTTTCGCTGAAGTTTTAGCCGATCTTTCTTGTTTGAAAAGATTAATTCTATCTCTAATATTTTGTTTTGACGAGTCGCTTATTGGAGGAAAGGATGTGCAAGTAGACACCTGTTTTGCCACCATAAAAAGGTAATGTGTACTTCATAACAATCGACTGTACATGCTCCAAGTTAAATCTAGTAAACTAAGAATGAAAAAGTGCTGCGATATTTTGACCATATTTTACTAATCACGTGAAATCTAAGGGTTAAAATGATCTCCTGCAAACATCTAGACTTAAACTTAGCTTTCGTGAAAGGATGATTAATTTTGCGTAGTTGTCAAAAACGCCCTGCTGTCATTTCACCTGTTCGTTTTGTTTAAATATAGAAATTATTTTAACCCAGATTTAGATAAGTTTTATTTTGTGGACACCCCTGCCCTAAAGCGGAATTCACTTTGAATTTATTCCTCTTTTGATAGATGGGGAATGCAGTTTTTTGGTAGCATAGGAGCTGAAAATGCACAAGAAGAAAGCGGGGAAGTTTTTGTTTATTCCTGATAATTTGGTGGTTGTACTGTTCTTGATTGCCCTTATAAACATTGCTTCAACGGTGGATTTACGCAAATCATTACCAGGCAAGGGTAAGTGGCACTTAGTTTCCACTTAATCAAAAGTAGATGTAACACGATACCGTCAATCCAAGTGAATTTCCAGCATGAAACATTGTCCAGGTGTCTTCAAGGAATTAGTAAAGCTACCAAAACCGATTTACTCGAGAAAGGGTGGAGACGATCATAGAATGAGGTGAATAATTGGATCGATATGGCGCTCTTAATCGCCAAAACAGACAGCGTTAGGCACTTCAGAGGAGAAAAAAGTAGAATTAAGCATTTCAACACAACAGGGAAATTAGTGAATGAGCTGGCATGTGGTTGTTCAGGTTAGTTATTGTAGGTGCAAGGCGCGCAGGGCGTGCGCAAGTTGAAATGCCACGCTCAGTTGATCAAGACCCAACTTACTACGACTTTATATATCTAGTCTGATAATCCTTTCAATTCTCCGCACTGTTTGCCTGACATTTCTCATGCTTTTAGATAGAGTTTGGTGTTAAATCAAACGATATACCCCAGATAATATTTTTTTCTTAATACTCATTGCTTTTCTGTGTAAAAATGTACTGATATTTAAGATCAATGTCATTACCTGAGCATCTACGCACTTACCCCTTCCCTAACGCAACAAAACTCAACTAATGACAAGTTGAGGTTGATGTTGGGTTAGGGGAGGGGTAGGTGCGCAGTTTCTCAGATACTGACATCGATCCGACATTACAACGAGAAATTTTACTCCTGGGGGTGGAGGGGTTAAGCAATAGGCGTTAACGGATATGGAGACATTGCTTGATTTGCCAAAATTATTGCAATAGTGCATGGTTGTGAAATGAATTGGGGTCTTAAACTTACAGAAAAAGCGCCAGACTTGGATACCATTATAGAGTCTCTTATTCCTGAGGAAAAAAGGACAGTGAAGAGGCAACAAGGCAAGGGTAAGTGATTTATCTAAGTTTGAAAGCGTTGCATTCGGTATTGTGTTCCTTGAGGGGCTTGTTAGATACTTTTTAAAGTCATGCTGGCTTATTTCAACATTCACTGGTCGTATAATCAATTGGTCTATTCATTCGTTCACCTTTCCCTTGATCAATAATTATACCTAAAGCCTTTTGACAGTGTGCCTAAAACATTTTTACACTAGATGTTCCAGATGACAGTGATAGCGACAATGAAGAAATAAACGAGCTCAGCCGCCTCCAAGACCCAGGAAGTCAGGACCAGCAGGTTGGTGGAGCTATCAATGAAGGCGATGCAGGAAAGATCAAGCCCACGATTGACAACTCCATGGTACCGAGTGATCAAAACCAGTCTTCCTCAGATACATTAGCTAATATAAGTGAATTTCTCAAAACCAAGGAAGGTGAAACTACAGTTCCAGGTAACCAAGTCCAGTTCGTTTGCCATTGTTGTTCACGTGTTATACTGATTTATGAGTTTAATTAGGAATCTTTGGGGGAATTAACCTCTAAGAGTGACTAATATCTTATTTCTTCTTACAATCACCACTGAATCAAAAATTAAGGTCACAATTTTTAAGGAAATGATCACCACCTCCAGAAGATCTTGATTGCTAAACAAATTCTTCCTGTCAGAGTCTTAGGAAAAGTATGAAGAACAGTATGGAGATTATAAATACTGATGTTAAGGTGAAATGGTTAAAACACTTAGAAAAGTTTGTCTTGCTTTCTCTCTGTTTTATTATAGTCGATGGCGACTTCACTCTCTGGACCACGTGGTCGTCGTGTCCTCGTGCCTGTGGAAGAACTGCGTTGAGATCACGTGAGCGGTATTGCACCAATCCAGCGCCCGCAAATGGCGGGAGAAACTGTGAGGGACCGCGCTTTCAACTTAAGCTCTGTAAACTGAAGCAGTGTACAGGTATGTAGGCATATCAACTGGGAGGCTTTCGAAATACCTTTCTCCTACATCTTTAGCTCTTCCCGTATTCAGTAGGAGGATAAATACGAACAGGATTGGATCATTTCACATTCATTCCTTATATGGTTTTCCTCTTGACACGACTTAGTTGACGGTGGCTATTCGGAATGGTCGGATTGGACTTCTTGCTCTCAGAAATGTGGACAGGGAATGAAGAGACGACGACGGTATTGTAACAACCCGACACCAGCCAACGGGGGACAGAAATGCAAAGGAGCAAGGAAGCAAGTTAAACCTTGCTATGGTAAAAAATGCCAAGGTTCGTGTTATAACTCTTTTTACACTCCTTACAATTAGAGGTAACAACTAAGGTAATTTTTTTTACTAAATATAATACCAATGCACTTGTGGGAGAAACTGTGTTGATCAACTTTTTTTGGATGGAAATGAAAAGCATTGCTCTAGGATACATGTTCTAGTCATTGGATGTTGACATTTTGTTTGTAAAAAAAGAAAATAATCACGCGCCCAACGTGGGGCTCGAACCCACGACCCTGAGATTAAGAGTCTCATGCTCTACCGACTGAGCTAGCCGGGCTGTATTCTTAAAAGATGAGTTACTAAACTGGTATTTGTCGATCTTCGCCAAAGTTTAAAGTTATGAAGTTCAGAGATTAAAAAAAAAAAAAGGAATTTTATAGAATGGGAAAACGCATAACTATTCTGTACATCACCTTTCAGATCAAGATTCCATTGTGGATATAGACCCCCAGACAGTGTGTGGTTACAATCCATGTAGGGTGGCAAAGTGCATATTATTACCTTATGCTACATGTGTCAGTGACTTTAAATGTCGGCCGGTGTTCTTCGACTCTGAGGAGAGGAAAGTTTCGCAGTGTACAGGTAATATTTTGTTAGTTTCTTCTTTTGAGTTCAACGATGATGAAGAACTCAGCTAAATGCATTTTCTTTGTGCTCGTCAGGTGATAACTTGTACCTAAACGTGGACCCACAGGCCGTGTGTCGTTTCAATCCATGCAAATACACCACGTGTATTCAAGGCGCGGCTGCTAAGTGTGTTGTGAACACAAGATGCCATCCAGTTTTCCTTGACGCCTTTGGGAAGACCATCAAATGCAAAGGTGTGGTGGCATTTCAAGCAAGTGTCTATTTTTTTTTCAGCACAGGATAATTACTTCTATTTTGGAAGTCGCAACTCCTAAAGGCAAAAATTTTAATCGCACAATCTAGATTTCAAAAACGACGGTCCCTGATTGACCACTTCTGCTAAAATGAAGCATATTCAAAATTGTCTAATTCTTAAATATGAAAAGATTAAAAAAACATTTTATAACAAAAATTTAAATGCGCCCAACGTGGGGCTCGAACCCACGACCCTGAGATTAAGAGTCTCATGCTCTACCGACTGAGCTAGCCGGGCACAGATGTAAAAGTAACCGCAAAATTAAAATCCGTTTTATCACCGAATATTCTCCTCGTGTGATAACCGGAGGTTTGTTACTTACTCGACGTAAAACCTGAATACTCCTTAACTGATAGGAAAATTTTTTTTTACTTTTGTGACTCCGATTAATAGAAAATTTATCTCCATTATATCCAACACTTCAGCTGTCAAATCTACTTCATTTTCTGTAATGACTTTCACAGAGTGATACGTCAAATCTTACTTGAAAAGAAACTATAACCTATAGTCTAAGAAATCCAACATAATCCGAAAAATAACGCCGATTTTCCCATGTTGTTTGGGTGTCTACCAACAGGGGTATTCAAGGTTCCTGCCAGGTACATTTGTGGATATGACCCCTGCAGTGGAGCCGTTTGTAAAGCCGATCCCACTGCACGCTGTTTGGTAGAACACACATGTAAAGCAATGTTCGTCAACTCGTATAATCAACGTATGGAGGGCTGTAAAGGTCAGTAAATACACCCATAGCAAAGTCTTCTCTAAAGAACTTAAGGGTGTTTAGTGACGGAGTATAATAACAATAACAGGAAAGTTGAAACTTGCTGTTGTGTTAGTTAACAGATTTTATGATACGCAGCTATGATTAGAAGACATATCCCGCCCCTATTTTGTGAAAAAAAATTGCTTTTTTTAGCGAGTTTCTTATTGTAAGGAGTTAAAAATACATTAAGAGCAGTTAACATATGTGGCCTCCATGATAGTCATTTACCTTTAAATACAAGGTAAAGTCGTGTTCTTTTACGATTTTGAAAATATATCAACACTTCAACGTAAGTTGAAGTACCACCAATATACACCATAATAACGACAAAATTCTCAACCAACAAACAACATAATAATTTTTTTTCATTTTAAGCTCGACACCATGTTGCCAAGGAAGAAGATGAAGAAGAGGAACAGGTGAACGATGACGATAACAATGATGATGACGACGGATCCCGAATCAGCAAGCTGATGAGTTCGAAACATGGCGTCGGCGTAAGCAAAGATAATAATGATGAGGAGGAGGAGGAGGATGAAGATGGGACAAACTTAGCCAAATTAATAGGTTCAAAGGTGAAGGTCAGGAAAAAAGGAAGCGATGACGATGAAGATGACGATGACGATGGAATCCGTATCAGTAAGCTGATGAATTCCCAGCTTAACCTCAGCGATAAAGATGATAACGATGATGATAAAGTTCAAGACAGTGAACAAGAAGCAACAGAGGAAAGTGAGACTGACGTCAGAAGTAAACTTCCGTCAAGATTTAAGCGTCCAACACGAAAGGAGATCGAGAAGCACAAGAAAAACAGATTTAAACACAGACAATTAAATTACAGTAAATCTCATCATAAACGCTGGTTAGGCAATGCAAGATAATCAGATCAGATTTGTAGTAGCTAGTGTTTTTAATTTGAATGGCGATTTGTAATTTGCGACCAAAGTTTGGTTTGCACGATGCATACTAAGTGCCATTGTCAATGCTGTTGCAATGCGCCACCTTTTTAGCCCTTCAATGACTCATGACCGGTCTCAAGATAAGCAGGAAGCTGTAGAAAAATTATCAACATGGAAACAATCACTTATAACACGATCTGAGAACTAACATACAGAGAAATAACAGCAAATGAGGAGCTGCTCGGGAAAAACAATAAACAGATCTGACAAGTTACAGGGGAAAAAACAGGAAACAGAACCGTTTTCATTTGATCATTTAATTGTTATTATTTTAGTCTTTTATATTACCAATATTATCAACCATGAGAAGTCTTTCCCCATTTCTTTTAAAAGCAATTGTACAAGTGAAGTTCTTGTTAAAACTACACAAAAAATTGTCGAGTTTTACAGGTAGTCACGGCGTTTTAGATGATATTGGAGAGCAAAATCATGAGCGCAGCGAGAAACTGTGAAGAATCTCTCCATTTTAACGTTTACTTTGTATTTTTCACAGATTTAAGTGATGAACACTTGCATTTTACCGATCGAAAAAAAGGTGTTTGTAGATTTAATAGACCTCTACATTAGGTCGATCTTAATAAATCGCATTGATAAAAAATATTTGTTAATAAAGAAGTTGTTGATAACCTTTGAAATGAGTTTATGTCTGATTCACCTCAATGCACAGTTATCTTTGGCTGAAGTATTTATTAGAACCCAGTTGTTTGAAAGTTGATTCGTGCTAAGCCCGGATAAAAAGCTCACCTTTAGTTAGTTTTCACTTCCCTCATATATTTGCGCATTTTATGATAAAATTTTGTGGGGATCTAATCAAGTGGGGGGCAAAACTTAGATAGATAATAGATAGATAGTTTATTAAGATATCCAAATTCGCAGCCTCCTAAGGCTGAATTGCATGAATAATAAAAAAATTTAACGTTATATACACATTTATAAAATAACAATTCCATGTAATACAGCTTTAAAGAAAAAGACTGCGTGAAAAAGTTCTACCGATTGGACATGGATAGAATAAATGTGTCCGTGTAACGATTTGTGTGCATTTCTGACAACGTTGACTTGCGCTGGTTTCTAAAACTGTATCTGCTAACGCTCTTGGGTAGCGATAGACGATGGAGTTTACGCGCAGTATTAGAGTTTATAACACTGTTTTTTGCGCCTGTCTTTCAAAGATCTGATGTTATACGATGCTAAACTATGATGATATGAAAGGCCAATTACGGAAAGCGCGCGTTTCTGTACACACTCTAGGTCTTCGCAATGCATGGTGAAAATACCATTGAATTAGATATGGTTACCCATAACATTTCTGCTTGGGAATCAAGTCCAAGTTCTCCAGAGTTAACGGTTACAGCGTCGAACTGGTGTTTGGTTCTCTTGAAGTCAATAATCAATTGTTTGCACTTATCTTGGTTCAGCAAATGATTGACGTTAGCAGACCACTGCTCTACTACTGTTACAGCGCATTGGATTACACTTCAATTGCCTTTGGGTACTACCTTTGCGAAACTTTAAAATTGAATATGGAAATTTCCTTTAATCCTGTGCTAAAACACTTCATAAATTCTCAAGATAATTTACTAAGAGCTCCAATTCATTTACAAATCACGTAGTTTACGTCATATCAGAAGTATTCGGCCCACGCCCCGTAATATTTGCGTATTATAAGATGGGACAGATTGTCGGAGGTTTAACGCCAAAATTCTAAGTAAGGAACCAACTTGAGCGAATTTTACAAAGCAATATCGTAAAAGTAAGGCATTTGTAACTTTTAATACATGGATATAAAAGCCTTGGGAAACAGGTGACTCAAATCAATGAAACGCATCGCTGTGCCCAATTGACTGAAACACTACCATACCATTGTCCACGATGTGTTTGGTTGGTTTCGGTCCCAGGAGCTCATTAAAGCTGCTGGTTCTTGTCACATAGCCTGACATCCATAGCATTTTAAGGATTTGAAAGTCAGCCAAGCGAACTATCAAAAATCACTCTCTACTACGCTTACACGAAGAGGATGAACCACGAAAATGAGAGGAAAGATAGAGGCGAGTGTCTGGTTGTATTTAATGACACTGCTGTACGCAAGAATGACTTTTTGTGGAAAGGGGCACATTTCAGAAGCCGATAGCAAACATGAAGGTAATTACTGTATGGTGCATGGTAGAGGTCGTGTATTTGATGCATTTGAACTGATTTAAGTAACAAATATGTACCACGGGGTGGTTTGTTATGGTTTGTTCATCTAAGATCGACAAATAAAAAAACAAAAAACAAAAAAACAAAAAAGCAAACAATCATTGGAAATGCGTTCAGTTGGTTACGGTTTTGAAAAGTCAGTCTGTGTAAGTGCAGGTTCAAGTAGGCGTTTTACAAAAGTTTGGCCATAACTCGTCGCGCAAACTGACTGTTACTCTGTAATGTGAAAGGTTACTAATCTCTCGCTATTCAGATGTACTGTTGAACATGAGATACTTTTCAGCTCTCTATCAGACATAGCTAGCATTACTCCGTCTAGGTGCTGGTCTAACACCACTTAACCTGTTTTCTCCCATGGTTAACTGAATGACAAATGACTCGGACAGGGCAATGAGATGTAACTAACCTCCTGCCAGTATTTTATTCAAGCGTTAAATTCGACTGGAATGTGGAATGGTTCTCATAATTTTTTCGCATTTGTTAGAACATTTGACATGCTCATACAGGCAGAAGTTTTCTGAATGTCTGTCACATGGAAATCCAAGTTATCAATCAGTTGAGATTTAGTTTTTTTCCTAAGCCAACAAGTTCCTTGTTTCATTCTCAACAGCAAATATTTCCTCAGGTAAATTTAATAGAAGAAGGGATTTTGTCAGTCGCTTACCGAATGTAGCTCTGAGGGGAAAACAAATCCAGTTGCAAGCTTCTTCAGATGAGAAAGTCGAAGAGATCGATGAAGCTGTGGTGCGACCAGCAACACCCGCCAAACCAGTGGCTGACTCACTCGTTGAAATTTTCGAGGAAAATTTTCCTAATAAACCTCAAGAAGGCAATTTTAATAAATCTCCCTTTGTAAACAAGAATTCTACTTTGACTTTCGCAAAATCCAAATATCTCACGCCCAAAGTAGTATTTTTACATAGTTCTTCTGGAAAGGCGCAGGTGACTGAAAAGATACAAAAGTTTACAAATGCTCATGCATCTTCCAGCAAGTCCAGGATTATATCGCGTGTTTCCATTCCTGGGAAACATGGACCGTTTAACAGTTCTGTTTTTTCCTGGCCCACCCGGATACCCTTTCGCGGATATCAACTTCAGACAATTGCCTCGGCGAACCAAAGAAATCATGGAGGGATAGTTAAAGCGAACAAGGCAAATTTGATGGATAGGGCAAGGAATGGGATTAATCAAGATGAACGCGTCGTTATTTTACATAAGCCTATTATCAGCAGGGTTCTGGACAATAATTCGAGCCTTATTCGAACGCTTTCTCCAAGCAAAGGAGTTATACATAGCACGCCCATAAGTCTTCCACTTAAAAATGTTCTACCGACCAATTTTCCTAAAGACGCCTCCTTTGAAAAGACAGTAACTGACAATGAAAACATCCATGTTATCAAAGGAAGTCCCAAGAGTGTTTCGCCACCATCACAATTATTCAGCGTCAAGAATATGTTGCCCGTTACAAGAAAGGTGGAAAATATTCAAGAGGAACCTGAAGTTTTTGATGGCTTAACTCATAAAAATATTTACAAGCAAACTAAAACAAGTCATTTTCTCACGAAAGACGGTCATGCAAGTAAAGCTCACAATGTCAGCATAGGAATCTTACCCTCAACAGCGAAAAAAGTTTCGTTTCACAAAAATCTGTCTGGAGAAGGCAAATCTCCACACGTTAATTTAAAAAGCGAGACTCACTCCAACCATCACATGAAACCAAAACTAGTACATTCCAATAATGTTTGGGCAAATGTAAAAAGTAACACAAGTTTACACTTAAAAAGTGGAACCGGCGTTGATTTGCTTAAAATTAAACCCAAGGACAAATTTCTGGTGGCTAATCATAATGTCACACGTGGTAAACATGTCTCATGGCCGATCGACGTCCACCTAGGGAGAAATGATACTTCCCTTAACAACACGAAACTGAAGGGAAATTTTACTTTTCCTATAAATCCTGCGGCCAAAAAACATTTTGATGACTTAATCAAGTTTTTTAACAGTTTCAATTCTTCCTCCAACAAAACTTCCACTGAATATTCCAAACTACAGCAAAGGTTAGGCAAGAACTTCACTTGTGAGGCTAAAGTCAAAATGAGACATCGTATTATGGAAGAGAGCCTACATAAAATATTGAAATTTATTCGCCAAAGGAAAAGGCCACACCCAAATGGCACTAGTGAGGAGCAGGGGTGGAAGACAGAGGAACCTCATTTGAAGCACAACCTTCTTTTGGAGAACGAGACGCGACTGTTGGAAAAAGGGTGGAGAAAAATAATAAAGAGCAAGGGATTTGGTTCCGTCAGAGGCTCACCTCTGATAAATAGTCACCCGCGATTGAATCACACAAAGTCATGGTCGACGAATAATAACTTAAGGATAAGTGCGGGAAATACCTCTGATGAAAACCTGCTGCAACTGATGCAAAATGCGAGCCAAAAAGAGCTGTTGCGACTAGAAGAGGACATCATTAATGCATTAAGCTTCGTTAGGTCGTGGAATTTGTCAAAACCGAACAAAAACGAAAGACCGCAACAACAGTATGGTACTAATTTCCATCATACTAAGTACAGCAAAAAGCATCAACATAGGGTGCACAGTGACAATTACCGACAAGAACACCATAAACAAAGGGAACCAGCTACTAAACAAAAAACGCAAAAAAAGCAGCTAACAAAACATTTGGAAAATACACTCGAACAAACACAGCTCCAGATTATGAGAAACATGAGAAATGCCAGCCGGAAGGAACTTTTGAAACTGGAAAACGACATCATAAACGCGTTGAGTCACGCAAGGTTGATAAATGTCACGCACCCGAATGAAAAACAAAGCCTCAGAAAACTTAATCACATAAATATGACGGATAAAGATGAATTAGAAAACAAAATTTCCATTTTAAAGAAGGGGAAAGGCCCAACTCGGTTATTTTACCACCAGCGCTTAAGACGAAATATAGTCCCTCCAGGAAAATTTCTGATACAAAGGCTTCGCATTTTGCGATCGGAGACAAAGCTTATCATAAAAGACCTAGTTTCGTGGAGGTTGAGGTCCAAGACGGAACCAGAAATTTACCGGTACATTTTGATAAGGATTCTCCTCTAAACATGGATATTGAATCAGCTGCAGAGGGAAAGCCGGGCTCAGGCGTTCTAGAGATGACAGAATTCGTAGATCAAGGTAAATTATGGGAATATTTAATATTTCAAAATAATAGAATTTAAGCTCTCGTTTGGCAATCTGCTTCGGCTGCTGCGGGAGTCCGCATTGATGACCAAGAGAGAATCAAAAGGAACTCAGTGCGCCAAATGGGAAGTCATACACTGTGACTGGAATTGCGTTACATGTCACGCTCTCTATTTGAGAAGCTTGGTCATTTGTTATTACATTATTATAACACCAAGTCTTATGAAAGGTTAGGAAGTCCGATCCATGCTGATCAGCCATTTTCATATGTTAGTTTACCTTGTGTATTTGTAATGTTCTAAACAGCGCCAGACAAAGAGGAAATTCTTGTGACAAGGTGGTCTGCTTGGAGCTCCTGCACTCAGTCGTGTGGAAATCGGGCCAAAAGGAAAAGAGTTCAATATGAGTGCTCATCCAGGGCGAAGGTAATTAGAGACTGCGCTGTCAGCGGCGACCAAGAGGAGACATGCGTCCTTAAGCCTTGCCCTGGTAGGTGTCAAATTAGTCCACAAAACTTCGCTTAAGTTTTGATGACTTTTCTTACTTACTACGAAGAAATATTATCTACGAGTAATTACTTTTGTATATTTTTGAACTCAAGTTCAATTATTCTGAAGCTCCAATGGCTATCTGTCGTCTAAGCTTTCTAGGTTAATACACAAAGAATATGAGGGGAGGGGAAGTAACTCAGACGGGGGAGAAGGCGCAACACAGTTTTGTACGGGGTCACTTATCTTTGACTTCAAAACGGTCTGCCAATAGCATTCCGTAAATTACGGGATGAAACACGATACAAAACAGGAAGTAATCAAAGACAGCTTGTCCGAAGACAGCTTGTCCGATGCAGTTGGATGATAACGATGATTTCAATGACGATGACGACGTGAACTTTTCCCATGAGTGATTCCCACTCTTTATCCACATTTTGGATAAAAAGGGTTTCGTTTAATTTCATAGCACTGATTTTAAGGATCAACCAAGCCCCACTCCCCCCTCCCCCGTACCCCCCTCCAGGAGTAACTCTTTGATCGCTAACCTTTAAAATTAATCATCGCTGATGTCATTTTTTTTCTCCTTCAGTACATGGCAGATTTTTATCGTGGAGCAAGTGGCACACATGTAGTAGAAGCTGTGGTACAAGAGGTCTCAGTGTTCGCACCAGATCATGTACAGAACCCCGTTATGGCGGTCAGTCTTGTTTCGGAACAAGCGTAGAGACTCGTCCATGTAACCGGAAACACTGCCCGGGTAAAGACGTCTGAATATACAATTATTGTTATGGTTTTTCTTTTATTTTCATGTTTCTTCTAGTACTACGCTTGGTTTTTATCCACTTATTAACAGGTTTTAAAAACTTTCAAAATGCTAATTAATCATTCTCCTGTATTTCTTTTACAGAACCCACCTCAAACACCTTATTTCTTTTCAGTAAACGGAGGCCTTGGCGAGTGGTCCAAATTCGGTCTTTGTTCAAAATCCTGTGGGAGTGGGGTGAGGATGCGTCATCGGGAATGTAATAAACCTGTGCCTCGATATGGTGGGACAGAATGCGACCCTAAAGACCTATTTCAGACAAAAGCGTGCAGTAACATCAAGTGTCCCGCGAAAACTTTGAAGAGTGAGTGCAAATTAATTTTCGTTTAATCTTAAAACTGAGTGGCTCACGAAGGCCGTTGCTGGTACTAAGTTTCCATGGCACATTCTACAAGAATGGGATAATATTTTATCGATGGTTAAATTTTGTCAGGTCACCTTGGCAATGTGCTATTACCCAATTATATTCCTGATTCGAGAGAGACACTGTAAGAGTTTTTAAGTGTCTTCTCAAGAAACATAACACATTGACCCAGCCGTGCCAAGGCTTGAACCCAGACCTCTCGATCAGAAGCTCAGCGCGCTAACCAGTAAGTCAGCGCACAGATTATGCAATCAGGCGCCTCTAAATAAAGATCGGAAGCATGCATTTTTTTTCATCACATGTTTCATACAGTTTTGAACTCATTGGCTCGAATACGCACCTTCCCCTCTCGCTGGGTATACTTTTGTTCGTACGCATGATTTTGAGTGTGTTTAACAGTTTTGGCCAATCATAGCTAACCATGTCCTCGTGCGTGCATTTGGACTTTGTTTTGTGATTTACATCATTTTCATTCCCTGGTTGTTTTCTCCTGTCGCACGCAAATGTAATGGCGATACTTTTCAAGATTTGATCGTCCGAGTGTGTCGGATTCAACATATCACCGGTTATTTAAGACCAGAGGCCTCTCAAATTGGATATTTCACTCTAGAGTTTCAAGCAATTGGATAAATTATGTCTCCCATTTAGGTCTTCAAGTTGCAAATGTTGATCCAAAGACGTTGTGTGATTTTAACCCTTGTGAAGAGGTTGGATGTCTTTATGACCCAGCAGCGCACTGCATCACTGATTTCGAGTGCAATCCTTCGTTCTTCAATCTCAATGGGGAGATGCTCCCGAAATGCAAGGGTACGTTTCACATGCAAAGTAAAAGAGAACTCAGTGACCTAACTAATTACATTAAACACCTGTCGTTCCATAAACAGGAACCTCGAAACTAGTTACTGTAAGGGTGATCGAGGTCCATTTTATCTCACTTTTTACCCCACAAAACGAAGAAAAATCCGGCCAAAAGTCAAGGGCAAGTCGTCTTATAGCTACTCTTTAAACAGACAATATTACAGAGCCACCCTAAGCACCCGTCGCCTAGTGCTAAATATATTCATCTCTCCACATTTTCACCTTTCATCACCCTCTGTTCTGTAATCATATGATTTGTATCTCCGAATCATATGATGCGCATTTCGACCACACTTAATCGCGACATAAGTTCGAAACGATTTGGAATAGTATCGACAGAACACACACATCGTAAGTGTAGTCTTATTAGCAGTCACTTCAGGAAACTTATACGATTTTGATCTGCATAATTTGTAACTATACTTTCAGCTCGAGGGAATGATAATTCTCTAACACAGCGTTAGAAGAATGGCCAAATTAAGCCTTTGAATCCTCAACAAAGTGGCGCACAAAGGTACAATTTAACTTGGATGCTTCATTTTTTTTTTAAAGGAATAGACAGCCTCTACTCAAAAATCCCACAAGTGATTTGCAGCTTTAATCCGTGCCTCTCTGAGAGATGCTCAGAAATCAGAAGTCATTGTTTGGTCGACCTAAAATGCAAGCCAGTGTTTATTGATGTCGACATACGGACTATACCGCCTCAGTGCCAAGGTGAGGTATTTTTACACTCAAAACGTCATGAGAGTTTCAGGAGAGAGAGAGAGAGAGTTACAGGATCGTGATGTGGGAATCAAGGTTCAACGACGACTTTCTCAGAGCAGTCATTTGTAAATTGGCCATAGATCAGTAATGAATATATTAAAGTTTGAGTGACAATTTTCTTCGCTCGAGTTCAATTGGTATCATGTTATTTGAACGAGTGCTTAAATATATTTAAAGTTTTGGTCAATATTCATCTTTGACGCAGCGGCCGGCAGTTGTTTGTTTTTGTATTGATCACCGCTTAACCATCTTTCAACACTGCACTCTCATTGGTCTACTATTTTTATCGTCTAGCCAAAGTTGTCACGCGTTTGTGATCATGTCATCACATGTCATAGGCTTTTAATTTTTCATTTAAAAGAGAACATTTTCGCAAACTTGTCATTAGTTCGTAACTGTGAGAGAACTCTTACTGAGTTCAGTCTCGCGCTGAGTGTTAAAAGGGATCACCACATCTATTTTCAATTACAAAAGCAATGTACAAGCGCCTTTAATGAAGTGATGTTATTATCATTGTTATAATTTTAATTATTTCAACACTTATTTCTATTCAGTCCATGGCACTGTCAGAGTGGATCGTTTGAAAGGAGATCAAACCTGGACTAAACTAAGTCCAGTAAACATCAAACAGTCCTCAGTCAGCCTAGCATCTGACGTGACTCCTTCGTTTACACAACTTTGGTACCCCGTGACTCTTGCTAAAAGGCTGGGCCAATTTGAAAGGTAAAGTATTGAAATTTTCGGTACAGATTGTGCGCTCATGTTTAACTTGCTTGATTTTCAAACTCTTGAGTTAACTTATCTTTCTGAAGTCTTCAAGCAAGAGTCTAAACACTACAAAAATGATAAATTGCATACAACCACCGATAACAGAGAAGCTGTCTTTCTTGTCTCGGCTGCGTTTGACGCCAGAAACTTTGCTTAAGTATACTAAAGGTTAGGGAATATGTTTCTGTATATCGGTTAATTTTTTTATTAGCCCATTTTATTAGAGCCTATTATTTTAGTAGCTTTCTTTTTGCATTGGTTTTAGATGTAGACTTTCCTTTTTTTACTAATCATCACACACAAGGGCATAGCCAGGATTTTTCAAATGGGGGTCACAATGTGTCACACAAAGGGTACTCACCAGATTGACATGTCGACCTCCACGCCGTGTTTTACCTAATGAGACAAAAAAAGGCTTATAAGGGGGGTAGGGTTCCGTGTTCATCAGAACCCCCTAGCTAAGCCCTTGAGTCCCAATCCAGCACCCTTTACCCAAAGAATTTCGTGAAAGCTTTCTCTGCGGCGACTGTGTTGGTGTCAATTCCAATAGTTTTCGAGTTTTTTTAAACACTGATAACAACTGGCATTATTGAGAAGCAGTATGTGTACAAAATGATACCTAGCTGTGTATATTCTGTTTAGAATAAAAGGAGCATCTCCTTATCCAACGGCTCTAGCGAGACCTCTAAGTGCATACAGAACAGCCATGGCAGCTGTTGCTGGGAAACACGCAGGTAACATTATCCATCATAAACAATACAAATTCCTCAAATGTTATTGGTGCATTTTCAGCTTCATTTTTCACTGATCATTCTGTACAGTTGTAATCGGACTGTGTAATCGCACAGGTGGCTGTAATCGGACACCCTTAATCAGACAGTTGAAGCAGCCAATCATACTAAGTCCACTCACCTAATCCACTAATAACAAAAATGATCAAAATAACCATAGCAACAACCGCTTATCCAAAGAAAAACTGGGTAATCTCCAAAATGAAGGAATTTTTGACTTAAGACACTGGAGATATTTTACTGGGTGTATTTGTTTTTTCGGAAATTGAAATGGTGATAGTTAATTGGTAACAGGACTTCTTGTTGTCCAATTCTGTCCGTAATCATACTCGTGATTAAAAAATCGGACTCTCTCCTCGCGGTCGTCCGATTTTTGTCAATCACTCGTATGATTACAGATCGAATTGGATTCCAATTGGTCCTATTATCATTACTAATCATGCAGCTGAATGTATAAGGACTCAGAGGGCACATATGTTTGTTGAAAAGAACCCACTAATGAATCTATTCAAACATGAAAACTATTTTGAACTGAAATCATATCAAATCGATCTCTAAAACAACATCAAATTTATTGGGACTGTCGTTAACAAGAGTAATATGAGCGAAAGGCCATTTTGAAAGTCAGGTTTGCAGTTTGGCGGTGTACTTTACCAGTCCGGACCATTGACAATTTTGTCTATGCCATTTCCTAGGAGTAATCGGCTCCTGCATTTCATTGGCATGATTGGTCTAGACAAAACCAAAACAAACTGATGTGACCGAGAGAGGATTGGGACGATACTTTTTCTCGCTAGCTTTCTCGTGGCGGCCATATTGTAATGCGAAGGAGACGGCAGAACAGAATTCAAAATTTCAAGAGACAACATTGACTTATTGATTTCCATATTACTGTACTACAAATCTCATTTTCGACGGACATGTCATGACGACATGGTAGAGACAAGGCTGTCTATGGCCCGGACCGTTTACACCAACAAGAAACGAAAGAAATTAGAGATTACTGACAAAATGACCGAAAAACAAAAAGACAAATATTCTGAATCATTGTTTATTTCGCAGTACCTGTAGTTCAACCCTTGGAACAAAGGCCGGTTACGGAGGTGTTTATAGAGAAACGCCCAGGTGATAACGATGATGACTTTGATGATCATGATGATGATGATGACGACGACGATGATGATGATGATAAAGCTGATGATGATGATGATAATGACGACGGGAATGTACATGCTGACCTTGACGATGACAAATAGCCTCTACAACATTGGCATTTACACTTCTGAACAATGTTAAGTTTGAATTCACACTTTCAGTCACTTGTATTTTGTCTCTCCGCTCACTTATCTTTTCAGAAAAATCAAAACAAAGGCCCGTTTTTCATGTAAATAGACAAGAAAAAAATGCCCTAGGAAAACGAAGTCGACAAAATATACTTAAAAAGAGAATAATTTTTTACCGACCTGATTGAACTTTCGGTGTGACTCTTTAAGTATTCCGTACTCGTTATTTTCTTTTAAACAAGAAAAAACGTTTTCCTTAAAAAAGTTTTACTGCGCATTTTGTTGCATATTTTGTCGTCTTTACATGAGTTCTCACGATGAGGTCGTCCTCGATCATCAAGATCGTCAAAGCGCTTAACTTCTTCTTTCGTTTACTTTCCTGGGCTCGGGGGGGGAGGGGGGGGAGGGGGGAAGAGATTGCCAAACTCCAAATCAATGCATGGCAAATTTTTCTCTTTTTCTGAGATTTGTCGTTTGTACTTGAAATTACTTTACGATAATGCGAAGCTTTAAATGTTTCAAATTGTGCTGGCAATCACGAATAGTGTGACGTCATATTCTCATCTAAACTGTCCACTTGACCACAGAGAACGCGCGTACAAAGTCAATTATTCTAAGAATTAAAAGCCAAAGTACTATCGACAATAATGTTCTAAAACAGTTGGTTCATACATCAGCTTTGCATTCATGGAGATATGAAGCACGTTGGAAATTTTAAGAGAGAGCACTCAAAAAGCCAGAGTTGCTGCGCCTCGAGCAATTCTGACGCTTCTCTTGTGCTTTCCAAATTTTCCGCGTGATTCATATCCATATGGACGCACGCTTACGTTTGAACCGATAGTTCACCCTTTAACTCCCAGATTTGATTGACTTGCAACTTCTCCTCACAATATCCATGTAATATCCAACAAAAAACCTATTGAGAATACTCAAACTTATCAGGTAGAAGTTGTTGTCTTGATCTAACACCAAATTCTGTTAGCAATTTACAATGAAATATATAGCAACTAGAGGGGAGAATTAACCATTAAATCTTGGGAGTTGAAGGGTTAAGTGTAATACCGTAGAAAATTAATATCCGCCCCACAATTTAATTAATTGAACAGACAAAAAAAACAGTTGTCTGATTTTTATCATGGCGTACTCTTTACAGTACGATATATCTGATTGTGTTTTCTATCACTATTTGAATCAACTGCTCGAAAAAGAAAATCTAACGCAGTATAATATTTTATCTGATACGAAATATACTTCTTACAATTTAGAACGCTCCCAAAACCCCTGTGTGTCTTCTATTTTAATTTTCGATATCTGACAGCGAAAGCAAGGCATCAATTATTTCACTCTTTTTTTTTTCTCAGTTGTTTTGTCTGTAACATGTGCATCTACACGTGAGGGCAGATTTTTCAGAGGTTATTACGTAATCTAGTCACACAAATAAAAGGAAAGCGCTGGAGATTTGAGCTGGAAATTTGTGTGAACAGCTTAAAAGAAACAATTTGATATTGCTAAACGTATGTCTCTTCAATATCTCTTGCTTTTGAGCTCGAATCGTGACGTTGAATATCAGGGTGACTAAGAGGGCTATCGCGTGAAGATTACACGTGAATGTATCAGCGGCGATTACATAATCTAGTAACGTCCTCTTTGTTATAATATTCAAACAATCTAGCCTCAGTGAGTCCAGTGCTACCAATTACGTAGAAAGCCGGTCATGTCAAATTTCACTTGTTGTGAGGAAAGTTATGGCTGCCGGTCGTTGGGTGATCAAGATTTTTTCGCTGTTGTAAACCAGAGGTTAGATGGTTTCTACTTTTGAATGTCATTTCTGATCGTAGTGTGTAGTTCAGGATTTTCAATTCTATTGTTTGGTGACTTCATTCAAACCATCGATTATCATTCACGGTATGGCCAAATCAACTCAACTCGTCTAAAAATTGATAATCCTGGTTCAGAGAAGATAAAAGAAAGTCCTAAAGACTTGGAAGGTTCAGAGCAATGGAAAAGAAGATTCGTGAGCCATACGACCTTCGATCGAGAGAGTGGAAATTAAGCGACAAGCTACACACCGATATCAGAGATCTCTCATGTAAAGTGACGGTGAAAGTACCCGGCGCTCAATCAGTTGCTCCTATTGCTAACAAGTTGGTGGACTTTCAAAGGCAAATCGTAGCGCAGGAAAGGGCTGTTAAAGGCGTGGACGAGAGAGAAGAGAAAGAATTTCTTTGTTCACTATGCGGATGTTTTTACATCGAGCCGGTTACGCTGAACTGTGGACATACGTTATGCAAGACATGTATTATTCCAGTCGGCGAAATTTCTGTGTCAGCTGTCTACTGTAAACTGTGCGGCTCTAAAAATTATGAAAATAATCTATCGATAAATGTCCTAGTCTCACAATTGATTCAAAAATGGTTCCCCGACGAGTATGAACGAGAAGTGAAGCAGTTAGTGGAAATCGTTCGGCGTGAACCACAGGGTAACCAGCAAAAAATCGTTGAAAGAGTGTCGGACGTCCTAAACAAGTCTCCAAAACAGGTGACGGCTTTAAAATTGCGAAGCCATGCCTTCTTACAGATGGGGCTATACAAAAAGGCCCTGGAAGATGTCGACCTTGCTTGTGATTTACGACCCTTTCTTTCGAGCGTTTTTCATCAGAGGGGAGTGGTGTTGATGAAAGTGGGAGACTACCACGCTGCTTCAAGTAGTTTTTCGCGCGCCTTAGCACTAGATCCTATGGTAGACCCGCGGTTTCGGTCAGAATTGCTCACCTGTCTGACTCATACGCTGGATTCTGAACGAGCTGACCCACGCAGAAAGCTTTTACCTGATGACCATTTGGGAGATTTAACCCGAAACAGTGCATGTCAGAGCCCTCACACAGACAAGACAAATGATCACTCTCTTAAACACAGTTTTCTTCAAAAAGGATCTTCCTTAAAGCGTCCTATTGAAGACACTTCTGATAGTTGTTCCCTCTGCTCTCGAGAATGGAGATCCAAGTATTTCAAATCTTCGACAGAGCTCATTTCGAATTCTACTAAACTTTGTGAGGCTAATGCCGTGAGGGAGCTTGAAGATCTGGAATGCAAAGTCTGTTATAACATTCTGTATGAACCAGTCACTACAACCTGTGGACACACCTTCTGCAGAACATGCTTACAAAGAGGGCTCGATTACAGATCAGAATGCCCATGCTGTCGTCGTGCCCTCAACTGCGGAGTTGAAAGGAACACTAAAGTTAATGTGATCATTAAAGAGACCGTGAAGAAATTCTTTGCTGACGAATACGCTGAAAGAGAGAAGAGCTTCATAGAAGAAAAGTCACGTTGGAAGGGGTGAGTTTTTTTTTTTTTTTTTTCAAATAAAGCAGCCTTACACCTCCTCTGCTCTTAGCTAAATTTGTTCGCTTTCACTTCGCGCCCTACCCTCGGCTGGAGCTCTCACGCTTCTCGCCTAGAGGGCTCGATTATCGCATTTCTCACGCTTCGCGCGTTTCTTAGGAGAAACAGAAAGGCCTGTTACAAAGAATAGCCCGGAAACTGTTTCTTGAAATATGTGGGTTACCTCGGATTGTCATAAAAATGTGTCTTGATTCTCCCTAAGTCATAAATTTTATTTGTTTCATGATTCTGTCAGGAAGTGCTTAGTGACAGTGGAAAGTGAAAGCAAAATTCTCGTGAATTATGTAACATTTTTAACTTCCTCACCCGGCTTTTCTACCATGATTTTAAAAACACGTGTTTCAAAACGTGGGAAAATTACTATTGCTATGGCACGTTTGATTTTGGACGTGGAACCTCGATGAAAAATACCACTTTATGTAGTGTACTGTGAAATGATGTACAAGAACCATGCATGACGAGGCCAAACAACAGCTTTGAAGGAGACTGTGCCTTCTCTAACTATCGCTCATGGTGTAGATGTTTCGTGATGTTTGAGCTTAATTCGAGACATTTGATTTTGTTTGTATTACAAAATAATCAAACTAGAGGAGGAAAGCTTGACTTAACGTAAGTTTCTTTGGAAGTTTTGTCTGAGATTTAATCGAAGTAGTTTCAACGTGATCCGTGAAGTGTTAACTGCTCCCTGATCAGCCTGGCTTCAGCTGAATTTAACGAAACTACTGATCTTCCGTTTTTAAAGATAAACGTTCAGAGTTTTAGGCTAATGTACATGTGGCCTTCGGAATATTAAGATATTAAATCGACGTAAAAAGTTTCAAAATGAATACTCTGTGTGGAAATAAAGCTTTAGGCAGAAGCGCTTTCAGTAGTTATCCTCGAAGTTAGATGTTAACATCTGCGAGTTTTATGCTTACTGGCGATGAAATTTGTTAAAACCCGTATCACACTGAGAAATATCTATCGCAGATGACACTACATGGCAGGACGCACGCAAAGTCAATACAGTGTTTTATAATCAGCCGCGGCATATTCATTCAATTTATTACCATCCTTTTCAAAAGCAGCAATTGCATTGCAATCAAACTGCCAGAGAACTCTTTATAATCTTCCGTGTAAAATATATTGAACTCTTTGTTTAGTGATAGAAGTATCCTATTGTGTGAAATCCTTGGCAGGAGCTTATATTTAACAAAAGAACGGAAACATAATTGTGCCGGCAATACGAATCCTCAAATTGGTTATGTAATATGTTCAAGGCTTCCGTAAGGTTATGTAATTTTCTAGTAATCGAAAGCTATTTCAAAAATTACACCACAATCTACAACGTTTACGTGAGAAAGGCAAGATATATAGTAATACATAGCCCTTACTAGTGAGAAGAATAAACGCTCTCACTGGAACCCAATTAAGATGCACAAATTTAGTAGTGATCATGTTCGTTGTGGTGTGTCTTACTCTCAAAGCGATTTCTTTTGTCTCCATAATTAAGGGAGAGTCTTAAACTTTTGAATCGCAAATAGTTCTGTATTTTCTCGTGTTGTTAGAGACAAGGTATCTCAGAGACGTTAAATGATGTGTAAATTGAGTCGGAGGATTTTTTTGGGATGCTTTTCTGGCGTCTTTTTAATATTGAAATCACTTTCAATCGTTGACTTTTCATCCTTTCCCTGCACTAAAACCCAACGGTCGACAGTGTTTCAACGATAGGACGTCTTTTAAATCTCCACAGACGAGCGACATGTAAGTTATTACACACAAGCTAGTCAACTTTATTCAGTTAGTCCGACTGTGTATTCGTGAGAGTGTTGTGTCGCATTAGATACCATTCAGTGCCTCATCAAGAACCATCCTCGACTAGTTTAGAGACCATAATTTGTGTCAAAATCTGTTTTAAACGGGCCGGATCATTGATTTTGCGTTTTTAAAAAAAATTGGCCTTTCTTTTTCAAGATTGGCGTCTGCAATCCGTGTCAATGTTATTTTAAGGTGGCAAGTTTCTAAAGAAACTGGTTCTGCTTCGCTAGGTGCTATAACAATTAAATTTAGTTTTATCAATTGAGTTGATCATGTGAATGGGCTACCCTAAAGAGTTTCTTAAACGGACGTTTCGAGTGTTACCCCTTCGTCTTTCGCTCTGACGAAAGGTCTGTATTAGAGTCTCACCAGGATGGCCAATTTACATTAAATCATTGGCAACGTTGTTGAAAAAATCAAATTATTTTTTTAAATTCCAACCCTTCCCCCCTTGCTCCTTTCAGGCTTAGCCTCTCCTGTGTTCCAGTTAAACTTCTACTGAAAGGTTTCCCAAATTAATGTCAAACTCAGCGCTTCTCAACTATTTGAAAATATTTGCTCGACGTTGTCTTATGAGGTCTTCGTGCATAAACTCCCAGTGAAGCCAATCGAGAGAAGCTGTAAGCTAGCTTTGCTTGGATCTCCATCCCTCTCGAACGAGTTAAATTTCATTAGTGATGTTATGTTTGAATCTCGTTACAGAGTTGGTGTTAACGAAGATATAGAACTGCCTATATTTGTATGTCTGTTGGCTTTTCCAAGTCTTAAATACCCGCTCTATATCTTTGAACCGCGATACCAGCTTATGATCCGTCGATGCGTGGAGCTAGGTTCCCGGATGTTCGGAATGTGTGCTTTTTCTGAGGACCCAGACAAGGAATTTTCTGATTACGGAACTATTTTGCGCATTGAAAATGTCAGTTTTCTGCCTGATGGCCGCTCCATCGTTGAAACTACGGCGGTGCGAAGATTTCGTGTTGTCTCCCGATCAACGACCGACGGTTATAACACAGCGAAAATAAAATGGCTCGAAGACGAAATTCCCAAATCATATTCTGAAGATCCAGACCTCCAGACGATGAACGTCGACTGCTATAGAACTTTAGAACTTTGGTTTACTCTTATGACACCGTTACAACAGACATGCGTAACAAACGCAATAGGCTCCATGCCAGCCATTGAGGAACTAGTACCCAGCTCTAACGGTCCATCCTGGCTGTGGTGGGGATTGGCGGCTGTCCCACTGAAAGATAAAGCTAAACTTATCATTCTGTCGATGACGTCACTGGCTGAGCGGCTTCAAAGTCTTCGCCGCTTTTTAGAACTCTTGATCGGGGTGAGATTCGAGAATTAGCGCCTGTGGAATATTGAGAACTTTTGAACTTTGCATCTTTAAGTAGATTGATCTAAGTTAGGATTCAAATGGAGTAAAGTAGTTATGAAAGTTTGAAAAATACCCCACAGAAATTCGGTCAGCTTTCAAGTATAAACTACTTGGAAGCCAGTGAGAACATTTTCACCAGTAAAAACGAAAATAGAAAACTTCTAAGCCCCGCGAAGTTAAGTTATCTCAAGCATCCCTTTCTGGAGTTCATTACTTTTTTACTTTTTACGCTTAAAACCCTTGAAGGACTATAACAGAGAGTCCATGGGAACCTGAGACAGCCCTCCCTTTCTTTTTTCCCCCCCCCCACCCCCGCTCCTTGAGAGTTACTTTGACTGACCTAACTTTCCAAATATTTCTTCAAGACAATTCAAACAATTCTGAAAAAGGGGAGGACTAGTTTTTTCGGTAGGTAGGGTAACCCTGTGAGTCAGGACACCTTTTTCTCATATAAATGCTTCGGCTCGCCTTCCCAAGACGAGACGGTTCGAATTAGTTTTGTAACCTGGCAAGCTGTCATGAGAGAGACTGTTTAGGGGACGGCTGCTACAACTCATAACGTTTTGTAAACTGTCCATAAAGTTGTCTCGATGAGGAGGGTTGTCTCAGCCACCTGAGACGATATAACAGGGTTAACTGAGAGGTAACCCAAATCTTGTTAGGTGATCTAAAATTTGTGATGTATTTGTCTCTTACTTACTCTGTGAGAATTCAGTGATCAGTTTATTTCCTTTAAGAAAAATTTTCATCAGAGTTAACTTCAGGGAAGAGAATCCTTAAGTGTGGATGGATATTTTATAATTTATTTATTTATTTATGAATTTGCCCTAGCAGATCATAAGAGTTTACGAATTTTTTCTTCACTTAAATTTCAAGAGCGAAATCGGTTCGTTGTTGCGCCTTGTTACTGCATGACATCGCTTTTGGTATTCAGCCAATTAGACGCAAAAGTAAGCGGACCCTTTACATGCTGGTCATACGAATGGATAGCTGCGTCAAATTTTGCTTTGAAATTTTATTGTTAGTTTGTTGTGACTAGGAATTCTGATAACAGTGGTTTGAATTGCAGACACTCCATTTAAATCTACTGTGTCAGAAATTTTAGTCACCAAGTTTTGCATGTTAGATTGTATTTATATTGACTGAAAATTAGCAGAAAATAAAAGGCAGATTTTATCATTCATGTGCCTCAAGTTGTTTTTGGGAAAAGATGAGTGCACCTAAGAGTGATTTGCTCGTGTAAGAGAGACTCGCATGGGAGCTTCGCGTGGGAGTCTCGTTTCCTATGTTTCGAACAGAACCCAGAGTGTGTGTATAACGAGGACCCACGACCATAGACCCATGTGTCGTTGTAAAACTTACAGTGATAAAAGCGTTTAACATCATTAAAAACGTCTTAATTTTAGCCTAAAAACCTTCATATTCGACAACATAAGTACTTACTATCAGTTTACAGTCGAAATCGTTCCGTGGTAGGGTTTATTAATAGTTCATACCAGGGTAAAGTTCGAAAATCAAGTTAGAAACCAAGATCATTTTTTTGCCGAGTCATTATATTGCGTGACGCGCTATTAATATATTCACGTGCAAGCGAAGACATCTAGGGCATGGTTACATGGGGGAGAAGGGGCGGGGGGTGCAACATGTTATCTTTTACTTTATCTTGATCACGTTTACATCATGGGTGGGGTGACCCGCCTAGGTGGGTTGCCCTGTCTGTCGGGTAGTTTATTCCCGTCAGCCGGGCTGACAATTTGACATGAACACGTCGCAGAGTAGGGTAACCAGCCTAGTTTGGGTCGTGTTCATGGTTCAAAAGAAACAAATAAGCGAAACTGGTGTGTTTTAGTACTTTGTACATTTCCTAGCCGTCCTAATCAGAACTAAAACGACAAAACATCAACTTCTACTTCGACATCAATTTATAATTGTTCACGTTCTTACTTTGAACTATTACTACGTTCACATGTTATGCCGAAGTGAAGACGTCGTACCGTTAGAAACGGCTAACGCTTCGAGCCATTATCGAAAATCTTAGAGGATAACAGGTTACGTTTTTTCGGTAACGTTTTACTACACGTCGCGGTAGTGACATCTTAACTTCTACAAGCGTGACAGCAACCTTGAGAATCTTCACCGCGGCATCCCGGGATAGTAAAATTGTATGTAAACGCAGGCTATTTTTGCACCATGGTTAGGCGGGTTACCTCACTCACCTAGGGTCATCCACTTCCATGTAAACTAGCTCTTAATGGATATCAACAGTGGTAGCTTATGTTGATATATATGGCAAATATTTCTGCGACAACTAAGAAAATGTCCACTCTCTTTGGCTACGTTTTCTTCTGTTAGTGGAGTTCATTCTTGACTGAACTCTGCTCAAATTGGAGAAAGTGAACACAGAAGCGGAAAATATTTTTCGGAACTAACCGCTAAAGGTTACGCATTAGCCGCAAACGTATTTGTCACATCTGTCAATATACTTTCGCCAATAGTACAAAGCTGACATGAAATCAATACTTAACTCAGGATTAACATGCCACTGTGCTGACGCAATCTGTTGTTTTGAGCGAATAACAAATCGATGATTTCTTCTGTAACAGGTTGAAGCCGTACAGCCTGACCCGACTCACCCGACTCTCTTGAAATTATCCACCAGTCTATCTCCCTTACTTTCTCTCTATTTCTTTCTCCTCCTCCCCCCGCTGGCTAAGTAAACATGCATCAGTGTTGTGTTACACGCGTGAGTCTGGCCGGTATGAATTAGCAAATTGAGAAATAAACCCCCAAAAACTCAAACTGAACATCACAATACAAGAACCAAGTCAATTCACTAAGACACAAACTTTTTCAGAATAATTCTATAAGTTTCTATAAATTATATTTGGTTAACTCCTGCCAACTCGAAATTGAAACAATCTCCTGATTTCAGAACGTGCTATTCAAATTTGTTATATAACAATGATACAAAAACATTTAGGGAAGGGGTGGGTAGGACACACAAGCTTAAGAAAAAGGAAAAACAATACTTTTTTTTCTCGCGATTGTTCCAGGAATGATTTTAAGCTTGGAAATATAGTTTTTCTGCGCCCAAAGGTGTCGTAAAATCTTCACTGACTACTCTCCTTATTTTTTATTTTGGTATTCTGTCTTTTTCACCTGGGTAGAGTACGTGGCTTACAAAGAGCGTGACTAAATTTCACGCTGCCGGAACTGGCTTCAAAGTTTGTTATGAAACTTTATTAACAAGCAAGCTGTGGTCTCCCTAAGTCGAAATGTCTGCTCGAAATTTTCTTTAAACGATAATTCGCATTTATTGGTGAGTTTTGACTCGATTCTTTCTCAAATGGGCAAGTGATAATTCTCAGTCGCTTTTCAGTGGAAAAAAAGACGAGGATTTTTCCACGCGTTATCAACGAAAGAAACGACATCAATAAGGAAGACGATCAAAATGTCGGACAAGACATCAAGCGATGGTCGAACCTTAGAAGACACTCTACTGTCGTATTTTGATGTTTTCCACAGTAGGAACATGGTATGCCGAGATCTTCTATTTCCTCTTGTCGATGTGCTGATGGACTACGAAGCTCACAATATTAGGAAAGAACTCGACACGTGGATAAAACAGATCAAATCATCAGCTAGAAGAATATTTCATTGCCCGTGGTGTTCATGTTTGTTTGAAAATCCTGTCACTCTAACATGTGGTCATACGGTTTGTCAGGAATGCCTCCGAAGAAAATCGGAGTTGATCGGTGGAGACAGTTCGGAGAGGTCGTTAAATTTCTGCCTTCTCTGTGGAAATAATTTATTCAATGAGGGAAGTCGGTCAGTGAATAGTATCTTGTCCGATATAATTAGAAAACTGTTCCCCGACGGAGGGATAAGCGCGGAAGCAAAGAAGCTCGGCCAAAGTCAGTTATTTTCACATTGTGCCAAGAAAGCAGTGGAAACGTTTTCAGTCGCTCTCCACTCGAGACCAAAAGATTATGAATGCCTCTGTCTGCGGAGTGATGCCTACTTAAAATTAAAGCTGCACTATTTAGCACTTAGAGATGCTAACAGTGCTTGCCAGTTACGACCAGATTTGCCAGATGCTTTTCACAGAAAAGCGAAAATTTTAACCGAAATAAAATCATTGGACGATGCAGTCTTGCAGTTTCTTCGCTGTGCTGCCCTGAATCCAACCATGCCTCGTCGCGACGAGTTAACTGAAAGTTTATTTAGACTGTTTACCTCGGTAACTTTGACGAAACTTGAGGAAAAGGTTGCTGCTAGAAATATTGCAAGTAACACTGCTGCAGATGAACTTCAAGAAGTAAAATCAGAAACGGACATTGCTGAAAGCTCGAGTTCCTCAGAGGAAGAAAGCAGCGATGACCAAGGGATTGCTCAAAACAGCTGCGAGGAGATTATCGTTATCGAAGTAACTGAGTTACAGTGTCTCATTTGTGGACGTTTACTTTTTTACCCTGTGACAGTCCAGTGTGGTCACACCTTTTGCAAGGAGTGCATCAAGGAAAGTCTTGAGTATGCACCTAAGTGTCCAAGCTGTGGAACAATCTTGACTGATTCAAAAACCAATAACTGGAATTTAACCTTGGTTTTGGATGAATTGCTGAGAATTTATCTAGAGAAGCCATACCGTGAGAGAGAACAATCTCACTCAAAGGAAATGACGATGTGGACAAGGTAAGATTACTAAAGTCATCACTTTTTTTTTCCTTTGGGGTGGGGTGGAGGGGGGGTGGGAAATAATAAAAAGAATACCCGTCACGCTGTCTGACCTCCAAAATATAATTGTTGAGTGAATAGGCAATCAACACTGACATTTGAATAGAAATTGCACATGCCTACTTTTCCAGAGTCCACATTTAGTCTCTTTCCGAACTGAGGCTCACCTGTCGATTTTCCCTCTCTGTTTTTGGCCCGACCGACCGACACACTCTCTCGAAAGGGAAAGGGGTGACCTTACGTTCAAATAATTACAATTAACACTTCATGTGTCAGTTGATAGTTACTTTATTAAGAACTTCAAAGCCATAGGGGGTCGTATATCATTGGCATGTTTACTTTCCCTTAACTGCCTCTGGATCCGGTTCAGTAGTTCGGATCGTGCTCCACCGATTCTCAGAAGCCTTTGTGCCAAACTTTTGTTTCTGGTGACTATTGTTTATTTTGTGCAACTTAAAGGGTGTCTGTGTTCCTTCAGTGAACCTAAGTGCCCTATGACAACCGACGTTTTGTTTATGTACCATTTTCTCTTGGATACTCTAATGTACCATTTTAGGTTTTTCATTATCTTTTCAGGTCCGGAAATTTAATGCCGGTTATTTTACTCATAACAGGAGTTTGTTTATAACTCCAGCAAATATTACCCTCTTTGTTTTGGGCGTCAATCAAACCTCCTGTTCGTCAACCTTGAAATGTTGTGTAGTCTGCCCTGAGAAAGCTCACTGATCGCCTGTCTCAAATAAAATCAGTGGATCTTTACCGTTCGCTTGACATTTCTATGCCAGATTTCTTAGAGACCATTTCATCAAAGTTGGCAGGGATGAGTGAGTAAAGGGGTTTTTGTCGCGGTACAAAGTTCCGCTTGCTTCGCACGTACCAATATCCCATGTTATCATAGGTTGGGTTTTTAAATCAATTCCTGATGAAGACTTATAATTTCATTCTTCAAGGAGAAAAAAGTTATTTGATATTCGATGAATACTTAAGAATCTCAATGATTTTAGCGTAAGGGGCCTTACGCTAAAATGTGTCTCGCGGTAGTGCTGAAGTTATTTTCTCCAAGAAACCCTCGAATGCAAGATTAGAAAAACGTCTCGTAAGATTATGGCGGTATTTATTATCGGACTAGATCAATGTGATAGCAGTGATTGGCATTTTTGCTTGCCCTTATTTCGCCTCTCCTCGAAGGAGTTCTTTTCATTTGGTAAGCTTTATAAAGTTCACTTGATTACAGACATTCAAATTACTTCATTTTTTTTTCTTTTCAGGGTAGGTATTGATCAGAATGTAGAGGTGCCAATACTGGTTTGTACCATAGTAATTCCACAGGGGAGAATACGTCTTACGCTGTCTCATCCCTCCCACCGAGTCATGGTGCGACGTTCTGTTGAATGGGGTTCCCGAATGTTTGGAATATGTTTGCCTGACGAAGAGAAAGGCTTCACCGATCATGGAACAATAGTCGAGATACAGGCTACCGAAAGCTTCCCAACCGGAAAGTTGGTGGTACAAGCAATTCCCAAACAACGATTCCGTGTTGTTACGAGAAATATTTCGGATGGTTGCCCCAAAGCTAAAGTGGAATGGTTGGAAGACGCAAGAATCGATGACTACCATGCGGTACTGCATTTGAAATGGCGCAACTCGTTAAGCCATTACATGCTGAAGAGATGGCTGGCTGCATTACCTCATGACGAGAAAGTTTGCCTTGAGAACTCTTTAGGACCTATTCCCCCATCCGATAGTCATTTGCTTCTATCACCAAATGGTTCCCCCTGGCTGTGGTGGTCCTTGGCAGCAATACCAATTTCAGCGCAAGAGAAACTAAGGATACTGCTTATGCCTCGCGTAGCTGACAGATTACAGAGTATTCAAGACCATCTCGAAGCCTTGCTGAAATCGAACAACGATCGGGATGGAAGAAATGTGACGGAAGAATCTACCGATGGTTGTCACGCCTTGACCATTTGAGATTCGTCCTTTCAACAAAATACTGTCATCTGAGAGTCTGAGGCAGAAGGGAAAAATAGCAAGAGCTTGAGATCATTATTTTGCGCGAAGCCCTGCATTTGTCTACTCACTCACTTTTGTGTCCGTTTGTTAGAAACATGAAATTGTTTTGAGAAAAACCCTATCGAGGATTATTCGTCGTGGTCTAATTTTTATCTTCAGTTTTCACTTATTTTAGTTTAAGGTAACTCGAGCAGAAAAACAGAAAAATGAATTGCAGACAAGGATAAATGAATATATATTTTAATGTAATACGACGATGCAGAGAATATGTCGCTTTCTATGTTAATCGTTGAATTCGCATTGTGAGGTCGCGAACGCGTTTCGTGATAGTTTTTTTCTTGTTTGTTTGGCTTTTCTTTGTGTGCGGTTGTTTCTCTCTGTGGGATCAGTAAGTCCGGAAGTTTATCCACACATGGTCACGAGTAAAACAAAATGCTTGTATGTGCATTTTAAAACAAACACAGAGTGACTGTGCAGCCATCATCAACTTAAAAACTGTTTGAAGAGCGTTAGCCGTGGGCTGAAGCAGTGACAGAACAGATCAATTTCTATTAATTATTTTGATATATAATTGGACCTGTTATATTATAACTATAAAATTTCAGGCAAGTATTTATGAATAAAAAGTAAAATGGGAATTACATGGTGAAGTTCTGGAACGTATCTTATGTAAACCAAGTGTCGCGAGATAATTTATCGAAAGAGCTGCAAAGGACAGAACCCTCTTTACATGGTCCAAACCGTGAAAATAATCTCACGAAACCTTACTTGCATTTTTAAGCAGATTTCTATCTCAAATTGCAAGAGCATACACCGAACGAAAGGGGAAAAGAATTCGACACCAGCGCCTTCATTAAATTTATTGTTATTTTAGGATCCTATGTCGTAATGATTAACTACATTTTCAAAGTAAGACCTTCCAGGTCAGACTCTTCTCCCTCCCCTCCCATCCTCTTCCCCAACACTCACACACTTACACGCACACCACCTTGCTTAGCCTTGCATTATTAATTTAGCAATAACACTACAAAAATTGTTACAACGTATCTCTTCGGAGGGTTGAGCCCCTTTCAAACAATTGTTAACTAAGTGGGCATGAAGTCTCGAGGCCAATCTGTTCTCTTTCAACAAAGTGCAACGCCTTTAAAATTCTTTTCCCTTTTTACCCTGTTTAGTGTGGTAATCAGGTAATGAACCTACTTAAGGTACAGATACAACTTCTGAAGCAACTCTTCAAATCCCGCCATCACTGACCCGTTGAGATTGGAAGTCTTACACAACCTACCAAGGGATACGCATATAGTAAATTCTCTTTAGTGTAAGTGACAGATTGTGGCGAAGATGTTGTTGCAGTCGTTGCCATCTCTACGAAACAAAATGCCGGGATCTCTTGCCAGTAACTTTCTTATAATCCAAATCTGACAGCGGAGATTCCACAAGAGCATCACGAGTAATCCCATGATCACTAGCAACCGAGTCGTTTTCGTCAATTTCCCGCTCTAAACTCGACATAGGGATGTCTTCGATCTCCCCAGGGATTGCCTCTTTAAGCAACGCCTTTTCTGTCTCTTCTTTCCCCAGCAAATCTCTGGCATCCCCTTGTTTAGCGTCGCTGTTGTCCCCTGGTTCATTCTCTATATCACCGAGAGCACTGTGATTAATGGTGAAGTCGTCTTTCAGCGCATCACGGATAAAGTCCTCCACCAAACTTGTGTTATCACGGAATCGATTGATGTTGAATGGAATCTCGCTACGTTTTGAAACTGAAGTGTCAAACGAAACGTTATCGATGTCATCTCTGCCAGCCCCCTCTTCAGACTTCTTTGTCAACAAAAACCCTTTCACATCACGAATCAGAGAAAACAACTTCGTCTCAATCCTTGTGATTTCTTCCAGCTTTTGATGCAGTTTTCCTTTCAACTCGTCGTTATCAATAACATCTTTCGAAACATCAGAGGTGGCAGTGCTGGGGTCTATATGGTTTGCGATCTCCTGCTTCACCACCTCGTCTATCAGTTCTTTAGCTGTTACAACATGAGTTTTGTGTGGCACATGCGAAACTTTGGCATCAGCCGCCGCTTCTTCTTTCTTCTTATGAAGCTTCATCAAAGCTTCGTCAACCGCCTCACGGATTCCATCTTTATCTGAGTAACTATTCTCGACTTTTTCTTTCAGATCATCAGCCGACAGTAGCGTATGTTCCTTGAAGGCATCCATTACAGGAAACGCCGCTCTCAAATGTGCGTCATCTTGTTTTACGTTTTCCTTCAGAAGATCACTTCCGAAGTTTGAATGAAAGAGATCACCTCCCAGTCCTAAATCAAGACCCAGTAAATCATCTAAAAAGAAGGGAAGGCATCAGTCCAAGGGCTAACACTCAAAACGTCTAAATTTACAATCGATCGTTTTCACTTTTACGTCTGTGAGAGCAGAACCTCTTGTGCAAGTCACCAAAATAAAACACACTTATTTGCCAGTTGCACGGAATATATGGTCACAAACTTATGATTACAAACCTCTTTTGGATGAGTCTGAAGACAAGTCTGCGTTTACAAGGACAGCAATTTCCAAAGCCAACCACAAGATCCATGCATAGCCCAATTTCATTATGTATCTTGTAAATGAAGAGTTAAAACATATCAAAAATTAGACTTCATTTTACCTCCGCTTGGGAAGGAATGTTACAGGAAATAACACTTGTTTTGATTATTGTTTTCTATATATGGTTTATATCGGGCAGAACTAAACCCTCCTGGCAATGTTTGAAAGTTAAATACCTCTTCTGTGTCTTCAAAATACCATCTACCACAGCAATTTCGTAGGATACTTTGAAATCAAGTCATAACAGAGTTCCAGGAAATTTTTTAGTTCACACTCCAGTTTTCATCTAATTCCTGACCGAGTTGTCCAAGATCAGGAGACAACAAAATTTGAGATGATCAAACATTTCCCTATCTTCTTACTAAAACATAATTTTATACAAAAACGTCGTTCATACCTTAATGAATAAAACTCTTTTTCTGCCACTAGATCATCGGATTTTTTAAACGGTGCTTCTTTCCTTTGGTTTTTCTTGCAAAATTTCAGTGATCACAGATTGCTTTAGGAGTTATTGTCAATGAATTAAACATCACATTTCTGGTGTTTGACTCTTATGGAGCGGGTACCAGTCATCCCCCATCTTGAATCTAACCCTACTGACATCGTCAGAAAAAAAACCTTTAGTAGGAATACTCAGAAATGGAAGGTTTTATCAAAGTTGAATCGTGCTCTGTTCATTATCCAAGTATTTAAATTCAGGGCGTTTGCAAGGTTTCTATTTGCCATCTACTTCAAAGGTGAAGATAATTTGAGAGTACTTTCAAATTGAGGCGTCAAACTTATTAAGATTTTGTGTCCAAATGCATCAACGTAATTTGCCTTTCTCCAATCAAATTGTGCGCTGAAGTATGAACAAAACCCCTGTTGTTAACACGTGACTTAAATGCTTTGGCTCAACATGTCTTGGACAGACTAAACAGGATAGAACCCGGTCCCCCGTCTTTAGACCTGTTTGGTGGTAATTTCTTTGAGAATAACTAAAAATAAAATAACGAACGGATAGCCAATTGTGTAAAAAAGCTTAGTTCCAAAGATCCTATGGAATATAAAGGATCACCTTCAGTGTATCCTTCTTTAAAAAAAAACCCGGAATAGTTTAACTCGCAACAAGGAGCCGCTTCAGATTATCTACTAATCAAAGCTGATGGATTACTTCCCCTATTTCCATTTATTGTTAATATTGCTTCAAAACAAAGTGCTAGAAGACCACAATGCACGCTTGCTTTTACAAACAAAAAATCCGATCGATTGTCGATTCTGTTACATTCCAAAGTGATTTCATGATACACTACAATCGGATACGCTTGCTTGGTTTTGATATTGTTTGTATAACTTAACTTCAATGGACACGAACCTTAGGAAAGCTTAAACATTCTCGATCAAAAATTGTTTGCGTCGCAGTCGCAGTTGTCGAACAAAAACAGAAAATGGCATCCTAAGGAACAATGTGAGCGCTGGAGTTTTTGGGGAAAAGTATGTCAAGTCGAAGATTCCATTATTGGAATTGGCAAGATATGAGGTACAACCGTAATTTGTCGCTATCTGTCTGATCACACATTTCTCTATTTTTATTACAATGTTTAAGTCTTAAGTGAAACTGGTTTTACTTTTCATTAGTACACCATTGGAAAGAAAATAAAATCTTGTAGTGACTTCATGATTACCCCTCTCTAGTGAACAAAATAAACTTGTACATAATCCTCTCCACGTAACTTGTTAAGCCTTGGCTTGTGCATTTGAGGCTTCTTTTTAAGCTTCACGTGTCTGGTTAAGTTTCTTTCAGGACTGCACGATAATCTTAATTTTCTTCTAGTTGTAAGAAAGAGTCAAGCTAAGTTTTTCATAATAATTCCAAAACATTTGAACAATAAAAACCCAGTGATCCCTAAAATATTCCTTGAAAAGCCACTGAAGAGTTAGATTCTTTGTCTCGAACACCATTAAAATGATTCAGTGTGCAGGTGACATCTTTGAGGCTCAAGAATCCTCAAACTTTTGTCTTCAGATAGGAACGGAATTTACTCTGTATCGCCCTCTATATTGGAATCTAGTCATGAAGTGAACTCAGCAAAACTCTAATTTTCAATAGAATTGTGATCGTAAAATGACGATTTCTACTTATGACCCCTCGTATATTATTAGAATTTTGACGGTATTATTTCTTTATGCAGAGAAATGAGGACCACTACTGGAATCGCTATTATCTTGTTGCTTTTACAATTTTCTGCGGTACATTCTACGAGGAAATACGGAAGTAAGACGACTGACAACAACTCAGTGCAAACAGTTAAATATCAAGAACATAGAGACGTGTCTCTCCTTTATGGTGCTTCCAAAGATGCAGAAGACTCCGGCAAAACAATTGCAGACGATAATAAAAGAAGCACCGATTTTTTCGATGGAAATTTCAAATTAAAGAGGAAAGTTAAAAAGCACCATTTTAAAGGTTCACGTGGGTTTCCTAAAAGACGCGTAGTTGATATGGGTCGCCTCTCTGGCACGAGGAAGAAAACTGTTCAAACCAATGACAATTTTAGAGAGTATCAGGAAAGAGAAAAAATGGTACCTAGCGTAAAAGAAAGTAAAATGGACGACAAGAAAAATTATGCACCCCGAAAAAGACATAAAATTCCACTCAAGACCATACGCCACAAAGAGACATCTACAAAGAAAAGAACTAAAGTCGAAGATGACCTAAGCGCGGAGCGACAAACTATTAAAAAAACACTTGACTCTTTTGATGACATATCAGGGTCTTACAATAGAGGAATTGATATGGACGGCATGGATATCAAAGAAGTGAGCATGATCGACAACAACACTCTGTCAGACTATTTTCACGCTTTGAATGGAAATGCAAGTGAAGGTAATAAAACAACAACTTCTACAATAACATGCCAGAGTACGCGTCGACGCCTACACCAGCTTCAACATGGGATGAAGGTTCCCCCTCAAACACAGAGGAAAATAGTGGTAGTGACGATTTCTATGACGCCATTGATCGCGGAGACAAGCCTCCGCCGCTAAAAATGAAAAAGGTTCGTCCTACAAAGTCCAACTTTGACACATTAATGCACAAGTCAAGCAAACATGTGGGGTCCTCGCCGACAATAACAGGAACAGGGTCTTCGTCTAAATTTCGTTTACCCTCTCAAGAGGATTTCGAAAATTTTTTTCGTGGAATGCTCGATCATTTTGGCCATGGACGAAATCCTGACCAGTCTGTACAACAGAGTGAAAGTAAGGTGGATGAACACGAAAGGTTGGCCAGCCAAAGGAACATTTCAAATTTTTTAGAGGCTCTTAATGAGCATCGTCCAGGAAACGTAACTAAAGTGGTATCACTAGGAAGCCCTGAGGAAGTGGAGGTTGGACGACAATCCCAAAACCATAATATGGATTTAACGTCCCACAAAAGTTCTCCTGTGTTTACCAGTGAACAGGTTGGGAGAGATGGAGAAGGATTAACGCCTTTCCTTCCGGCAGAAAACTCAATGAGATGGAGACAAGGGTCATTTGGAGACACGAGAATTCCTTTTCGTGGTCACGTAAAAGGGCCCGTAATCAAAGTTGGAAATCCCTTAACTTTCTTGCGCATACCTCCTCGAGATTCCGAAAAACACGTCGATCGCTTTTTTCCGAAGAAGCCGAATGGCGCTCTGCCTTGGAATCCACCTTATAAGGGAACTCGGATCATGGGAGGAAAAATATCGGGTGGTCAAATTTCTGGGGGACTAATTCAAGGGGGACAGATAAAAGCCGGGTCGGTAGAGGGTGGTATCATTAAAGGGGGTCAGATTGTCGGAGGAAGAATAGCTAATGGAACTATGGAGGGCGGGGTAATTGCAAAAGGGCAAATGTTAGGAGGGCACTTGGTGAATGGTAGACTTGAAGGAGGACAGCTTCTCGGTGGCGATGTATTTGGAGGAAGGATATTAGGAGGAACTGTAGAAGGCGGGGAAATGAAGGGTGGAGTGGTGGCCGGTGGGCGTTTTCGTGGAGGACGCATGCAGGGTGGACTGCTTAGAGGAGGTGAGGTACAAAGCGGAACTTTGAGGGGTGGAAAAGTTGAAGGTGGAGTTCTTCATGGAGGAAATGTTGAGGGAGGTGAGTTCAAATTTGGAGATATATCTGGAGGGACTCTGAAGTCTGGGGCGATGCTCGGTGGACAGCTCAAAAATGGAAGTATAGAGGGAGGAACTCTTAAAGGAGGAACAATAGAAGGAGGTGTGTTGAAAGGTGGAGTCATGGAAGGTGGACGGCTGAAGGGAGGGCTTGTCCTTGCTGGTAAAATTAAGGGTGGAGTTATCGAGGGAGGAATAATCGAAGGTGGCGAGATTGGAGATGGGGTCGTGATAAGGAATGGTAAAGTTAACGCCACGATCATAGGCACAGGGAGCACCATTGATAAGAATCAAGAACTCAGTGGTATATTTCAACAAGGGGAAAATCCGCAGCAGTTAGGACTCGAAGTTGACCAGCCAAAATTTCATCATCATCAAAATGGCAAGACATCACATGCATTAAAAGCCATGTCAGACTCACCAACCAGTCCTCAAGGGTCTGCCCCTACACCAGAGCCCAACCTTGAACAAAAGGCAACCAATCCAAGTACGGATATCAAAGTACCTTTACAGGAAGGAACTCTCAAAATGTTACCCCAAGAAAATGATCAATCGGATGATAGTAGTCTTGAAAAGTTGTTATCTGAAGGAAAGTCCGACGGTGATAATTTAGTTACTCCTGAACTTTCGTCACAGCGGTTCTTTGAAGAACAGGATCAACCCAGTCGAGCTGTTCAAAAAAAAAATTCCAAACAACATCATGTTGTTTTTGACGGGGTCGGCTTTGATCTTCCTAATGAAGATTTTGTAGATCTCATCGATAAAATGAAGGAAGGGCCACAATCGGTAGAGGACCTGGTCAATTATTATACAAAGCCAAAAAGGAAGGAAAACTCACATATCGGGGGTATATTAGAAGAAAAAAATGTGCACATTAAGCCGGAGGAGCTCGAAGCTAGACTTAGCAGTCCTACAAAACCGAGATCCAGTGTTACTCACTCCGACAAAGATAAACACCAAAGCCATGGCGGTACAGATGCTCCAAGTTCAAAATTTTCAAAACCTAACGATAAAAAAATAAAGGCCGTGAGCTTCAATACCAAGGATGTCGAGAAATGTAAGTGATTCAAGTAATTCATTTTAATGCGTTATTCATGACTTCGAAACTGTCCTTACTAACGGACGTAAGAATTGGAAATAAGAAATAGAGAATTGAAAGACAAGAAGCAAGTCATCGGGACTTCTTGATTGTAATCGAAAGCCTTGTACAACCCAACGTCTGATAATCAAAAAAGGGGGGTACCGATTGAGGTGAGCCAGGTCTCGTTTAAGAGCAATGCATCAAAGGAGCAATGCATGCATGCTTTCTAAATACAACATTCGAGATTCTCAAAACTAAAGCCAACAGAAGACCCTGAGAATTATCACAGTAATCAATGGAACAAACATGAGACAACTAAGCATTTTCTTACAGTAAGGCCAACTTATCACTGGTCCCTAAACAAGCTCATGGGAGATCGGATACCTGGCAGTCCAGGACCAGCCATACGAACACACGGAGAGATGGTAGCTATACGAGGAGGGCTGCGTCTGAATGGTCATAATGCATGGCTTGGGGCTGGCGACTTCTCTGGTGGATGTATCAGCGGTATGGTGGCATTAGTTTTTAGTTGAGGCTTTTGTAAGTTAATGATCGATGCAAAGTGTGATCAGTCGATTTCCCTTTTATCGCTTGATCCACTGATTGAATGATTTACTGACTGATTGATGACCGATTGACTGATTCACAAAACTGATTTTTCGATCGATTGATTGATTGATTGATTGATTGATTCAGATCCTGACACCTGTGATGATGGGCTCTCATTTGAGATGACCTTCCGACTGGACAAGGATGCCCTGAAATACAACGACATGAATTACATCGTGGACTCAGGAGCGTCGACATTTAATTCTAAAGGCTTTACCCTGTACACTGTACACGGAAAGTTAAGGGCTGATTTAGCTCTTGCAAATCAAGAGTTTTGCGTACAAATTCCTGTGACAGTCCAAAAATGGCAAGATGTTTTGATTACTTGGAAGAAAAGCGAGGGTAAATAACATTTGGTGGCATGAAAAATAACACTTATAAATCTAAAACTTAAGCTTAAGTAGAACGTGTATGCCTAACATGGGAGCTGACAGCCCAGTCAGCTGTATTTTAGTTTTACATGAACACTCCTAGCTAACGGAAAACTGAAATACAGTAGTTAAACTTTATTAAATTATATGAAATAGTTAAAATTGAGGTCATGAAGTACATTGACGAAAGGCTATTTAACGACAAAACCTAGAAAACTAAACAAAATCTTGACAGGATTGCGTTACCTAGATTGAAAAGCATTGATGACTGTTTTCAAAAGCTCTCAGGGAAATCATTTCATAATTTAATAATGGTTTTTAACTGTAAATCATCATTTTAACAGGAATGAAGATGTATGTAAACTGTGAACTGAAGGCGCACACAAAGGGAAGCGAACACTGCATCGGTTGTCACTCACGTGGGTGTCACGTGACGGACACCAATACGCTACTGATGATTGGCAGGCCGAATTATAGTCCACATTTTCACTGCACCAAGTTTGACAGTGGCGACATAGCATTCTGGGAGAAGTATCTGTCGGCGAACGATGTTGAAACGTTGTGTGGAGCACCCACAGGTGAATTGCACTATGTTTTAGCAAGAAAACCGAGTAAAAAGAGAGAAAAATGTAGCCACTATATTTTATCTTTAGCAGACACGGTAACAAAGGAGGTAAAAAGAGACAGTGGAACAGTGAATTTCATCATGGTTTAGTTTTTCTCTGTCTGACCGCTCGATATCGAGTTTCAGACTGAGGTGAAATAGGCATACTCCCCAGACAATCGAGCTTGCACGTACCCAGGATTCTAGACTTGATGTTGCCATGAATTGTACGAAAACTCAAGTCAGTTTCGTCTTTGAAAGCCAAACAAAATTGGAAAAAGTTCTGTATGCCCTCGAAGCTAATCGGATTAAACTTTTTTTCGGAGAGCTGAAGAGGAAATTGAGTGAAGTTGCGTGACACTGCGTATTTCCGAAAAAATCTCCAGCCTGCACAATATGCTACCAATCAATTCCCCATCATTTCTTTCCATACTTTTGAAATTACAGTAGTTTATTCTAAAAGTCATCGCCGGGACACCTCCCTAACAGCATCGTGAAAAAGAAATCGATCGCAGCTTAAGCAGATGCTGGGAATTAGTACTTAAGAGGATGTCAAAGTTGACCTTTATTTCTCTGTGCCGTATCCATTTTCATGGAAACATTTCAAGCCCGTGCAACGAAGCGGTAAAAAAAAGATGCATCTTATAAAGCTTATTTCTGATATCGGATGACTTCAATTCGTTCCGGTTACCATAACAATGCAGGTTTACGGTTGATTTCTCTTACTTAAAATAGGAATTTTTTGGTCTGCATAATTTATTACTGAGAAGTCTCGAACATAGAGGTTCATTGGTATGATAGACATGAAGATCGACTACAATTTTACCAACACAAAAAGGTTCTAAACGAAGATTCTCAATTTCAGTGCTTCCTTGGACAGAAAATGATTTTGTTGATTTCAAGAGACTGGGGATATTTTGCGCAAGAAGTGAATAGTATAAAACTGCTTGCCTTTTCTATTGGCGTAATTGCTAAAATATATAAACAGAGGATCGCGCAGAAGGCGGAATTGAACCGCTCCGACGCTAATCGGCTACAGGTTTGAAGCCTGCACCCCACACCAGTGAGGCTCATCCGCGCACCCGTGCCATTGTTGTACGTTGCGTATTTATAATTTTCGAAGTGGATTTTTCCACACATTTGGTACGATTTTATGCGTGAATAATCAATATTCGATAATTTTTCCTGCAGTAACCTAGTACTCTCCTTATTTGATGGTGAATTTTCCGTAATCAAAAACATTTTGCAAAAATTTAACATCGTATTGTTGTTATAGGTAAATAGTATTTTTTCTGAAATTCCATTTACGCATGCGTAATGAACCGCATCACATCTCTTGCAAAACAAGGTGTTGTTTATGGTAGTTATTGCCAAATTTTTACACAGAATTTATTATATCAATCTGAAGGTCTCAAATAGTGATATTCTTTCTCGAGTGATAACAACTGAAATCTATTCATACAGTTTTCGATTATTTTGCAGGTGAAACTGAAAAACCTAGCGCCGTGAATAAAGAGACCAATGAACTGACAATCCAAAGAGCACCTGTCAATCAAGCCTTCAATCAAGTTAGATATCCAGCCAATCCAATGCAAAGTTACGTCGCAAATCAACCATACTTTAATCGATATCCAGGTAAGGTTGTGATGCCAGAGATCAATAAGCGTCCTCTCATAATATTACTTCCTTGGTTAAACTCACCAAAATCAAATACTGTGAATCGCTTATTTAAACTTCCTGCTATATTAAGACTTTTTAAAGCTGGTAAAAGGTTGGATCGTGAAGATCAAGGACAAAGAAAGAAAATTGTCTCGAAGTTATTTAAAAATCAAGTCGCATTTCCAAAAGTACCGTCAGGAACCATACCTCTTTCAATCATGAACAACATTCCAATTTTAAAGTCGCACAAAGGGGGTAAGTTGGTCATCTCACGATATAATTCGTTTTTGCTTCATAAACTATTCCCTTTTGAGCAAAACGAAAATAAATCGATTACACAACCGTCATTAAGTAAATATCGAAATACTCCTCTTTATATCAGACTTCCAAAACAAAACAGGTTCTTGCCAAACTCAATGCACCCTGTCTCTCGTGAAGAGCGCTTGGGTAGCGTTACTTTTCCCTCAGTTGAGACAAACAAAGCAAGAAATCAGCCAAAGTTTTTCCCAGGCTTACAAATAAGCAACAGCAGTCCTTACATGAACCAAAACAGAATACAGTCTGATTCACCCGCTGACAATGCTTACCGTAAAGATCGAAAATTTCCATACCAGTATACGTTAAATCGTTTTATTTACCCTGAAAGGACCAAACTTTGGACAAACACGTCTCCTTATTTCAAACCAAAAGTGAACCTAATAAATAGTAAAAACCTTTAAATCACCACACACTATACTAGATTACAGAATGATGCCTCCTTTCGGTCGCCAGTTAGCAATGCACTTCATATACGACCCCATCATTGGGAAAGGGAGCAAAAATTCAATTCAGCAGGAGACAAAGTTGTGACCGAAGGAGAATTAAAGGAAAAAGGTTTATTTGGTGATATTTTGTCCAGGGATCACATTCGTCATAAACCAGGCGGTAAAAAGGCAAAGGCAACTAAGAAAAAATCGTCATTTTCAAAGTAGTTCCTAATCGTAGATTCTTTAACTTTTTAGTTCAAAAGGCAGTGTACATACAACTAAGAAGTAGCAAATAGAAACATCTAAAAGTACTGGTAACTTCACTTTGAACCTCACTTCTCAAAGAAAAAAAAAAAAATATATATATATATATATACATTTTTTTTCTTAGATTTATCTTCAACTTAGACCGAGTTTTATGTTCAAATTAAGCTTTCGTTTTGAATGAAAGTTTTTTTTTCAGTACACAGTTTTGAAACTTCTTAACTGTTCTCCCGACTGATCTCGTTACGTCGTTACGTAACGTCATTACGCATACATAGGCACTCGGCAAAAAATAAAAGTGATGAAATGAACGAGGCCCAAACAAAGAGTCTGTCTGAAACTAATCCAAGTAAAATAGATTGACGGACTACAAGAATCCGCCAACAGTATATGGTGCAAAACAAAAAAGTTTATACCATAATACTTTCCATAAGTTGCTTTGAGTGGGATGAATCATACTGTTTAATATTGGTTTCTTGTGACCTTCGGTTTTTTTTCAATGAAATTTTACTGTTCCAACTGGTAGCACAATTTGTCTCTTTATCTTTTACCACTCCAGACTGATAATAAGGTTAAAGCTGAAGACTCTGGCGGATTCTTGGAAGAACTATCTTCATATAATCACGCGTTCCTTTTAAAAATCTGCTGTATTGCTTTGTAAGCGTGCAATATGTTAATTCATTCAGTCTAACAATCGTTTTATCTTTGAAGATTCTCTGAGTCGATGCAAAGTTTGGAACCTGGTTAAAATACGTTTTAGAGCCACTACCGAAAATCAAAACACGAAAAAAAAAATGAACTTCTAGAAAAAACATTTTTCAATTTAAGAAATAATGACTGAGAGCATGTTCAAAGGTAACAATGCTTGGCAATAACAACAGTTTTTTTTCCTTAATCCAGTTTTATTTGCTTCTTAATAAAGCTAACAGCTATTAAAAATACGACGCATGTTTTGATATTTCTGTTTTCTACTTTTTTTCCGATAACAATTCCTCTGGAATTCTGGAATGGTAACTGTCCTTTTTCCTGTTCTTGTTGTTTTCTGTCTTTCCAAATAATGTGCCAATCATAATGTGCTGAATCTTAAAAAACCAAAGGCCGGCGCGGGTAAGATTCCATCGAGTTCACAAAAATGTTAACCTCAAGAAATTTGTACCTTGCGGCAAAATCCTATTCCCATCCGGAGCTTTTGCAAGCTCTTAATTTTAAAAAATCCCATTGTCGTTGAAAACCTTAAACTGTTAGTATTAACGGATCCACATGGCATCAAAAGAGGCAGTGTAAAATTCTGAATGGATTTTTCATCGTCGAAAATAATCCTGCAGAGACGTTATCCATGAGGATAAAATTAATTCCCTTGCGAGGCAAAATTCCCCTTTGTCAAGCTGTATTCTAAGCTCGTTGTCTCTGCCACACTGAGAACTTTTATGATCGGTTGCAAGGCTGCGCATGCTTGCTGGCAACTTTGTTTTCACAAAAATATCCCTATCTTTTATTCAGGCCTATTACCCAGGGGGAGTGATATGAGTCGTCAACTGTTTACGCCTTGGAGTTTCTGGAGCGCATGCTCTAAGACCTGTGGTGTTGGATTTCGAGTTCGCAGGCGCTCTTGTATAAATCCAACACTCTTTCCCACTGGTGGATTGTGTAACGGACTTTCCATTCAGCATCAATCGTGTTTTGATCGAATCTGCCCAGGTAAGAAGATCATCTGACTAGGTCTGAGTGCGAATACGAACTGTAGACAAACAAACAGATAGACAGGCAGGCTGACCATCCGACTGAATTACTAAAACGACCAACCTATCGAATGACCCACTGATCGTTGATGTCATCTGATAACAGATTGACTGACTAGCAAACCGAATACAAAATTGATCTGCATGACTAAATGAGTAACTACTGAGTAACTGAGTGACTGATCGATTGAGCGACCAACCAACAAAATATGTGGTCAGAATTCCTGCCTGAGTCATCTGAGTCACTGACTGAACAGGGGACAGAATGATCTGACTAACAGACCTTATGACTGATCGAAAGATTTAGTGACAGACGTGCCCAATTCATGACTAGTTAACTGTTTGCGACACTGACTGACGAACTGACAGACTAAATGACGAATCAACTGAGTGACGAACCGCTAGATGACAGACAAATAAGAGGCTGACCAACAGAGAGAGCTTCGGATTGGAAATCGTTCTACTAATCCCCTGAAACCGACGAGTGTTGACCAAACTGCATCGTTGTTTTCTTTAACAAAATCTTAATTCTTTTTTTATATTTTGTAAACTGACAGCATATACCTCTCAGATTCTTCCAAGCTTAAGCCAAGGCCTAGAAGCTCAAAGCGTCAAGTTATTCGCTTTTAATCCAGCGACAATTTATGCAGGTGACGTAAGGAATAGCGGTGAAAAGAAAGTGTTTTTCTTAAACGTAATAACTCTAGAGTTTCACAGTAATCATCAATTGTCTAGAAAAGCGAAGTTTTTATTTCTAACGATTTTTAGCTTTTCAAATATTTGTTTAGAACATCAGTCTAAGGTAAATTCAAAATCAGGGCTACACGAATTAAGATTTCAATCATCAAATGTTAGGTCTGAGTTTGAAATGCTCGTCGCGGGTTCGTTTTGGTCTTTAGCCCACGTTGGTAACCAATATTTGAATACCAGGTTCAAATTGTACCATCTTTCTTTTTTTTTACTGATTTCTAACATTGTTTTATGATATTTAGCGTTTCATAACCCACGAGTGTCCAACTTGCAACATGTAACAGAGCCTGGTCTCACTCGTGCACTAACTAAAGGTGAGTTTACACGTTCACCTTGATCCCACGCAAGACATTTCTGTCGTGGCCCTTACATCTTTTTGCACACACGCAACACGGATGAGTAAAACAGCTACTACTAGGCGAAATCTTGAATGATTTCGGTATAAAAAGAATATACAATATATTCAATATGCAACTTAAGGACTCTCCTACCACAAAAGCGTTTAGCGCGCTCTTTTTTAGTATGAATTATAGAGACGATTTTAAGACGTTTTAATTCTACGTTACTTTCAGTTTCCGCGAATTTCATGGGTTCTCTTGCCGGCAGCGTCGTGTACGTAAGTTTAAGTCGATATAAGCTGTGTTTTAACTTGATGCATTCCTTTTCCTTCTGTCAGATGGCGGATACAGTGATTGGTCAGACTGGGGTAACTGTGACAGGTCCTGTGGAGGAGGCGCTCAGGTGCGAACCAGAATTTGCAACAACCCCCTGCCCTCTGGTGGCGGAAAGACGTGTCATTCGTTAGGACCGGCCATTCAAGTTCGACGCTGCAACCGCCGTGGCTGTCCAGGTATATTTAGCAATCAATAACGGTTTACTCTTGACTCATTTAGGAATGGAAAAAAGACTCTAAGAAGGTCATGAAAAGCGAGGTTATTGTTGACTGAAAGGGTGAAAGGAATAGAGCCGTTTACATGACGTCTTTTTCGAGCATTAAACTAAGCCTCTCTTCCTCATCCGTCTCCAGACCTCTGGTTGAGAGACGATCAAAAATGTTGCAAAATTAAAGAAAATATTAAGACATGTACATTCTGATAGACAGTCTCGACCTTCTTATGGACGTTGTTGTACAAAATCGAGAATTCTTTATCAGAATGGCTCAACATTGTAGAACTGTGTGCAAAAAGGTTGCTCACAAGTTCTCTCACAATGCTACCCGGGAGAATTTCAACGCTTGAGACTTTCTCCAAGTCAGAAGTACATGTACACGAATCTATATCCCTGAACTATTTTCATCTTCACCACAGTGGATGGAGGATACAGTTCATGGAGTGCATTTGGTCCTTGCTCTAAAACATGCGGCAGTGGCGGAATTCAACGGCGGATTAGAACCTGTACAAACCCAGCACCAATGAATGGCGGGAAGTCATGCTTTGGGGACCCTGTGCAAACACGAACCTGCAGCACAAGGAGCTGCCCAGGTACTTCAGCTTGCTGTCAAAGGCTAAAATCAATGATTTAACTTCTCTGAACGGGCAATTGGGCAAGAAGGCCTAGATATTTTTTGACACTAGATGATGGTTCTGTAGTTGACTTGCATCAATGATCAGGGTAATTACTCACAGAGCACCTCACTTCACGGTTAACTAAATGTAGGAAGTGACAAACTGTAAGAGAACATCTTACCACATGCTGTGCATGCTTGACAGGAAGAGAGAATGGCAAACCCCCAGACACTTCACTCCACAAAAGAGCAAGAAGAAGTTTCGGCCAAAGCGAGTCTCCTTGACCCTACAAGTTACCCTTACCCAATCCACCTCTCTAATTTAGAGATTCCCAAAACAGATTAAAATTAAGTGCTCAGTTACGTCACTGATGATTCATCAACTGCGTTGTAGCGTTCTGGCAACTTTAACAGAGATTTACCGTTTACTTGTACAGTTGATGGAGGATACAGTATGTGGTCACCCTGGCTGCCGTGTGACGCCGATTGCGGTGGAGGAATTCAAGAGAGAAGCCGTTTTTGTGATAATCCCCGTCCAGAAATTGGTGGAAGAGACTGTACCATTTTCGGCTCAAACAGACAGACACGACTGTGTAACCTGTTCCCTTGTAATGTAAATAGTTTTCAATAAAAATAAAAAAGTTAAGAGTTCTTAACCCTTTAACTTCCGTGAGTGACCAAGAAAGAATTTCTCCTTGCAATATCAATACATTACCGATCAGATTAGTGATGAGATTAAAGAAAAATATCAATTTGGGGATAATTAGATGATCCAATACTAAATTCTCTGAACTGACATTATCAGAATTTTATGGTTGACAGTTAGGAGAATGACAAATTTGATCTGTGAAAGGGGTTTACTGTAAAAAGCCAAGTATTGTTATAAACATTAACATGAACTCTGAGGTACATTTGCATGACATGAGTATTATCCGTTATCTTTATCACTATAAGTTCAACAATTTCTTTGAAGAGTTGGATCTAAAATGTTAATCCTTGCATTCTATGGTGAACCATATAAACGCACATAACAATTCATAGCATATCAATCATAATTTACTACAGCACCAATGCCTAAAGAGAGAGACATATTGTAATAAAATATATTTCAAAACAAAACAATGATTACTGACTTTATATCTCAGTTTGGTGCCAACTGACCCCTTTCCACATAATTGCTAGTAATTCCAACACGAGTGCCTTAGAATTGGATCTGCCAGCCTGACCCAAGACAGAGATTTGTTAACTCAAGATATGAATTCAAGAGTAAAATTCACTGCTTTCATCGACACTAAGCTTGTAAGTTATCAGAAACTCTTTAGAGCAAACCACTGAGATCTCTTTTCAGTCTGTGTACAAAATAATATACACAGACCATTACTTAGGCTATCTTTATAAAAAAAAATACCATAATCAGTGCCATTTCACTTACAAGAGATTGAATAGCACCTCATAATTACAAGTTGTGTTCTATGATATCACAACAAACAACCATTTTGAAGCCCAATGTCACTGTAGATTAGGGGTGCAAGTGTTTGATGGAATGAAGAATTGATCTTTTATCACCTCAAGCCTGCAAGATTCCCTTTGGATTATCCTCTTAATAATGGGAATTGGTAAGTTATAAAACAGTGCTTTATTTGAGTTATTTTGTTTGTTTCTATGCTTTATGTGTATGGTACTGTATTTAAATTTTGATCAAAATGGTAAATGATAACCAGGCCCCTTTGCTGCTTACATCGCCACCCCATCCCCAAAAAGGAAAAACACACAAACAAACAAATTAGGCTTAGAAGAAAAGGATAACTCTCCAAGTCTATGCAGTTGGAAAAGAGGGCAGTTTATTGCATTTGTTAATGACTAATGTCATGGTAATGAGAAACTTCATAAAAAATATAGATTGTTGTTCACCACAAGTAAATAATAACTTTAGTCAATAATACCTGAATAAGAACTAAACAAGTACTAACAGTTTGTATCATAATCAAACCAGTAAATTACTGGTTATATCACCAGGAAAAAGCAATGGGCAGTCAGTTTTCAACCAAACACTTTTTTAAAATAAAAAAGTTAAGTTTTCAATGACTCTGATACTGACACTTTGCTACATTTAGTAAATATTGCAGTAGAGGCTTCTTTTTGGGTGGAAGAGGACTTTCCTGTGAAAGGAGAGAACTGTATGAAACCATAAATTATCTGTAAGTACATGCATGTATTCCCCTGTAAGCAAGTGTTAGCAAAAATCCCCCCACCTACCCCCTAGTTTAGCACATAGATTTGAGACTAGCAACTTGCCTTGTGAAATATGTATGTTTGTAAAGGCTGATTTAAAAGCAAGTTGGAGTGTAAATAACTGCTTCTTGCCTATGAAATTTGTTTTTTATCAACACTAAAAAAACTTAGGTAAAAATCAATCTTGGTTAGCTCTACAACCTCAATCATTGTGTGGGTTTAATTTATTGATTTTGTACTCTCTTCCTTTGCAATACATGGCACTAGCATCATCTACTATCTGCAACACAAGAAAACACAAACATAGCCAGCTTGTGGCTTTTTTGAGGCAAAAAAAAGAACAGTTTTATACAGTTCTACAGGTACATTTGTACATTTTCACTTTTGTTCTACCAGAACGCACAAATGTACAGCAAGAATTTGAAAATAATTAAAAGAATTCTATAAATTTGATAGGATAGTAAGCCACAAATGCAGGATCTGTACACAATGGAAAATATGGCAAGGAAAACAGGATATCTGTGAATTATGGAATCATGTAGCATAATGAGTCACATTATTTTGCAGGCATCAAGCCAGCTTAAAGACAACCTCTTAACAATTTACCCAAAAGGTAAATACAGGTTCATATTCTAACACAGTTAACACTGTATTGATGCTAAAAGTCTGTAAAATCTGGGGCTTTTGTACATCAGCATGAAAATTTTTTCCTAGATTTCTTTTTGTCCTTTTTAACTTTAATTACTCCAGATTGTTCATTGGCCTTTGCTTGTTGTTCCTTCTTTTGCCGTAGAACCATACGTGTTATTGCATTGAATACCTACAGACAAATGTGTTAAAAATGAAATGAAATAAGTCTGGATGCTTGCAAGTTCAAGAATGAATTTAACCAAATCATAAAGTTCAGACTGACTCACTGACTGGCTGAAGAATAAACCGAACAGAAGGACAGCCATACAGAATGGTTGGAACAACATGATGGAAGAAAGAGATGTCTTGCATAGCTTGTTGACTGGCTGACTGGCTGCTTGACTGACTATTTCAATGACTCATTGGTCACTGACTGATTGATTGACTGATTAGCAAAGATTGATTGATTGATTGATTGACTGATTAGCAAAGATTGATTGATTGATTGACTGATTAGCAAAGATTGATTGATTGATTGACTGATTAGCAAAGATTGATTGATTGATTACCTGAGAATTCTGATTGATTGGAAGATTGATTGATTGGCAACCATTGATTTATTTATTGACTAGTTTAGGTGGTGATGTTTATCGATTAATTGATTCAATGATTGAGTGAGTGAGTGATTTGTTTGTTTACCCTTTTACCCCAATGGCCAACAAGCATCAACTGTGTAGTTTCTCCTGACAGTATCACCCTTGAATCCAACATTAAGGTCATGAGAATAAAGGAAATGTTTGCAGACTCAAGAAGCTCTTAAATAAAATGTATAGTGAACAATATGGAGAACCTTGCATACTAATGTTAGGATGTAAAAGGATAATTAATTAATTTGTAAATTCATGGAACAACTGATTGATTTACTGACGGATTAATTGGCTACCTGACTCAAAGACTGATCTATTGATTGATCCAAAGAACAATATCAACAAAATGTTTTGCTGAATTTAAGTAAGACCTTCTTAAATATGGCATTATTTAAGTATATGTCACTCCACAATATACATCCTTTAAGAAGCAGAAATTAAAGCAAAAAAATTTTGTTGATAAAATAGCTAACAATAATGAAAAATAAAGACTTAATTAACTAAGTCAGATATAAAAGAACCTTAATCACAATTTACTGCATGTGTCTAGTTATGGAATTGATTCCATTACCAGAGTCTCTCTCACTACACAAACTAAGAGTATCTCCTGTTTTGCTTAAAACAAAGGCAGACCTGAACATACAATATGGAAGAACAATACGTACATCTTCTACATTTTTGTTGTCTTTTGCACTTGTTTCAAATACTTGGATCCCCATTTGTTCTGCAAACTTCACAGCATCTTCTTTTACAACAACCTTTTTTTCTGGATTATCATCTTTGTTACCAACTTGGGAGAAACAAAACAAAATCAAATTACAAAGCTGCAAACCAACTAAATACCATAGATATTATAAACCAGGTCTCCAAACTGCAAATTTAATCACAAATTTTTTTTCCAATCACCATGATGACCTAAACAGCTGCAGCTTGGAGTGCTGACTGCAAGTTCTGCTCTCTTGTCACTGTTTTTGCTTTCATTGCACTGTACATATTAACTATTCATGGCATCAAGATTACTTTATGACCAGTAAACAAGAAAACCTACACGTAAATCAATACATACAGCGACTGGAAGCCAAAACACCTAGACCCAACTCTGGGTGACGAGAGGAACACGCAATAACAGCCCTTTTCAGTTTCTTATATTGTAATGTAATTAAATAGAAAATTTTATCTTACATTTATTTCAATAAGACATGCGTGTTTAAAGGTAATGAGATTTGACTCACCCAAAATTCTCTGGACATCGTCACAATTTTGATCAATTTCATGCAGCCATCTTTTCACATTGACAAATGTATCAGCACTTGTTACATCATATACTACAATAACTCCATGTGTTCCTCTGTAATATCTGTTGATTATATGCCATAAACAAATAAAAGTTATTCAATATTTTCACCAGAGATCTAGCTCATTTAAGGAGGACTGTAAATGCATTGTCATACAGGACATTGTGTTGTTCATCAAGCCAAGATGGGCACACCAGTAGAAAGGGGGTAAGTTTCTTAAGAAACTGTGGTGCTGTGCTGTTGGGAGAGTATAACAGGGTAATTAAGTATAATCAACTGAGTTGATAACAAATCAGTCATTGTAAAGAGTTTCAAAGTAAGTATGTGAAGTATGTAAAGCTAACATTTCAAGCAATAGCCCTTCATCAGGGCAAATGAGGAGGAGCTAATGCTCAAAATGTCAGCTTTGAAACTCTTTATGGTGGCCAATTTGTGTTGCTTGCTGTATGAATTGCCCAGAACACAATTAAATTTTTTTTGGTAATAAACATTGCAATACTGAATTCATCTCGCACAACAATAGACTAACATTGTGTAACTCCTCTTTCTATAATTTACAAACTGATACCTTTGTATTTATATGTATCAGCTTGCTGTAAACTGTATTTTTTTAAAAATGCAATTATAACATGTATTACAATTAAAATGACATTTAACTGCAGAATGGTTCTTACGTTGATGTTATTGTGCGAAATCTCTCCTGTCCTGCAGTATCCCAGATCTGTAATTTGACCATCTCCCCATCAACATTGATCTTTCTTATCTTAAAATCCACACCAATTGTTGTAATGTAGGATCCTGAAAAAGTTTCCCAAAAGAAGACAATCTGGTCAAACTTAAGGAGCAACATACATGTATAATGCATAATGTATGTATAAGCAACAACCAGTGACTTAATCTAGTTGTGAAGAAATAAAATGAAGGGAAGCCAGCCCTTTTCGGTTCACTGGAAACTACCCAGTATTATTTTATGTCTGTTGCCCGCATAAAATTTTCAGACAAAACACCATGTTGTTTAGCCAATCATAAGTAAGCAGTAAGAAATTTACCTCACAATTCTGTTGGTCTTAAAAACTATTGCTAGTACATGCAAAACATCACCTGCAGTTCTGTTCATTTTTGAAATTACATAATTCAACTGTAGAGATCAAAACAAAAATCTCATGTATATACCTGAAAACATATTATCTGCAAATCTGAGTAACAAACTGCTCTTTCCAACACCTAAGAAGAGAACAAAAAGAAAAAAGGTTGAAGACGATTTCTGCACTTATTTGGTTACACTATTGTACACATTCTACATGTATGACTGAAGAGAGATCCCAGCATTGAAATAGACTGAAATTAACAGCCTACCTAATTCATATCAATTTAGGAAGCTGATATTTCAACCTTACACCTCTGTCACCTTTGACTAAGAGTCTCCCATCAACTGACCCTAAAAGATATTCTCCCTTATCAGGGCTTGTACAGATTAAGAATGTGCTAGAGCCTTGACACTACAGGTACAGTATCACACAAAAGTCATGAGGTCAAACTGACTTAGACACCTTGTTGGAATGCCAAATGATTTTTCCTATTAACTGTATTTTGCTACTTGCTATGCACCCACATTGATCTTTCTGATTCAAATTTTAATTCTACTCACTTTTCATTTGTACAATATTTCAACCCTGTCATCGTATTTTCAAAGGAAGTGCGCGCGTCAAACACAAGGTTCTATTTAAGTGAAATTTAAGCGTGAAATTCTGCTACAATCCCTCTAAACTTCTGATTTTATGTCCAAATTTCTGTTCTAACTCCCGGGATTTTGTCTTTGGTTTCCGTCATCATAACAGAGAAGCTTTACAAGCGACGCTTTGAGTGCCAGTTGGAGGATAATGATCACACTAGCTCAAAGCAATGCTAGAATCAGCTGTTTGTAAATAGTTTGAATGTTGTGAAACTCTTGACATTATGATTGTGTAAACATAAAAGCTGACATAACACACCAAAAGAATTGCTTAGATATACCTAGCTCTACCAAGAAACCACTGAACTACTTCTATCGGTTACAAAATTCGTTCGCAATGTACGTCAGAAGTCATCGAAACATGATCGTTCGTGTTACACAAGCAAATTACGGCCCGTTTGTTTACAAGGGCAATTGTGAACAGTAGCTCTCTTATCAGGACAGCCGAACCATATCAGGCTTATTTAGCATACGCTAAAAGACCTGGAAATTGCGGTATGATTTTACAAGTACTACGGTTTGTTCTGATGTCGTTGGCAATTTTTACGACGTTTTCACTATAGCTACCTCTCAGTCCGGTTTCCTTATAGTAAGTCACAATTTTTCTCTCACTCACCGCTATCCCCAATGATTAAGAGCTTGAATAAATGATCATAATCCCTGGCAGCCATATCTGAATACGCATTTAAAATACTTACACAAGCTTAAATAGAAAAGGGAATATTTCCCCTTTGCTCTCACAGGAAGTAAGCTTCTGTTAGGACTCGAGTAGAAGTTGTGATCACGTGGTACATTCGAGGTGGGGCTTAGCTCGACCCAGATTGTTATCAAGCTTACTTCAAAGGCTTGGCTCCCTAATAAGAATTTGTGATTACGTAACCTGGCCAGCTAATCGGAACGCCTTGCAGTTGCTTTTCTGTGATAAACAGTTGAAAATAATTATGACCTTTTTATGCCTCAAGAGGTGGTGTTGTTTTGTTTGTAAGAGTCGTTTGCGTGTTAAAAAAGGCTACTTACCGAAATGGCAAAGTTTTTCGCATTACAGCGCTATGACTGGGAGGTGAGGAAGTTTGTGTCTTTAACAACTTACAAAATTGCCTTTTAAGGAAGTTGTTTAAACGCATTGACCGGAAAGGAAGATCAACTACATTCTCATTGTGTGCCAATGCCAGTTTTGTTTAAATAGAACAAAGCTATTGACTTTAAACGAAATCCTTTCCTCGATTTAAGAGAATGTGACTCAACACGTAATGAGGAGCAACCTGTTACGGAGCGGATTTGAGCTGCAGAAGCAAGACCTTGCCTAATTAAAGCGTTGTTTTTCATTTTCTTTCGCTTTTCCTCTCAGTTCAGCAGTTAATTTAGCTTATGAAAGTATAGATGCAACTACTGAAGGGGGACGATTTACCACCTATAGTCATTTTACATGGCCTGTTTGGATCAAAAACAAACTGGAGAACACTGGCCAAGTTATTTAACAGGGAAACTGACAGAAAGGTAGACAACCAACCTCTTTCTGCATTTTCAATTTTCCCAGATCTTTCATTATTTTCAATCACGTTTTAGTTGTTTTGTCATGTGTCTTCCTGTTTACATATTTTTAAAAATTACATGGATTGTACACTTGGCAATTTCTATGCTCATAGTAGACAATGAATAAAAAATTGTATGATTGATAATTAACTCTGGGATACAAAAACATTCAGGTGGACAGTAAAAACACTCTTTATTGATATTCTCTTTGTTAGAGGTTGACGGACACATGCACCTATACAGAGATGTAAAAACAGCCTCCTTGCAGGCATTCTCTACATTTAGGGTTTCATCTGATATGAGTAGAAACCCTTTGATTCACACTGTTTTGTCAGAAGTTGACTGATGGGCAAGCAGACAGACAGTGAGAAGTTACACAGACAAACAGACAACAGACAAGTCCACTGATTCTCATTCTGTTCCCCACAGATTGAAAACTGAAAGGGAGACTAAAAAATATACATTCAAAGTGACTGAAAGAAAGAACTATTCCTCAAATTACAAATTATTCAAAATTATTAAAAAAAAAATTCAAATTATTCCTTTTTATAAGAGATGATGACAAGAAGGCAGATGGGTAAACAGCTATCTAATCTCAGAATTTCACACTCTCCTACTACAGGTAGTTACTGTTGATGCAAGAAATCATGGGCAAAGTGATCATAGTCCAGACATGAACTACTTCGATCAGTCTCTGGATTTATGGCATTTGTTTCAAAAACTGGAACTTTCAAAAGCAATTTTAATGGGTCACAGTATGGGAGGAAAAACTGCCATGACATTTGCTCTGTCTCATCCAGAGTTTGTGGACAGTCTTATAGTAGTAGACATGTCACCTACAAAACTGTCTTTAGATGAAGATATTCCACGTTATCTTGCAACAAAGCGGGCTATGGATTTAAATCTCATCAAGGATAAGAAAGATGCTGAAAAGATGTTAATGGATGTTGTACCTGTAAGTGCAGTACATTAAATGTTTGCTTTTGACCCTTCAACTCTCAAGATCTGATTCTAAATTCTCCCCTCTAGCTGCTACACATTTCCTTGTAAATTAGTTACAAGAATTTGGTGTTATATAGGATAAAAAATTCTCCCTGATAAGTCTGAGGATTCTCTTTACCTGTTTGCTAGATAATGGATGCTTATTATAAGGAGAAATTATGTGCTAATCACATCTAGGAGTTAACGGTTAACTTGAAATGTAGCTCAAACCATATGACAAATTCTAATTAAAATTCACTCTTTGAAATCTTTTCTGATTGTTGGATACAGAACGCATTCTTGAGATCATTCTTTCTCACCAACCTTATAAAAAGTGCAGCTGGTTTTAAGTGGAGAATTAACCTTGAAGCCTTGGAGAATAACATATCTGAAGTTGCTGGTTTTCCATCAAATTTTCCTCACCAACAGTTTGAAGGAAAGACACTTTTTGTTGGTGGAGCTAAATCAGACTACATCCAGTAAGTGCAATCATTATGTTCAACATTGCTCAACCTTGGAGAACATGTCTCTGTGTAAGCTTGTGAAATGTAATTGAAGATTACATGCATGAAAGCCATTAATTTTTTAAATTTACACGTATGATAGATTACAGATTGAAGATTTGTAAATGTGTGCAGTATTTACAGATTTTATTTCTGCAGACTGATATTTTTAACAGTTAAAAAAAATTGACTGTTTGAAGAAAGCCATCTTGGTTCATGAATAGGGATGCTTTCGCAGGCATAGATACTAAATGATTATTTTATGGAATCGAAAATAAACTTAAGAATAGTCCAGACTGTTTTGTCTTAAATACTTTATAAAACACTAGAAATTTTGTAGTTATGCTAAATCAACTAAGTTAAAATCACTGACAGGTTCTGATTCATTTTCATTTTATGTATGTTTTTTATCAAGATGTTACCAGCCAGAGAGGAACTTAAAATAAGATATGTACATTTTAACAACCTGTTACCCATGTAACTGAATGGACACAATCATCCAGTGTGGTTCTTCCTGTCTGTCATATTAAATGTTAAGAACCTCACAATATTATTTCTTTTTCAGGCTAGAGGAGTTTCCTGCAATTCGCAAACTGTTTCCCAGAGCAGACATTAAGTTTATTCCTGATAGTGGTCACTGGCCTCATTCAGAAAAACCAAAAGAATTTGCACAGACCGTGATAGAATTCCTAGATGAATGTTTACAGGATCATCATTAGCATTACTTGAAAGTACTTGTATGATCATGTCACAAATACCCACAGGAACAATTGCTTTCATTTTTTCCTGTATATTTACACCTCTTTAGTAAGAGCTTCAAGATAACATTCATATTTATGAAAACATTTTTTTTAAAATGCATACAAAGTATTTTGTTAAAAAAATATATTATTGCCACTGTAGGCTTAATTTCATCTTGGGTGTTTGATCAAGAATATTTAAATTCAGGTAATGCAATGACCAAAATTATTTGTGCTTGTTTCCAGTCAGAGTAATGAGATATAATGTTTTTATGCATATGAATAAAGCTCATTTGTCAAAATCAATTAATTGTAGTTGAACATGTATTAGCAAAGGCAGAACTCAAACCTGTCTAATCCAAAAAGGTGAAAATTACCATTTATCTGCCAAATAATTCTCCATTGCTGTCAACGATTCTGGAATAAATATGATAAAAGTTTGAAGTAGGGGTAGGTCAATTTTCATGAGACTGGTGACTAATTAATGGTCACTGTAAAGAGTTTTTAGAGCTGACATTTTATGCATTAGCCCTTTGTCAGGAATTAGCTTACAATCTCTCAATAAATTTGACTACACAATTCAAGACAGCAATTAGGAGCCATCAAGCTTGATCCAATTGATTTGGGTTTGCTGTTAGAAAAAGGATAAACAGCCCTTATACCATGTTTCCTTCTCCAATGAATTATAAGGAGATGTCCAGGAAATGAACATATGCTGCCCCTACCCCCTCCTTCTTGAGAAGAATCAAGAAAATGGCAGAACTTTTTACACCCAACATCAGTATTTATATTCTCCATAATGTCCTTTATACACTTCTTAAGATGCTGACAAGGAGGGAATTTCCTGACATGAAGAATTTGTTACCTGTTTCTTGTAATAAATATGTTTCATTTCATTTTTGTTTCAAATAACTTTATTCTTTCAGATACAGAGCATTAAAACAACTTCCTTGGCAAGAACCCATCCTTGTAAATTAGCAAGAGTGTTTCTCAACAGCTGCAAAATTAATTTATCCACAACTGTGTCATGTACTCTTAAACACCTTCACAGCCTGGGATGACTTGAAAGTTGTTGTACTAAACACTTTGTCTTTCTTTGCATTTCTACCAATTTGTGCTGTAAATTATATCAATTAAAGAAATGTAAAATATTTAGCCTACATACCGGTAACTAAATTTTGTTATTTTTTCTTGATTGTGAAATATAAGGAAAAGAGTTTATGTGAGCATGTATAGCCACTTGAAAAACCTACACCCTACTCAAATTACTCTGCTCATTGGTATTGGAAGAAAATGAATTTATAGTTCAGTATGGTCTGTAACATCATCTTCCTCATCATCATCATATTCTTCTGTATCACCCTCTTCCAGCTCCTCTTCTTCTGGCTCTTCCAGCTCTTCTGGCTCTTCCGGTTCCTCTGGCTCATCTGGCTCCTCAGGAACTTCACTCCTGGCTTCTGCTGACTTAGGCAATCCATGCTTTTCTAAGAGTTGGGATATTTCATCTGTCTTCATCTCTGAAACATCTTCCTCCTGCATGGAAAAACAATGGAGGAGGTTGATAACAAAACAACAGTGACAAAAGTTTGTGAGAATCATTGAGCTATCAGATAACTGAGGTGTCAGTGTCTGTATGGTCATCAAGAGCTTTGTCAGATAAAGTAAGATTGGGACTTCTAGAAAATGACACTGCCATGGTAAAACAGTTTACTCACCAGCACCACCTTGTTGTCAGAATTTAAGAACACCATGGTTGGGTCTTTACCAGGAATGTACTTAATGTTCACATCATGGCTATACATCATAAAGGAACATAACTGACACTTTTTGGTACATTACAGATGGGGAAAAAAGGTGTTAAACACATGTACATGTGAAGTCAGCAATTGTACCTAGTCCCTCACTCTGCTCAAGCTTATTCTTGTTTCCTGAGCATGAAGCAAAAAGGAGTATTGTCACCCCCTTTAGACAGATGCTTGTCCAATGAAGGTTACTTCCTCCCCCCTCCCCTCCCACACGCACATGGACACTCCCACCAAAAGTCATTCCAAACTAATGAAAAGCTGTTAGACATGTGCTGTATGGCAAAAGTTCCTAGTCCTTAAAAAAGCTGTTATAGAGGGATTGCACTTTAGTTTCAATTTGCATCAATGGACAAGAATAAAAGGATACTGGAAAGGCAAAAGCTTTGAAATGAAAGCCTTCACCTGTGGAAAAATATAAAAAGAGTATTTTTTAGTTAAACTGATAAAAGACATAATATGAGCTAGCTTAACTGTGGTACCACAATAACAGTTTTGATTTGTGCTGAGGTCTTGACTGATTGATAACTCTCACTTGAAAATGAAGTAAACTGCTAAAAAAGCAAGTTTGATTTCTATTTACACATTCACAAGATAGGTAGAAACTTGTAACAAGACTTCTTTTTTTTCTTTTCAACCAAGCTTACTTAAAAGCAAGCAGGGAGTAAATCTTACCTCTGGGAGGCGATTCAAACGTCATCCACCACAGGTCTGAGAAAAATATAACAATTAGTAACTTTGAGACCAAGTGTGTGTACATATTTTTTTAAACCCTTAGTTGTATAAAAAAAATCTGATACCTTAAATATGCTGGAGTAGTTCTTAAAAAAGTCTACACAGCTGTATCAATAGACATTTTCCAAAATATCAAAATTCACAAAAATAACAAGTATACAGATGTACACAAAAGAAATAATAACATGCATATTTTGTTCCCTCTACTTCTTTCCTTGAAACCACTCTATCAAGGGATCAAGGGAAATATTATTCAGTTGAGAAACATGGTAAATTCTCCAGCTCAGTTTTATTCATTTTGTTATGAGCAAGGAAAAAGAAAAAATCTCAGTTCTCTTGATGAATCCAAGACTCACTGACAGACCTAGACTCTTGTTTAAAAATCCATGATTAATATTTAACAATTTTAGCTACACATTTTATGCATTCTACCAGAGTTGCTGACCAAAGTAAGCACACTATAAACAATATATCAAGAGGTATTGCAAACAGTGACCAAATGGAGAGTTTGCCTGGCCATGGTTTTTCAAGTTATCATTCCCTGACCCTATCTTAACTTTATCTAACACTTCCAACAAAACAAATAATTTAAGAATTTTCAATTGATTCATCTCATGAGGTTCATATGTGCCCCTTCTCAACACTCAAAAGAATAGCCATCCCCCTAGCCACCCTCCTTATAAGATTTACCAGGCTAATTCTCCCGCAGCCTAACGGAATAATTATCGCATATTGCTCTAGGAACAGAAAAATTACACCATTTCTAGCCAATGAAAAAAGATGAGAGGGTTTCACCACAATGACCACAGACAATAAAATATTAAAGAGGTGAACGACTTGCAACAAAAGAATCAAGGACTACATGAAAAATTTTCTTTTTCTTTCCGTTATTGCAGTGCGTAATCATTTTAAAGCGATTTTATCAATTTTGATCGATCCAATGAGGAGAAAACTTTCTGAGGCATGCCTAACTTTAATTTACATGAATAATCTTGATGGCTTCTGGGCAGACGATTAGTACAAAGACGGAAGCTCAATAATTGACAAGGAATAATTCACGCCTTCTAAAGTTGCAGTTATTTTACCCTTTAGGAGCTGGACGGCTACTTACGTACAAAAAATACTTACATTTAATGAGTTATTTTACTGGAGGAGCAGAGAAACCTGCGCCACTACCGTTCCCACAAAGAATCTTACAGCTGTTTAACAGATCGAACCTTCCACTCTTGAAAAGTCTGTCTGTTTTAACATGATAAACAAACAGGCTGACTTCAACACACCTCTAAACGGGCTCTCACAATAGTTCCATTGCCTGAATCCTGTTTATCTTTGCAGAATGAAACTGCAAAAATAGAAAGGAGAACGAAAGTAGAAAATGGCGATACGCCTCTCATTCTGCCGTCTCGTCGCCTCCAGCAGTCTGTTATTGTTGAAAGATAATGAAACGTGTTCCAGTCGGGATGGTTCAGGGGTGTTCCGATACCGGAACCTAATTTATGTACGAGTGTTCCCGACTTGTGCCGACTGTTTCACGAACTTGCAGCTGAACACACCAGAGAACATACCGGTCAGTTACGTTGGCAAGAGGAACGTCAAGTTATTGGGAAGTTTTCCCTGAATTTTGTAAAACCATACAGAGGGGTTCACTGTTACTACAGATACAGGTCTAAGAGCCTCCTAAGAGCTACACTCTTTGGTGCAGACCTACAACACTTTGTTAAATTGTTGAATGCCTCGTATCTCTGCAGATGTCAAGAGCGGATAAAATTCACCCAGAAATTCAGCTCAATGGTAACGTCTCGTTAATTTCCTTTCTCTATTAGTCATTTCGTGTTGAAAAGACGAGTATGTTTTATTTTAACACTCCTAGCGTTCCCTTGTAACCCACACCTAATCTGAACGAACATACTCTATTCCCAATACTCTATTTCTAAACATAGTCTATTCCCCTTTTTAGACCAAGAATACTTAGAATCACAGCCTGTGGGGTGAAATGTACCTATAAATCCTTTTCATGGGAATAACCCCTCCAGGAACTGACCCACAACTCGACTGATGTGAAATGAAGAGGGACTGGGTTTGAGATGATCATCGTGCCTATGGGCGTAGTGAGTTAGACATCCCCTTATGTATTTGTGTGAACCCTCTTGACGATGAGAAGGACAGAGCGAACAAGGCTGAATACAACCCATTAGTCTCCATCGCGCCTTCTCTGGAATTCATGAGGGGAGCGTTGCGTGACAACCCACTGAACAGCTGCTAGGTGGATTATTCAATCAGTAATAAACAAGTTGATGTATGCACCCTGACATCAGAAAAGTGTCATTTCGGCGACACGAAAAATCAGAAATAAGGAAACTACTGCATCATTTATATTTTCATTTTACTTGTATTGTCGCATATTTGTTTGTACAATACACTTCGCCCTCTTTCTGTTCCACAGCACCCTGAAAACGAAGTCACTTGACCAGAGCAGTTTTCAATTGACTTACGACAAACCAAAACCGAAGCAATCACAACGGCCAATCATAACAAAGATAAACACCATCATTAGCCAATTAAAACTCAAATTAATAACAGGTAAACTACCAAAAGGGCGGGAAAACACTGTTGACAAGACACGATTGACTTATACTTTTCGTCTGATTGGTTCAGAGGATGGCACATATGTTCTCGACCAATTACGGCGCAAATGGCTGTTGACAGTCAATTGAAAATTTCCCTAAACTGACTTATTACTCAGTAACAAGTAAACATATCAGAGTATAATAGTAGAGCTGCCTGTTGGATAAGGAAACAATATACCTAACATAGAAATTCAAAAAGCTACAAAAATAAATGCCACTTCTGTAAAGGATAGCATGCGTCAGAACCACTTTTATAGCGCGGAAACCTCACAAAAAAGTTAATCGCGAGGTCACGCAGGCTTATGAATACCGTAAAAAAATCAAATGAAAGGAACCGATTGATTTGGTATTTTTGTCTACTGTTTTACTTTGTTTGTTATAAATACTTTACTAGCAGCTCTGATTCGTCCCAACGTTTAGTAGCTGTGAGCTAATAAATACTTAAATTTATAATGAATCAATAATTATGAGTTTAGCATGGGCTAAGTAAATTATCAACCAGACATTCTTCGGTTTACAGACCTCAACTTTCCAATTTTTGATAAACCAAATGTTTTGGTATCAACACAAAAAACTAATTGAAGCAATTTTAGGGAACACGAACCTGTACCATGTCCCTGCACCTCATTAATGGGTGCCTACAACTCGACGAGCGGGTACCAAAATATATTCAATTTATATAGTATGATTACTGAATTCGATAGCAAATTAATGACTAACATCAAGCATATTTGGACTTTTGTGGCTCTCGATAACAACATTTTAAAAACATTACAATAAAATTAAGAAATGCTAATCTGTTTTCCACATGACACTCTAGGTGTAGCTTGTAAACAGAACTAGACAAATTAGTTAACAATTGTCACCGAAAGTCATCAACAATGAAAGATCATATGCAATACGTTGCCGTTTACTTGCTTTAAATAACTATTTAACTGTTTCCACTAAGTTAGGGAAGAGGACCCCTTCCTTCCCCCCCCCCTCCCACCACCACCCAAACATTTCAGAGCTGGATCGGAATATTAATTTTATACACAACTACAATTACATAAGTTATGACCCGCTTCTTGAGTGTTACACCAGCACATGTAGCTGGTCTGTTACAATGAAATATATCCATTCATTATTAATAACTTAAAATTGCCCAAAAGAGGTCTACAAAGGCGACGGATAACAATCTATTTACAAAACTTAACTCTTTGTAGTTCGTCATCTACTGCCATTGCTTTTTTTAAGCGTCGTCTGTTGTACTTCCACCTCACAATACCTTAAAGCTCTGAGCTTGTTAAATAATAAAGAAAATATTTCCTAAGTCCATTCATTCTCGGTTATGTCGTTTGCGTTACCAGCGTTTATCCTGTTTTACTGGTTCTTGATAAGGTCTTGGACTTTTGCCACCAGACCCCGCGCGACCTTCAGTGCCGCCTTCGCGTTATGACGCTCAGCCATTTCTAAAGAGACGGCAAATAGTTATCAATCATACATTGTAAATCCCGGATATAACCCTTGGCCTTTACAATTTGGTACACTTTTTAAAATGGGGGTTGACACCAAGGGAGGCTTTTATAGTTTTATACAAGACAGTTTCTCTTCCCAACTTGTTGTGATCTTTTTGTTTAAGTGATTTCATTCTTGCGATGAAGATTGAGACTTTTGAGTGAGGACTCTTACAAAGTCCCCACTATTAAAAAGGGAGGATCGGGGGGAGGGGGGAGGGAGTGAGACGTAGATGGAGCAATAACTCAAGAGACATATAAGCGGGAGTTAAGGCGGGGGTGGAGATCAGGCAATAAGGGATAGGGGCAGTCTTATCACTTATGGAAATAGATTACAATACCATTGAAGAACTTAATGATGTCTGTGAAGTCCATTTTGTTGTCCAAAATGATATCCCTGTAAGACAAGAAGGTAAGATTTAGAGTTTCTCATCACATTAAAACACTTCTTTTCATAATGAGACAGTGAGATATGTTTGATATTGTCAGCTACCATTAAATGAAAGTTACTCTTATATTTTTTTAAACGACAGTTAGCCAACTCATCTTTGGTAACATCTCCTCGTGGATTCGCTTGCCTGTTGAAAATTCCATAAAAAACGCCCGTGCCAAAGGAAACAGTCAAAAATCAGTTTTTTCCTTTACCTGTAAAATTGAAGCAGTGCAAGGGCGATAAAAAGAACAAAGTGTTCTGAGGCAAGGTGTCTAGCTGCCCAGATGATTTCCCACACTACAAACACGTCTTCATAGAGAAGTTCTGTAAAAATATGAACACGAAAGCAAACCATCATAACTAAACTGTTATAATTCACTTGACGTCTGTCTGTTTGTGCCTGTCTATCTGCCTTTCCATCTATCTTCTTGCGTACTACTGTAAGTCGGTCAGTCTATCGGTGTCTCCCCGCCTGCATGCATGTCGATCTGTCTATCTGTTTGTATCTACGCACATAACTCCGTCTGTATGTCTAATGTGCTATGTCAGGGTGTGTGGCCACAAACCTCGTTTGAAGTCAAGAAGGAACCATCTGTAGCAGAAGTAGAAATGTGTGAGGTCGCCATTTTGCTGAAGATGTTCGAACATTTCTGGGTCGAGAATCTGCAAACAGTGAGACAAAAACTTAATAATTCCATGCACATGGTAAAAAAGCATTGATATGATATTACTTACGTAAGCTGCTCCAATGCATAATCGCTAAAATGCAGGAGTTTTCATCGCTCTTTTATCACTTGGATCGAATGAATTATTTAGGTACGTACTTGGATCAAAGATCTCATGTTTGCAAAATGCGTGTCCATAGCTCCGCCGTGTGGGAAGTTACTGTTCATTCTCTGCATGAGATCCACGAAACAGCTGTAGGTTATCGCCTCTGAGAAAAGAAGAGAAACACCTTTACAGTCGCGGAAACGACAAAAGATAACTCACTAACAAACAAGGATGACATGAGAAGTGTTTACAACCCTCCATTCTTTTTTGGTCGTTCTGCATGAGTGCAGTAACTTACCATTGTCAAAGACGACAAGCAAAGGGGCAACAAGATCACACATCCCTTGAACGTAACCAACATCCAAGGTCTTCCACACGTAACTGCAAGTAAAAACATTACAGAATCAAACGCGAAAATCATCAACTAACACGAGTCATGATACATCCTTCACTTGACTCGGAAGATGACTTTTATTCAGGCACTCCAAGGGTCAGTCGCTAGGTCCGCAGACGGATCAATGCCAGTGACTGAGCAACCACGCACCTACCCCTCCCCTAACCCGGCATTAACCCTAAGTTGTTATCAGTTGACTGTTGCGGGGTTAGGGGAGGAGTAGGTGCGGAGTTGCTCAGATACTAACATTGATCCGCTCGGACACTCTACGGTAACCCATTCAAGAAAAGTGTCGATTTTGTAACCAAGCCTTACCTGCTAATGACGTTTCTTAGTTTATCAAGGTTTTCGTGAGTAAAGTATGGATAATTTCTATCACATCTCAGGACATCTTTCTCGATTCGATGAAGATTTAAACCAAAGTCATCAAGGAGATCAGTCTGGGAGAATAATGGGCAAATCATTGAAGATCAGTAATAACAACTAAGAGCAAAGACGTCGTTTCTCAAAAAGTTGTTTAAATGATTATAGTATTGCACACGTGTGTTTCTTAACAGGTGTTCTTGTTCTTATAGTATCTAAGGGGGATACAGTGAGTCTTCAAAAGTCGATCGAAGGAAAAGTTAAAATAGCATTGAATCTGGACCTTGGTAAGTTCTGCTAAAAATCCCAAAAAGGCTAGCCAAACGTAACTCAGCCCCTCCCAGTTTTCACAGCATGAAGCAGTTGAGGGGAGAAATTCTTTTATGCACGGTACCTTCACTTCAAGTTTGTAACGTTTCCTAAAAATTCGCCTTCATATTCAGTGATACTCCTTGGTGAAGACGAGAAGCAGACAGTGTAATCAAGTCTCAATTATGTAGGAAAGCGCCAAAACAAGCTGCATAAACACCTCGATCTGACCACGGACACCTACCTCTGATCTCAAGTATCTTGAAAAAGATAGCTACTCACCGAGTATGGACACGATGCTCTAGACCCAATGCTTCCCTGACTACATTGTTTACAAAGGACTGGGACCTCCGTGTCCGTGTCGTGACTGGTCTGCTGTGACTCCTCCCGCGCGTTGGTGTCACTGTACGTGGAATCATGGCCATTTGGAACGTGACCTGTCCCATGACTGTTCATTTCCACAGCAGAATGAAATCTCTTGCTACATCGCTGGCATGTTCTTGACATTGACATGAACTTGCCATTGTCTTCCCCGCAGTCACTACAACACCCACTTTCGGCATCATCGCCATTTTTCGCTGGAATAATAAGCTGTCCATTCATTAACCTGGCTTTTGCAGCCTCATCAAGTCCTTCAATCTCGGGTTCCTCGATACTGACCCTCTGACGATTGAAATTCTCTGATTTTTCTAAGCCGCTACTGATCATTTCCAACTGTTCAAAGACTTCATCTCTACTTCCTGTGCTGTCCATAGAGATACCATCCATTTCTTGTTCTTTCTCGTGCTGTCGAATCACACTCTCTACTTCTTTCCATTCCTCCATGATGGAACGAAATTCTTCGTTAGCAGCCTTGTCAGTTGCCTGACGATCTTTAGGTGTGCTTCCAAATTTGTAGTGTCCCAGTAAATAAGGCCACACCTTAATGAAAGATGTAACATAAAATACCTTCTCAGGCAAAAACATTCTCATGCTCGCTGGTTAGCAGTGATTAAATTTACCATGTTGATGATCTTACCTCTTTTCTGATGGAGTGTTCTACTCCGCCGAAGTAGACATACTTCTTAACTTTATCCTCGTCATTAACCTGGAAGATGATCAGTTGATAAGAAAAATTGTAATCACTTTTGCAACTACGGCTCCGGCTCGAGAAGTGGTCCCTAGGTAACTACATGTGAAGCTCACAATGTATCTAGACAAGCTAGGTTTTTTTTTTCTTACACAGCTACTCGTTCATGCTATGTCTCTTTCGCAACCGTCGTTTTGACACGTCATGCAACGCGCTTATGAGCTAACAAAGGTTCCTTCAAGGAACCCAGTGACCAAAGCATGTCTAAATAAGCATAGGATAAAAGTTTAAACCAAAAATGTGTAACACTGTGTAGCTAATCACTTAACAAGAAACCTGAATTTCTTGGAAAAGAAAAGGGAAAGATAGAAACATAGACTAATGACTATTCATTATTCTCATCATCCAGCCACTGGTGTGTTTATCTCACCTTGAGCCAGTAAGCCACGAGAAACAATCAGCGGCAGCTAATGGGCTCCGCAGCGCTTATTAAAACTCGTTTACAGGCTATCTCGCTTCATGCAAACGACTAAACTTCCTGGTAACATCTGCCTAAAGCGCTGTGGCATGACCGGCGAAGCCGCGAGAGACGAGGTGGCTGGCGCAAGGAGCCGGCGAAGGGCCTGGCGCGGAAATCGCTTCCGTCGCCATCTTGCAAACGAAGCCGACTTCTCTCGCCGCTCCTCCACTCGTACCAGAGCCTGCTCAGTTCTAACGAAAAAGATTTTACCTTTCCATTACTGCACATGCTTCTCCATGTTTGTTCAGTAAGTCCCTGGGCGTAATCGACTCCGTTCTCTTCGGAATTGCTGTTGCTGTGATTAACTAGCCATAACAAATGCGTTCTAACTGTTTTGAGGTGGCGCACGTACGAAAACCCTGATGAAAAAGCATGAACACTTATTAAGCACATAAAACACTTCAGGAGTTTTAATATAACTTGGAATCTACATAATCAAGGTTAACTTACATCCATTGAAAGCTCGTAAAGTGATTTGTCGTCTCATAGTTTCGCATGCAGTGCTGAGACATTCCCTAGTAAACAAAACCGCACACAAGAAAATTATTATTACTATCATCATCATCGTCATCATCATTATTATTATCATCAACATCAACATCGTTATCAACATCATGTCATCGTCAAGGTCATCATCATCACCATTATGATTATTTTTACCGTCTGCGTCATCATAACGTCATCATTACCGTCATAGTCATCGTCATCGTCATCGAAGTCGTCACCGACATCGTCATCGTCATCATGACCGTCATCGTCGTCATTGTGATTACAGGGTGAGAGACGCGTTGGCACTGAACTCAGAACTCTTAACTTTTGAGAGGTTCAGGGTTCAAGCGCCGCCTAAGTCACTGTCCTGTGTTGTTGAGGAAGACATTTCCTTTCTGATAGAGCTTCTCTTCAACCAAGAGTATAAATGACTGCCGGTGAGCTGTCGGGGAAACCTGATGAAATGCCAAGAACTACTTGCCATGGATTGTCATATGTCTGGAGGGGACGGGACGGGACGGGACGGGACGGGACGGGACGGGAGGGGATGTCAATACGCCAAGTCCCTTAATGTTACGGAAAACAGCACCAGCGCAAAGGGCAGGAAGTGTCTTCCTCCTCGAAAAACTAAATGTAGGCTTTTTTTTGTCGTTATTGATTTGCGAATTGTTGTTTAAAAAAAGTGCTTCAGAACTAACCTTGTGTGAGGCGAGGATTGTTTCTGGTTTCGTCTAAAGCTGGACTGTAACCTTGAACTTAGGTCCTGACGTCTCCATGGTAACCCTCCTTGCTTCTTGGAAGATCTTTGGGAGGACCATCTATCCATTTCCTCGGACACTGAAATTATAGCACCGAGTATGAACAACAAAAATATGAAGACAACAAAGTACATTTAACATTTCTTTATTATATTACTTCAGGACTAACTTATGAATGAAAATAAAACCTTTCTATCTTGTGACAGCACCATGGCTTCCCAATGTGGTTTCATTAGCAAGGCGGCTTTATTGGAACAGGGGGCGGGGGACTTGACGGAAAACAAAAATCCAACTAAAGCGGCAAAATGCAATGCCTTATTTGAATTCTGAAGTGTCCCCCAGATTTTACGATTACCATATAATGTATGCGTCTCTTTGGTTTTCAAGTACAAGTAATCATGAACTGAAACACCTGGGGGGGGGGGGAAAGGGGGAGAGTTGAGGGGGGGGGAGGGGAGTACTTCCTAGTAATAGACTAATGGGGATGTGCCGCTAGAGGACGTCGCATTTTTAAAACTGGATCGACTGTGATGGGGTTGCATTGTCAATGGAGTTATTAGAATGGGGTCACTCATTTTGGGATCTTAGGGAATGGAAGATTCTGGTAACTAGGGATTTAAAAATGGGAAGATTCACAGTTAAAAGTTGTTACTGTATTACCAAAAGTGACTAACATGGGGTGTATAATTGGTCAAGAATATATTATAGTGAAGTAGGGGTTCTGAGAGACCAGCTGCACAAACCCAGCAAAAAGTGACCTTGGTACACTCCCCCCCCCCCACACACACACACACAAAGGCTGAAACACAATACAATTACTTATTTCTGTGAAGAACCCTTTTCAAACACGTCTGAAATTGTCAAATCATTAAGTACTCACCAACAACATCAGGTTTTGTTCCAGAAACAAGTCTAAAGACATAATCTTGATTTGTGTTTTCTCCTTTGGAGAAAGACATCAGTGGCAAGTTAGATCCTGAAAGTGGTTTCTTCAGGCTGGGAAGGGCAAGGCCCTTGGAGCGTGGGTTAAACAATGGAGGGTCGAGTTCACCATGAGGGTGGAGACCATTCTCAAGACAGTTTAAGAATGACAACAGAGACCCAGTTGTAGGAAAACGGATTGGTGGACGCTGGACTCCATCTTGTCCTATGAGAATAACCACTCCATAGCCACCTGAAATGCAATCAATTTTATTTGAGTACCAGAAAGTAAGAAAGGATTGCCTTGGTTTTCCTTTAATCCGCTCTGTGATTGGTCTGAAAGACTTGTAGTAACCTCTCAACCAATCACCCACAAAACTAAAACTTGGTAACTTGCATTTTCCTGTACCTCTAGCAATTTGTTAATTTATACTTAAAGCTCTCATCAATTCCTTGAGAAACATTTCTTTCCTTTGTTCTAATTGGCCATTGCGATTATGAAGTAACACTTGGTTTTTGTTTTGGTTTGTGAAAATCAATCCAATGCACTCTCTACAAAATGTCAAATACTTAACAATAACAGAACTTAGCTTCAAACTGATCACTGGATACTGACTCTTACATATTTGTATGTTAACCATTTACACCCTATGATCAGTATCTACATTCTCCAATCTCTTCTTGGTATATTTCCTTTAGTATCATAACAAGGAGAATTCCTTTAACAATCAAAGCTTCTTAAGTTGTTGATAATCTCCTTTATTCCCATGATCTTAATGAATGATTCAGAAGTACTACTGTAATGAGAAATTTGATGCTGATCACTCTTAAGGTTTAAAGGATGAAGTAAAATTGTTGTAAGCTAAACAAAGTGTATGTCCTGTACAGCCCTACCATGCTGGTGACAGTGAATATACACCACATCATTCAAGTTCACGGTCAGTGCATAATCCCAAAACTGACTCTTCTCTCGTTCACAGGAACCACTCATCAACTTATTAGGTGTCCATTTCAGCAGCAAACTCTCGTTGCTTTTATGTAGTGACAGGTATCCAGCAATTGGGTGTTCTTCATGCTGTGAAAAAAAAAAACAGTAACACAAATGCTAGGTAATTTAGTATTTTTTGGTCAAAATACTGGAAATAATTCATAGCCATGAATACTTTATCAGTTAATTAACTCCATGTGCATGAAGTTGTACTTTTTCCTGATGAGAGACAATCAGAAATCAACTGTACCAATAAAGAGGTAAGACTGTAATAATTTCCCACACAATTAAAACTGTCCAGCAAGCAATGCAATTTTTCTTTTAAACTAAATTCCAAGCAAACAATTTATTAGCAGTAGAGGTAATATTTTTAGACCATCACAAAAGATAATTTATTTCAGTCCCTTCATCCAGAGTAATAAACCATAACATGCACACTATTCATGTATACAGATTGTACACAGTGTACAACTTGTATTAACACATCAATCAAGTCACATAAACCAGTTAAATCATTCTCCATTATCAAGATCAATGGCCAAATGAATGAATGCATAATGAAGAACTCCTAACCAACAAAACATCTCAAAAAAAAATTACGAAACCATAGGTTAAAATCTACCAAAAATGTTTAAGTTTAAGGATATTGCACACATATCTCAAAGAAGTCATGATCCAAGCTTCAGGTCAAATGAAATTTATTTCATTACAACTTGATATCATATCTACTCACTGGTTCAAGGTAGACATTGTTTTTCCCATACAGGAGGGCAGCATGCGAGTTCTGGTGAAGAGACTCTATGTGTTCTCTTGCTAATAATGGGGCCACTGCTAAGTTTTCATCATAAGAGGCCTTTGTTACACCCAGCTGTGGTCGCTGGGATGTTGGTGTTGTAGGTGACTGCTGACATAACCCACTGTGTATTCTGTGCCTTTGAACAAGCTCATCCGCCGTTGGATCAGTCCAATAACTGTCTGGTGTTTTCATCTTTGAAAAGTCTAAAGCACTTGGACCATCTGTGTGTAAATTTAATAGGAAAAATACAATGTAAAACATGCTTTTTGGTTAAGCAAAGAAGATTAATATTAATAATAGGAAGCAGATGTATGCGGCATTATAAATGGAGAAATATCTCAGTCTGTGAAATTTGACCTAAAGATCTACGCTACATAGAATTGGTGTACATACATATCAATGATAAAAATAATTATGACATTAACTATTACATTCCCAAAGTTTGCAGTCAACCACCATGTAATGTGATAAGCAGCAGATCTCTGTGGCTTTAAGATTAATTCCCTCTTTGAAGTTCAAGGTACAAAAAGAAAAAAATAGCCACCTTTTATCAAATAACTATGTATATACAATACAAACTAAAAAACGTTTTCAACAATAACTACAGTAACTATGTTCATAAAGTGGCTGGTTTGCAGATCATCTGTTTGTTCAAAGCACATAATAAAATTTTGTTACAGTACAATTTGATGAGCTTAACCACATATTTGAAAAGCTTTTGTTTAGAGCAAATGTTGTACAAATAAAATTTGTTGAAAATTTAAACCTTGAATATGCATGAGCAATTTAATCTGGAAATACACAATCAAAACAAAACAAATTAATATTTCAATGACATACTGCTCGCATACATATGACACATCTTCTATAGATATTTCTATATGCTTGGCAACAGCTTATTATCATTCATGTCTTGAATAAAAGATGTTGTTTTATCTTTGTCTTTTATCTATTGATACAAATTTAAAGATACACACTCTCAAAAGTCCTCTCAAAGTTCCACTGAGGGCACTCAAGATATTGATTATGGTACTCAAAAGTCACAGGTCAACATGAATTTATACTATTTCATGTATTTTGGAACACAAATTGATTGATTCCTTTAAAATGTAAATACTAAACTTTTTTTTCTTTTTAACACTGCATTTTAAACATGAGTTACCAAAATAACAATAATCCCAAACAAAACTGCTATCTTTTCAAGGCCAAAACACTTTTTAGATCCCTTTTGGTCATATCAAATTAATGAATCAAATTACATTGACCTGACATAGGGCACAATCATAACAGGACAGGAAAATGAAAAATATGTTAAACTAACAAACATAACAAATAATTCAAGTTGCAGCTGATTATCTGTAACTTTCAACTTTAGTAAATAAATTTGATTTTCTGATGAAGTTGAAGAAATTTGATTTCCACTGCTTTTACTTATTACATTAACTGTTCAAGTACCCTCAACCTGAACACTTTTTATCACAATGCAAGAGAAAAATTTTTTCCCTCAGATGTTTCTTTTTGAAAGCAAAATGTTTTTTATGGTTTTAAATTTTCCTTTATAATGAGCCTAACAATGGTTGAACTCTTCTGAAGAAGCAAACTTGCCAGGGAAATACTAGAATTTTTTCCTAAAACCTGTTTTAAATTATCACTTATTTCAGGTTTTCATCTCACCCTTCAGTAACTTGGCTACACACCAAATAACTTGGATTTTTCACAATTCCTTGGCCAGCTCAAGTTATTTAGATTCAACCGTAAATCTGTTTGATTGTGAAACAAATTCTCCTTTCTGTCAACACTTAAAGATATATATAGAGAACAGTATGGAAAATATGAACAGTGATGTTAAGGTGTAAAGGTCAAGCAGACCACTATACAATCACTTTGATGAAAACAGTTACTAATTTTGTGGCAACTGACAAATGGGGATCAACAGCAAAGTTCTCCTTCTTAAAATGATGATGGCAAAGAACCATAAGGTAATCAATGTAAGTTGCAAGTGTGTGCAATGACTGATTCTGATGCCCCCACATAAATATGGAACTTAAATTATCTCTGTTTAATGAACAGAAGCAATTTGGCTGGTTCCTATATGTCTCCCCATATAATAAATTCTAACAATAACAATAGCCACTGAAAAAAAACTCCAGAAACAAGTAGATAAATTTATGAAGGATCAAGATTGCTGAATGAGTTTTCTGCATCAATAACTGCATGATTTTGGTATGCAAATAAGGAAGAAACTTGGGCAACTAATTAGCGATGTGCCTATAAAATTACAATATTTGCAAAAAATAATAAACTGAATTTATGTCTAAAATTAAATGAATAGGACCTTTCAGTGGAAATAATAAAGTAACAAATATATTTTTTAAATATCTGTTCTAAAAGACAGCAAGAAACATTTATATAACAAAATCCAATCACTCAGACAGAAGGTCAAAGTACATGTAAAACAATGAAATGCTTAGCTGAACTTTCCATCCATTCGACAAATGATATTAAGCAACTTACAATATTTTAGAAGTAAGTAAGTCACATATTAAGAAAAAACTTCAATCAGTCAGTCAGTCAGCAAAAATTAACAAAACATTAATCTAAGGAAGTAAGGAAGTAAATCCTTGCAAGCTCATTGTAATTCGCTTACCTAAAAGTTCAATAAATATTCTTCCATCAGCTGGATCACTAAGTAGGGCTTCAGGCTCATAAAATTGACTGCAAAACATACAAATTACCTTTCATAAGTTCACTTCAGTGTCAGTATCTACCACCACTTGTGCTTTGTGGCAATTATAATAGCAATTATCACGCCCTCTACATACAGTGTACATGAAGAACACAAACATATGCAGTAAATAATACATTAAAAAGCAATTAATGCATTGATGGCTTTTTTTTTCCTCAAAAGCTTTTGAATTGTCCACATTCATATAAATGCCTCTTTATTGTACTGTTGTGACCTGTCAAAACAGACCTGTGATATCACTGTCATACAGTGAAGCAAAGAATAACAATTCTTTACATAACATGCAAAATCATTAATTGTGCAAAGTTTGCAACATGCTACATGTATCATTGCAGGTTGTGGTTATAGTTTCAAATTCCATCTTGGCTGATTTTGAGAATTTTGGGGAGGCCAAATTATTGATTCAAATACATCTACCTTTATTTCATTGGACACTGGAAAAGTATTCCCACCCAATAATTTTTCATTCTTGGTAAGTACTGGACATGTCATTAGGGAAAAACATTCAAGTCAAAGGGCTCATTATAAGGATTTGTGTGGCAAAAAGGGATGACTTTCTTGACCTCATTAGAGGATAATTTAGGATCCTGCATGGCCAGTGATTTAATATTGCTAACTGTCAGTGGAAATGTAAGATAGAAATAACATTTTTTTTTAATTAAAAGCCAATGTTTGAAATTCACCCAGAGTTTTTCTTAAGCTGGGTGAATTTCAAACATTGGCTTTTAATTTAAAAAAAAATGTTATGTCTATCTTACATTTCCACTGACAGTAAGTAATATTAAATCACTGGCCATGCAGGATCCTAAATTAGCCTCTAATGAGGTCGAGAAAGTCATCCTTTTTGCCACCCCTTAAGAAAAAAGACATCCACAGATAAAAATCAGTGGTGATCAAAAGAATAAAACAATTGGCAGGTTATTGTCAAAACCATGAAAATAGTAATAATGATTTCAGTTTTGAAAACTATGAAAATCAAAAATAAATGTGCCTCTCACACTTAGTTTTGAAAAGAAACTCATCACATGTGAAACTTGTTTCCTAGTTTTAATTCATAATTCTGTCACGATAATTGGGAATTTTTTTCACCATATTCTTAGGTGTCTTTGTTTTGCTCTTGTCATTATTTTTTTAATCCAAATAAAATATTTAAAAATATTTACAATTTTAAGTTACTATATAACCCTGAATAACTACCACTGAGGAGACTGACAAGGTAAATAACTTAACCCTTTTCATCCCAGAAGTGATTAAAAAGTAACTTCTCCCTTCCCTATACTATCCATACATCAACCAGCATAATGGTAATGAGAATGCTCAAACTTATCAAGTGGAAGTTGTTATCTTGATCTGAAACCAAATTCTTGTAACTAATTTATATGGTAATGTATGGCAGCTTGAGGGGAGAAGTAACAATCAGGACTTGGGAGTTAAAGGTTTAATCTGCTAGATTATCAACTTGATAGTTGTCAAGAAGTTCTCAAACTTGTATGTAGTGTTATTTCAAGATACTCCACTCCCCTTACCTTGCATTATTTTGAAGATCCTCCACAATTTTTCCCAGCAACTTTTCTAAAAGAGCTATTCTAATCCACAAAAATTTGCCACAGTGGCCACTGATGTTATATCCATTTATCTTCTTATTGCTTCCATTCAATGTAGAGAAGTTGAATTTCAACTTGAGTAATGGGCTTTCTGCAGAACCTGATGAGATAAAAAATCCTGTTAGTTGGAAAAATTTTTAACTGAGTATCAAAAGCAATGGGTGATTCCATGTTGCAGACATTACGTTCAGATACTAAAATTAACATTTTAAGCCCCGATTTAAATGTCAAAATGCTCAACAAGGGTGTTCAAATATATCTAAAAAATACCTTTAGTATGCCCTTTGTACCTAATAGAAAGATGCTTTAGTGAGCTCTCGAGACCTTGAAGGTATGAGTTGAGGAAAGTGTTTTGCTGACATTACATTTTAAACAACCACTTTTTAAAGTAACTTTCTTTAAAGAGATTTTCCTGTGAATCTTTAACCTTGGGCAGAAAATAATTGTGCCTTCAAAACATGGCAATAATTAAATTTTTCATGTATAAAAAAAAAATTCCATGAAACCTTGTTCCAATGATTCTACAAACAAAAGTGTTGTGTTGCTGACTGTGGCTATGTTCATTGTTTTGTTATTACTTATCTAAAAATGAAGCTGTAAAATTAGACATTTACTTTATTTATGTTCTGTTATATTTACAGAATATTGTACAAGCTTTATTTTTCTCGCTGCATATTAAGTTGTGTGGTTAGTCTGGAGAAGTCACACCAGACTTTCAACCTATCAGATTTAACTCAAACTAGTCTTGACTTGCATGGTCTGACCCTTTGGTCTTTAAGCTTGTACAACCCTTTAACTCCTAGGATTTGATTGTTAATTTTTCCTCCTGGCTGCTGCACACATTTCCCTATAAATTAGTCGTGAGAATTTGGCATGAAATCAAGATACCAACTTCTACCTGATCAATATAAGTTTTCTCATTAGCTGCTTGCTCAATAATTTACAGACATTAAAGAGAGAAGTTACATGTTAATCACTTCTGGAGATGAGATGGTTAGAGGTCTCCCAACATATCAACTATTATACCTTGAAATATACCTGCTGATGTGTTCTTAGTTCCATCCTTGCTTTTCCCCTCTTCCCCAGAGAGTTTCTTGACCAGTTCAGCAGCAGGTTCTGATAAACGAGCAAGCTTTTCCAAAACAGCCTGGGTGTCCTGGGCAGGAAGAAGACCAGCGGCTCTTTTCTTCAAGCCATGTGCAATGCCTGCCTCTACAGCACCTATAAAAATGTCACAGAAAACCAAACTGAAAACAAATCCTTAAAAAAATGGTAAGAAAATATATTCAAACCACAATAAAGCCCCGGGGAAACATGCTCAGTTCTTGGTCAATCAATTATTTCTTAACACTCTAGCTATCAAGATCTGATTTTTAATTCTCCCCTTCAGCTGCTACATATTACCTTATAAATTACTAGTAAGAATTTGGTGTTAGATAAAGATAACTTCTAGCTGATAAGTTTGAGTATTCTCATTACATGTTTGCTGGATAATGCATGGATATTATAGGGAGAAGTTAGGCGTTGATCACTTTGAGGAGTTGAAGGGTTAAAATTCATCTCTAGGAGAAGGTCTATTTCCCCAAGAATCTATGACTATTCATGATCAAGTGAAAAAAGTGGTAATGACATAGTGGATCATTTTGCCACAGACAAAGAAATAACACATAACACTTTGAGATATCCAGTATACCGAGTACAGTGAATTTTAAATTGATTCAATAGCTGCAAGCATAGAAAATTACAAGGTTTCAATAAATCCTTTTGCGTGACACAAAGCCATAGTAGACTTAATAAAGTACACCCCCTCCCCTCCCCCTTTCTGACCCATGAATCAAAGTGACATTTCTGAAGAGGGCTATTACCTCAATACAAGTGAAACAGTGAACATGTCGTCCCTCGACAAAAGAGAATTTTAATTATTCACCGTGCTGAGTAACACTCCCACCAACTTGCATTTTTTCTACTGTTGCCAATTTCATTTTTAAAAGGATTAATATTCTTGGCTGTTTGAATTTTCAGTGAAATCTTTGCCTATCTTTGATAATTTATAACTTTCCTTGGCTATCAAAACATTTAAAAATGTCACGCTCAAACTCAAAAAATTTACATGAACCACTTCTCTGCAAACTGAAACAACAAAACTATAACAGTACATTTTTGATGTTAAGAAGATTGGATGTTGGTTCCAGTCTAGTAGGCACAAATATGTCTAGAGGATAAAATTTAAGACACATATAATTATAAAAATCGAGGAAATGAAGAGACGTGAACAGCATACCATTAGTTGAAACAAGACAACTCTTGCAAAAAATACAAGAATTATACCTTGCGTGCCTAAGTGAACAACGATAAAATTAAGATCGTGCCCTGTGTAAACAGTGACTTGATATAAAATTCCATTTCACGAATTTTACAAAGGTTTTGATAGGTTTACATCATTTTTCAAACCATACCCACCGAAAGGAAAGTTTAAAGTAAGATACTTTAAAAAATTCTCCTGTAATGAAACTAGTATTACGAAATGGCAACGGGGTGCAACATGTTTAAATTCTGCATATTAATATGAAATTTTCCGATATTGTCGGTCGCGAGACAGTGCTAATTTTATTAGGAAATAGCAATTTATTTATCTGGATACAAAGTGTTTTATAATTTAAAAAGTTGAACCAAAAAACATCACGTTACATTAATAGTTAAAAATCCTCCTGTATTTTTTTTTTTCGACAGTCGATAAAGTATTTTAATCGCATTTCGCACAAGTTCACAGCTGAACGGCAAATCTTGGATTGTAATGAGCAATGAGAGGTTCTGATTAAAAACCTTCGAGCGCAGCCTGTCAATTCAGTTTAAATAAGGCTTGAATTACTCTTTATTTTTGATGTGGGCTGCGTTGTTTGAAACCCCCTTCAAAGCCGCAAGCAGAGTTTATTTGTTTTGAATTTTTGTGTTTGATGCCTGCAAAAGCGCGTATTTGGTCGATTTGCTACTTCCGTACGAGTGTTCGCATACAGGTGAAAACCATGTCTGATCCCTGAATCAAGAAATAAAATTATGTGACTCTGTGAAGCTTACTTCAACTAAAGGGCGGGAATGTCCGCTGAAGCTAGAGTTGCTTCCGCGTTTTAAATTCCCGTTTTAGCAAGTATACAGCACTTCACAGATCGACCGCGAAGGAAATGTTTGCAAGTTATACCCAATCAAAACTAACACTTTACAGAAACACTACCAGAGTTTTTACCACCTTAAATATTTTTCTTCAGCCGGCAAAATAGTGTCGGAAACAAATGCAATATTTCTTACCACAAAGGGAGGTTATACTAGAGCTGTCTGCATGAATAAACTTCCTTGTGACAGCTTCTTCCATAAGTTGTTTGACCTGGGAATCGACAAAACAGGTCAACATTTTTAAAAAGACGAGCATTTCTATCTTTTTAACCTAACATTGTCAAGGAAACATGAACATACAACTTTTCCCAGTGCATGACTGCAAAATGGAGTAAAATCAAGTTGTGTATCTTTGAGCGAAGCGAAATAGAGCTGTGTAATAAAAAATCAAGTGATTGATCGCTCGACGTTTAAATTTCACGAGCCACAACTGCAATTCGCTTTACCTCTTTTTTGAGGTTTTCCAACAATTTCTTTCGCACCTCCGCATCTGAAAACAATGAAAATAAACCTCAACGTTAGCCTGTCTTTTTCGTTGCAGAAAAATCCCTGAAAGTGCCATAAAACACTTGTTCTTCGCGAATATCACCTTTCGAGGGAGCCATCTTGCCCTTCCGGAGAACAGCATAATATGAATATTCAATAAAAAAATTCTGGACCAATCACAGCACGCGGTTAACAAGATTCTTACAGAATACATTATCGGTTCCAGCGGGCTCGCAAATTTTTTTGATTTTTGAGAAATTTCTATTGGTCAGAACGTGAGTAATTTTCCCTGTGTTTTCATTACGTTTATTTGGTTTTACCTATTTGTGTTTTTGGCCCTTTTTCTCCTCGTGAACATCTGTCAGGAGCCGACAACGCTTGCCACCGATAACAACGAGCTGTGCATTCGGTTATCACAGAAATTAAACAAAAAAAAAGCCTTTGAAATGGAAATATGGAATTATGTAACTGCTTAGATCGGTAGATGAGTCTGGTTTACGATTAGGAGATACCAGCATTTAGCGAAAAATTATTGCTGTTTTTGAACAAATCACCATTTTGAAAAAAAAAATGATATCGCGAACTCAAGCGAAATATTTATTGTAATTCTGAAGTGCTTTCAAAATACTCCTTTGCGACAGAAATGAAAATATTATTTTGTGACATGTGAAGCTTGAAAACGAAATATTATTTTGAAGAGTCGCGAACCTAAATAAAATCGTTTTCTGAAGAAAATTTAAATGAACAGGCCGGAGTAAATTACTTTCAAGGGTATGATTAACAACTCGATGTCACTGACGAACATAAAACACTTCTTTGTACTAAAAATGTAATTTCAATGTATTATTAAAATCCCTCCGGTTGTCTGTTTCAAAATTTCAAAATAAGAATCATCAGAAAACAAAATATCGCGTAGAATTTGTAGCGTAAGATTTGTTTTTAACTCTCTCAGTGGAACCAAGTTCGCTGACAGCCGACAGCCCGACAGATTTTTTGCTTTCAACGATCGATTTATTCAAACCAGCGACTCCATATTCTATAGCAGCTTTTGATGGGAGATGTTCAACGTTTATTATTTTTTTAAGATGCGTAATTTCCAAAAAAATATCGATTAAATTTTGAAAACCCGACTTCAAAAAGACGCCAAGTTAAAAGGAAATATTCACGTTTGCCGTGGCACTCTGTTTACACCAAATCATTCTGGAAATGTCGCCCAGCTTAGCATAATATATTCTTAAGCGTGGGCGAGGGGCAGATCATTTGAAGTTAAAAAAGTCTGGTTAGAAGGAATTTATTTGTATTCAAGTCACAATGCTTGCTTAAAGCTCAAAATTAGCATTAAAATGGCACAGAGATTAATTGAGCAAGAAGATAACTAACAATGGGAAAGCGAAGTGAAAGCCGGCTGACCGAACCAACAAAACCAAGAAGAAAGGCTTTTCCTTAATTGTTTTTTTTTTTTAACAGGAGAAAATTGAAGTAAAAGGTGAAAATGAAACCAAACTTTAAGCAATTTTACTCCTTCAAAAAACCTTTGCAAACCCAAAAGAAATTTCTTAACAAATGCGCTCACTTTCTGCTATTTCTCGTTTTGTTCTGAGCCGTATTTGGCAGTTTGCAGAGATTATTTGTCAAGTAATTATGAATTCAGATGAGTTTCCGGTTTAGTCTACCGCACATGATACCATTAATGATGAAGCGAAAGTTTATCAACAGACAAAAGTTATTATGCCTCGTAAACATCAATAAAGAATTCTTTAGAACATAAAGTAATCCTTTTGTCTTCGAAAAAAAGTACCAGACGACGTCTTATTTTGGACTGAAACGTCCGCAGCAATAAGAACACCTCCAAATTCTTCTGGGACTATAAGTCTCTCGGCAATCGTATGTACCATTACAAAATTCTCTTGAAGGAAATATTTCGAAGATAGAAATGTTAGGGGTGGGGAATTTTGAACGCTTCCCGTCCCTACACCGTGAGTTTCTGTTCGTCAGTCGGTTCCAGTTCTCTCGTGAAATTTTTCACACGTTCAAAGCCTTGAGAGACCTTTGGAAACTTGCGATAAATAACACATTTTCATACCTGGATCTTCCTCTTCCATGTCACCTAAGAGTGTCTTGTCGCTTGGCGTCCTGTTTGGTTGTATAAACTGGAACAACAGAGCGTTCATTTTCAAACGCGTCTGTCTTTACGCACCCCTCGGTAACAGAGATTTTACACCAAAAGTGCTGACTGCTTATCCCCAGATTTGAAGCAAACAGTCCCTGAAGACGTACTGACTTTCCATACAATAAAATTTCTGTAAGACGTGTTCGAAATGATTCAGAGTTTAGGTGAAAATCCATTGCTACGAATACATTGATTCCATGTTGTCACGTTACGAGAAATTAGAAAGCAGAAATCAAGAAAGCTGACAAATTGCAATATATATTCCTGCTCACTGCTCTGTCGTCTCTTTACATTTGCTTTATCATTCGTTTTCCCGTTATTCTGCAGAAAAAAATGTGCCCGTAGAATTACAGGCTGAAAAACGCCACAAAAACTTCACTATGTAGCGCGTTTTGTTTGTATATCCGTACGCCGGGATATGAATAATGGATTTAGTTTTATAGGGCGAAGATTGGATGTTCAGACTAGTAAAAGACTGCTGGTACCTGTTGAATTAAATTGTTCTCGTTAGTAATACGATTAAACTTTACGAAATCTTCAGGCTAAGCCGGGATCACAAAACTCCTTAATCACCAATAAGAATCAGGATATTTCAAGCATTATCCAGCTGGTGTCTTCAAAGTATTTAATTGTGACTGGATCAGAGAAACAGATTTTCAAAGTTCTGTGAAGCTGGAACTACACCGGATGAGATTTCTGCATACCGCGATATTCCGCTAACGACCGTTCACGGAGACAACGACAACGCATGCTCTTAGCTCTATGATATAACACAAAAACACTTAAATTGATTTAGAGTATCAAATGGGTGCTGTAAAAAACATCAGGCATGAGAAAAATATTCATTATTCACCAAGTAATGCTGATAATAATTGTTGAAAAATCTGGAACGAAAGGGAAGATTGTTATATTGATTATATATTGATTATTGTATTGCCCGGATGAACACAGAATCAAACACGCAGAACTAAATCTCAACAGATCAACAAAATATTATGTTGGACTTTCATTCCTCCATCCAATATTTAGCCGCTGGGTAATTCTCAGCAAAAAGTGGTATTGTAAGATTTTTAAGCATTTCTACCGAGCCTTCTGTTGCAATGTAGCCCATTGATTTCATCACATCATGGCAATATCTCTCAATCACGTTCACTGAACAGGAATCTATTAAACGTCGCCACTTGTTCAGAATCTCCAAAGAATTTCTGATAACAGATACAGGATTTCGCTTCTCCGCCCTTAAATCCTTAGCGCTGGGCTGTGTTATGTTTACAATCCATTGTTTGATATTTCCTAACACTTCAAGTCCAGCATACTCGAACAAAGACTGCAAAACGGTTAAGGGTGCCACCGCCAAGTCTTCATATCGCACCAGTCTTACACGACTGCGAAGCGATACTGGAAGATTTCTCACCAAACGAAGATTTGCCTCCGTCATCTGACAACGAGAATGAACAAATTGTCTCATCGATGACTTTTCCCTTCTGTTCACTTCTTTGAAAAAGGCTACCCTCTGAGAAGACATTACCACTGGTCTTATATCACGTAATAAATATATGATTTTGCACTTTATTCCCGCCAATTCGCAAGTTTCAAAGAGCTTTTCGATTGATTGACCAGGAATCCTTTCCAAGAGAAGCTTATAAACAATTGTATCATGTTGTTTTTTACACGAATGTTCAAGATTTTCTTGCGTTACAGTTAAACAGTCTTTTCTTCGCCATCTAGGATCTCCCTGTCTGAAGTTACAGAATGGCGGAGAGCTCAGGGCTCGACTATAGAACCGAAAAAAACTGCCGATATCCCGCGTTGAATTCCCCGCACTAAAGTCACACTTGAAAATGTGATGAAGAAGATTCATTGCAATTTTATCATAATCCTCAGGTTTTGTTCTCTGAATTCCATGAAGTGGCTCAAACACGTAAAACACTCGTGGATGTTGGTTGAAAATGCTGGCCAGAAACGTAGAACCAGATCGGCCATGAGCAACAATTAACACAATCCTTTGCTTCCTCTCCCGAGCCTTGTCCGTCGGCTCAACAGGAGCCCACGGTATCGTGGTCATTGGCTCTGTCAATGAAAATAACCTCTTCGAAGCACCAAGTAGATCCTGGCTCAGAACAATGTGTCGATGCACTGACATATCAAGAAAAGCAAAAAATAAACCCAATGAAACAGCAGAGAGGACCAACAAGGAACCAAAACCAAACTTAATTTTTGCCCATTTAGCCATTGTTGTTGATAACACCGATAACTGAACCTCTTTAAATGTTTCACCACAGCTACAAAAGAAATTAAGAAATACAGGACTGAATCAACCGACATATGTCCTTGTTAGCCTTCATATAATTGAAATTAAATACCGCATCGTTGACGTTTCAAATTTGCATCGATCGACCTAAATTTTTAATGTCTTCATGTTTTCAATAGTTTCATCCCCAAATAAAACAGCAGGTTATAAACGTATAACTACGAATATGGATCAAATGTAGTTGCACGGTGAATAGCACCAACTTCCGTTGTTACTGGATTAGTTTGTGCATGTAAACAGTGAACATTTCCTTCAAAATATATTTTTAGGGAACTAAGTTCAAAATCAATGTAAGTGAAGTTTCAACAATGTGCTCACATTAAAACGTTTCGTTAGATAAAAACTTGTTAAGGAGAGTTTGAAGGCTATTCTAAACTACACACAACAAAATTACGCAATGAACTGCATCGAAAAGAGTTACAAAGGCATACTGAGAGCGACGAAACGCGTTGTTTTTTTATTGCTCGAATCGTGATTGTTAAGTTGGATTGTTATTTCGATAGCTGTATTTGACATGTTAAGCAAATTGTAAACTATTTCACCAGAGATTAAGTATGTTTTCAATCTTTCTGTATTGCACAGAACCAGGAGCCCAAGTGATGGGCTACTGACAGAACTAATCAAAAACATATCACAAAGATTTCAGATGAAACTGCAAACAAAGACCACAGAATTTCACCAATGCCACAATATATTTATTATTTGGTCTGTTTTACGTACCACTCTCCCACACTGCAGGTGGTAATTTTCAGTTCGCATCAATGAAGTAAAAAATACTTTGGTAAAATGCGGTACCATCTGCAATAACATTTGTCCTCATTTGCTATCGATCTGGCCCCTGTTGTTCAACAGATGGATAACGCTATCTATTGGATAAATATCTATCCGGTGGATGCGCAGTACGTTTTTTTAACACTTATCAGCTGGATAGCGATTTATCCATTGGATAGTGTTGTCTACCCTCTGAACAACTGGGCCCTGATCACCAGCGTGGACCTTTTGGCATTGAAGGTCACGTGATTACGGGGAATTCCAAATATGGTCAACTCACTCTGAAACTCCTGAGATCACGTGGGTAATTCTCCTTTCTAACTGCAATACATTTTCTTAGAAATCAGTTGAGAGATTTTGTCGGTTACCTGAGTTTAATTTTTTTTAGTAATTATTATAGGGCTCCACAAGCTAGGTTTGTAACATCTTAAGATAAATTTAGCAAGTTCACACGTGTATTTCAAAATTATCGTAGCACAAACCGATTTGTGGAATTGACGTGACAAGTTTCGGCGAAACCAAGTGGTTAAACGAAACTGAAATCATGAAAGTCAAGGGCGTAATTAAGATCAGGTGACGAGGGAAGTCGATTACAATCGCGAAAATACCCGGGGAAATGCCGAGTGCTCATGAAGAAAGCCGAGCTAGTTTACTCCAAGATAAGTAAAATCGAGAAAATACCGAACATTCACGAAGACTTAGCCAAGCGTTCACGAAGAACACCGAGATTGAGATTGCCAAGGTGTTAGGGATAAGAAAAGTATAATCGAGTTAGTACTGAACATTAACGAAGACCTAGCTTGAGATTTATAAGGTGATTGGTTCAACAAAAGTATAATGAAAATTTCCGGATGTTCGTAAAAAAAAATGAGCTTGAAATTTCCTTAGCAGCGAGGAAAATTGAGAAAAAGCCGAATGTTCACGAACCAAATATGTATGGATTGTCTAGGTGATAAACACACGGTTGGAGATGCTACTTCTCTCATCGCCGCAGGAAATTAGTAATTTCTTCTCGTTGACAAAACAGCTGATTGTTCTGTACGTGTTGACAGGCTTAGATTTCCATTGTTCACTCTTAAGGTTAATTTACTGAAAACGATCCAAGACCAGTCAGAATAGTGTCGTTATAACTTTTCTCAGGTTTTTCCATAGATGGAACATACAATCCGTGAACGATAGTCTTTATCACCAACTACATTTCATTGTTAACGCAGTGTTATTTCACATGACGTTTTAATGGCATAAATTTGTTTTAAAGATGAAATCGATACATCAGAGAAAAACATGATACAAATGAATAATACAAAAAGCTTTCCATTTACTGAGTAAATATCTCAATCAAATGTACAAGCTGTACTCCTTTGAAGAAAACATTCCAAAATCTGTTCATTTTTGACAAGGGAAAGTTTCACTCTAACTGACCAGCCGCATATATTTTTAACTCAACCACTGAGAACAGTCATGAAAAAGAGTAATTTGAAATGTATATTGCAACTGAGGAAATTGAGAGAAAAGCACCCCTATTTTGGTAAAGCATTGAGAAGTTTGCTAGAAATGTGACAGCTATTTGGTAAGCAGCTACATAAATGTTGGCTTAGCTAAAATAGTGTTTTGGAAGCAGATGGTCGAACAAGCACATTGAATTAACAGTATGTAAAGCCTATTTTAAGTCACTTTCCAATAGACTAGGAATAAATTAAATTTTACCCTCACGTTTACTCACAGTGAATCTAGAACTTCAAAGTGTGGATATCCAGACCCAGTTTACAACAACAACGTGATGAAGTAATTCTTGTGTGTATTTTCTCTAACCTAAAGTTAGATATTTACTTGTCTATTATGAAGAAATCAAAGCTTGATAGCATTTAACGCTTTTCATTGGCTGCTTTGGTGTCAATTCAGTGTAGTTGCGTACAGAGAACCGTGCGTGCATGCAACTCTGAACCGACCAATCACATCACAGCACCCATCGTGAAATGGCTTCTTTCCCCGCCGTGAAGATAGTTCTTTCAACATGGCCATAAAAGAACTAAAGAATTAATTGGAGAAATGGCTTCTCCCTAGCTGAGCAAGAAATTGGATCGTTTGATCATTACTATGGGATACATTTTTTATTCCAAAGAATCCTTTTTAAAAACATCACGAAAGGGGCTGAAACATCAAATTTCGCTCGGTTTGGGCGCCCATAGCTCAATTATAAAACACTTAAGTCAATTTGGAAAGTGGGAAGGAAATTTCAGATGTGCAGAAAGAAGCACGGACGAAAAGCTGTGGAGACGAACAGTCTGACCTAAAATTTGATGAAAGGACAGGCCGACGGGGAGACATACTAATTGTGTTCGCACTCAGCCGGCGGACTGCAATTGCTATATCCAATTTTGCGCTGTATAATTCTTGTTAAATAGTGGAATCGTTGAATTTTGGAGCATTTCCACCGAACCATCTGTTGTAACATATCCCATCAATTTCATCGCATCACGGCAATATCGCTCAATCACATCTACGAAACAAGAATCTGCCAAAAGTCGCCACTTGTTCAGAACTTCCAGTGAGTTCCTTATCATTGAAACTGGGCGTTTTTCCTCTTTTTTCAAATCCGCAAAACTCGGCTGTGTTATTTTCACGATCCATTGTTTGATATTTTCTAGCATTTCGAGTTCTGCGAATCGATACAAAGAATCGAAAACTTGCAGCGGGTCGGCCGCTAAGTCTTCATATCGCACAAGTCTCACACGACTTCGAAGAGATGGAGGAAACTTTTTCATCAGGTAAAGATTCCTCTCAATCATTTCGCAGCAAGAATAAACGAACTGTCTTAGGGATGGTCTTGTTTTCCGATCAACCTCTCGAAAAAAGGCTACTTTTTGAGAGGACATTACAACTGGTCGCATATCACGTATTAAATAAATAATTTTGCATTCAACATCTGCCATTTCACACACGTGGAAAAGCCTCTCAAGTGATTGGCCAGGGATTCTATCCAAAAGAAGCTTATAAACGACTGTGTTGTGCTGCACTTTACACGTGTGTTCAAGCTTTTTTTGAGTAACAGGCGAACAGTACTTTCGGCTCCATTTTGGATCTCCTTGCTTGTATTTGCAAAACGGGGGTGAACTCAATGCTCGGCTGTAGAAACGAAAAAAACGACCTATCTCTTTGCTTGTATTACCCATACTGAAGTTGCATTGAAAAATTTGTTGAAGATAATTCGTCGCAAACGTATCGTAATCCCCGGCTTGCATTTTCCTAATCCCGTGCAGTGGTTCGAAGATATAAAAGACTCGTGGATGCTTGTCAAAAATATCAGCTAGAAATGTAGAACCAGATCTTCCGTGGGCAACAACCAACAAGACTTGACGACTTTTCACCTTGTGCTGCAACATCCTCTCTGTCAAATCGTTAAGTGAGCTTGTTTTGATTTGCAAAGGAGCCTCATTTGTCGTTAGATTTGATGTTGTAATAAACGTACTCCCAGACTGAAATACGTTTCTGTTCTTGACAACGTCTCGGGATGTTTGGAGTAAAGCGAAAAATAAACCAACAGATATAAAAGTGAATATTAGCAGGAGGATGAGGTTTCGTCGAACTCTCCGGCGAAAGGCCATTACGGTGTGGTTTAGAAAGTCTTCACCTTGAAATATATAATAATTATGTCAGACTCATATTAACAAATTAAAAAAAGTTTTTGCCATGTATCAGCTAATTTAAACTCCGACCACGTTATATTTCTATTTGTTGTCAATCCAAAATTTAAAACTTTCCATTACCTAAAACAAATTAAATAATTGTATCGGAAAGATTAGGATGGATTATAAAATGATGGGAAAATTTTCGTCAAAGAAGGTTGTTGTTCAGAAACAGATTCTTATTTTGCGTATTGATGATAAACTGCTGCCATATTAATTTTTTTCTTCTTTTCTTTCACGATTTCCAAAGAGTCCGAAGCTCGATGACTTATGAAGTTTAAGAACGAAATTTTAACAAAAAAATTAATCGTTTTACCTCAACATAGAGAATTCCGAACACTATGTATAATTTTTCTAGTACAGAAATGAGTCACTTTATTGTTAATCGTATGCCTTCGAGCCAAACTTATTCGAACGAGCGCCGAGTGAAACGGTTGAATATTTGCGCAAGACTATTCATTTGTTAATGCGACCAAAATTGATGGGGAATTTGTCTCAACCCCTGCAGCCTATATGCTAATTTTTTTTCAGACATACAGAAGAGCGATAAGAACTATGAAACTGGTAGCCTTCGGCATCATAAGAGTATGTCTCGCGGCCATGTAAATGAGAACCCTTCATCCAAATCGTTGTAATTTTTTTCTTCGACTCTTAACCAGATTTTTTAGGCCGAATACTCAAGGTGAAAAAATTTATCGAAGCCTTTAATCTTAAAAGTGCGAAGATTCGCGAGGTTCTTAAAAGAATATTTTTCTCAGTGGAAAATCAAAATACTGTACTGGAATTGATTGATCTTTACGTTACTTTGGCCTTAGCTACCGTCGCATGCTCTTTGACTGAATCTTATGGATAACTTCGACCATTGGAGACACAAAAATATACGAGGACGCGCTTAACGTGCAGAGCCACTCGAGAGCTGATAAAAGGGAAAAAGAACTCTCCTAATATAAGAAATTGAAAAAAACATCAAAACTGTCAATCCTTCCTAATTCATAGCTTTGTAGGAAATTACAGTGGAGCTAGGAAACTGATCAAGCGATTGGCTGACATGGCAACCGCGCGTAATGTGGTTTACAATTTCATTAGGTACAAATTTCTTATATTACTTTTCGAGAGACTCAAATTTATTTTTGTCTTCCTCTTCAGTAATTGCCCAGTCAAAAAATATAACAACCTCTTCAATAGCAATATCAAACAAGTGGATATCTTTTCAGTCAGCGATCTCTATAAAGGTCACTCATTAGTATTGCCTTGCACTTAGTTTCTGCTCTTAATTTTACACGAAACCGATCCTGAGCTGGCGAATTTTAAAACAGACCACACTGTGCATAAGTCTCGTCCATCGCGTCTTCTTATCTCTGTTTCATGCAACTGTGACAACCAATTAACGAATATTGTTCAACCATCTTGGTTGAACAATATGGTTGTACAAACAATATCACAGTTCTATTTCAAAATTCTCAGGAGTATAATATCAAGAAAGTGCAGAGAGTTAAAAAAAAGAAAACTTGTAAAATCAGGCAGATGACAAAATATTTTCGGATCACCTTCCTCTTCTGTTCATGCCACATTGGAGCCAATTTTCTTTGCTGCCATTTGTTAGTGATAAACGCAAGCAGATTTTGTACTGATTTTAGTGTCATGGGAAAACTGTATATTTTTATAGTGAGTCAAATACAATCGAACACCTTAACCGATCGATACATTTTGAGACAAATAAAGCCAAATTAAAAGAGGTACTAGTTCTGGTCTGTTTAAGTTTGGGCATTCAGTTGCTGGAGATGAGTGAAAAAGCGGGACGAGCAAGAGAAAACGAGACTGAGGGGTCTGAGACGAGAGGAAAGGCTGGACCCATCGACGCTCAGTTCCAAAAAAGCCTGATGGTTTTCTCTAGCCCGCTCATTTGTCTATTGAACGAAAGCTTTCCTTGCTCAGGGCAACGCTATGATGTGTTACGCTACTTACCGAACAGTCGAGTAAGTGTCCTTGAAAATGCTTTCAATTTGCTTTAAAAAGGATCATCTAGTTAAACGTTTTCAGTAAGTCTCGTTATTCCTTTCAGGAACATTATGTGAGATAAAATAACCAATCTTAGCTACAACATTAAGATTGAGACGTTGAACGTCAACAAAGAGGAGCAATAAATAACATGGAGTAATGTTAAAAATATTGATCCGATTGGAAAATATCAAGAACCAATTCGCTCAACATTATCAGAGCTAAAAACAACTCAACAACACCGTTTCCATTTCAAAACCATGGTTTTATTTAATATTGTAGTTCCATGATATCCATAGGTACCTGTTCTCGTCCTCGACCAACAACTCACATTTGCTCTGACGAAAGAGTAATACTCGAAACGTCAGTTTTAAAAATTCTCCACGGCGGTCAATTTATAACATCGAACAACTCAGTTGATTAAACTAAATTAGCTCACAACGATTCACAAAGCCCCACAAAAGTTTGAAAGTCTAAATAGAGTTCTCTGGAGGGCCATGTAGTTTCACTGTTCAGAATTTCAAAAGCTCATTTTCCAGTTGTTTGAAATGCGTGATGGAGGAGATTAGCAAAGACGAATTTCCCTTGCGACTCCCATCGTGAGGAAGAATTTCTGACCGTTCAGAAACTATTTTTCATTATACAAAGACCACAGACTAATTCTGGAATCTTTTCCACCGGCAGCCAAGAGCTGTCCGTGGTCACACAGATCTTCTGAGAAATCCACCGTGTTTATAGTTTGTGTATGATAACTAAGGTAAGCCAATGGTTTGAGTGTTTTCCAGCTGTATATTCTTATCCTGTAGATACATAAAATCACTATTTCAATAATCGTTGTCCCCACCACAAACATTAGGATTATAGATATCGTTACAATAATTATTGGTGGCATCAATATAAATTTCAATATCGTTACCGTTAAAAAAAATCCAAGGAATTATCGTTATCAACCCTTTAACTCCCAAGATCGGACTATCAATTCTCCCCTCTTGCTGCTACGCATTCCCTTGTACATCAGTAAAGAGAATTTGGTGTAAGATCAAGGTAACAACTACCAGACAAATCTGAGTTTTCTCATAACCCATTTGCTGGGTAATGTATAGATATTGTAGAAAGAAGTTACATGTTAATCACTTCTGGTTGTAAAAAGGAATAAATTTGAATATTAGTAGAACAAGATTGTGAAGTTGAAATTGCGAGGATGAAATTCAACTTATCTATGTAATTGTTCACGACAATATGCACTGCTATAACAACATCTAATTTCTCCTTACAGTATCAACCCTGAAACAAACATAAAGGTTATGAGAATTAATGTTAAATGGTTAATAAATGGCCCACAACTTTACCTGCCATCCCATCCACCCGTGGCCAGTATTTTATGATCTTTCCTGATTTTGACTGAAGCAATGCCTGGGTTTTTCAGCTCAATTTCTTTTTCCACTGTTATGCTGTGCTAGAGAGAATATATGGATGATATCATGTCTGCAGCAGTAAGTGAAACAATTCTAACAAGACCCTGCACATACCTGAGGTGTTACTGATGACACACACAGCTTACTATCCGCCGAGCCAGACACTATTCTGAGGTCCTCCTTGTCTACATCCATGCAGAGAACTAAAAGTAAATACAAACATGTTGAAGGAAATAAATAAGTTTTTACCTATCCAGCAAGTAAAGGCTTTAAGTTATGGGTTTGAGTCAAGCCATTAGAAGAGAGACAAGTCAAACTGAACCCTTTTACTCCCAAGATCTCATTTAGTAATTTTCCTTACTGTCTGTCATACAATTCTTATGATGTTATATCTGAGAATTTATTAAAGGATCAACTCATAATCCCCTTATTGATTGTCTTTATTCTCTTTACTTGTCTGCTAGATATTGTATCGATATTGTATGGAGAAATTCTGTCTTGGTCACTCATGAGAATTAAAGGGTTGATGGCTTTTATTGCCTTAGCTTTATTATCCCAGAATCACGCAAGAAAGTGATGGGAATTAAGGAAATGATCAACAACTAAAGAAACTTTTGATTGTTAAACAAATTCTCCTTGTCAGCAGCTTAGGAAATCTATAAAAAAACAGTATCGAGAATATGCATACCCATGTTATGGAGCAAAGGGTTCATATTTTCAAGGATTTGGACACACAAACTTGAAACTCCACAATAGTTGCATGTTTGTAAATGTGCAAAACTACCAAAGATTGATGATTAACCTGACTCAGTGTGAGTTGGATTTCTACTCAAGATTTTTCCAGCCATAACATCCCAGAGCACAAGCTGACCACTTTCATAACCTGCGATCAAGAAAGGCTTGTCTGTTGCTGGATCAGAGATCAAAGAGATACACATGCACATCCCTGAGAGGAGAAAAAGAAATGTTTTATAACAGTAAGCAAGTGGTTACATATTAAATAGACACATTTACTGCCAGGGGATATTATAAGACAGTTTTGCAGTTAATAAATGAAATGTAAATTTGCGGCATAGGATGACCTTTTGAGCATTAGCCCTTCGTCAGAGAGAAAGACAAAGGGCTATGGCTGGAAATGTCAGCCTCAGAAGCTCTCTGCAATGGCCAATTTACATTATCATCTCAGTTCATAAAAAAAAGATTAGTATTTACTACACAGGTGAATGGTGCTTTTCACTCTTTTTGGAAGTCAATAGCAAGTACTGGTCACCTCGGAGTAGCAGATAAGACAAAATTGTGAGTTGAGTTTAATTTCCTACCAGCATTTCTCTGTACATTTAAAGAAATCAACTGTTTTTTTTTGTATCTGTGTGGTATATACTAGAACAATTATTCACCCAAGTGTCATTGGAAGTGGTGGATATTTACCTCTCTACTTTGCGGCTCAGTAAATATCCACCATTATTCACCTCCACTTTGATGAATAATTGTTAATAATGAGAAAACTATAGACTAACTTGTTGCCTGGTTGCTTGAGAGGAACATTTGACTGTATGTATTGATCACAAACTAACAAAATAATTCATGCAATGCACAACTTACCAAGTGACTTTCCATCATCAGGTTTTAGAGCAAACAAGATTTCTTTTGACTCCAGATCACGAATATTAACCTATGATCAGCATTAAAGAAGAAATAAAAAACAAACTCGATTTGTTAGCATAGAGACTATCATTACCCTCACATCTTTCATTTCTCTTGTCAATACAAATAAGATTGGCGAGCAACCCCAGTAAAAAAAAAAAAAAAAAAAAAAAACCCTTTTTTCAAAAATATCTCATTTATGTTTCCTCACACTGACATCAAATAAGATTGGGTCATGAAAAATGGGCAACAACCAAAACCCATAAAAATGATAATTCATGATGAATGTGAGGTAGATGAAGGGGATGAGGCCCCCCTAGTGATGAAGACTTTGTATTGGGAGAAATGCAACTAATTTCACCTTACAATATCACCCCCAAATCACATATTAAAGTCACAAAAATGAAGGAAGTGATCCCCAACTAAAGAAGCTCTTTATCATAAGAAGAATTCTCCTACTAAGATCTTAGCAAATACATAGAGAACAGCACAGAGAGTGTGGATATTAATGTTAGACTGTGAAGGGCCAAGAATGAGAGCTTAACCATGATAACCAACCTACCAATAAAGAAGACAATAAATTGTAGTCTTTATTACCTGGGAATTACTGGCTGATGGCAGACCAATCCAATGGGACTTGTATCCTGTAAATGTAAATTTATGAAATAGCTTTGATCTATTTAGTTCCTATCAATGTTACCTGTTACCTTATATGTTATGGATGGAGAACAGATGGTCACCGAGGATAGGGGCATACAGAGGGACACAGGTGGGTACCGCAGCAGTCGAAACAGCCGATCGGTGGCAGGATTTGAAGGAGAAGATAACAATTATAAACACAAGTATAGCTAGCTTTTTACAACTTGCCAACAGTAGAGAAAGAAATTAAGGAGATGAGGAGGTATCAAGCTCACAGCAAAATACTGGCAGATGGGGAGGAAGCATGTTGCTGCCCTACATGCCACTTAGGCGTAAAGGGCATGAGTGAGAGTGATAACTAGCTTTTTACATCACCTCTTGACAAAACACAAAACTGACAAAATCCAAGAAAAGGAGCTGTGATACTGTTGACCACCTCCTTTCTTCCTTCAGAACACTGCCATATTCGTAAATACCCATCCCTGCCATGACTGAAAAAATAAAAATAATTTGACAAAAAATAAGTTATCTTATGGAAATATTCACCAAATGGTTAATGCGATTATTATAGTTATGATTTTAGAATCAACTTTGATAGAAATTTTTTGAGAATGAAATGTAACAACTATACTCACTACCCCTAATAATTAGATCAACAACTGTTACAGCCAAAGTATCTTAATTTTTTTTTTAATTAACCTTTTAACCACTAAGAGTGACTAGCATCTAATTTCTCTTTATAATATCACCCCTAATTCAAACATTGAGGTCATGAGAATAGCGTAAATGATCACATACTAAGGAAACTATCAATTTTAAGGATATTTTCCTCATCAGCACCTTACGAAATGTAAGGAGAACAGTATAGAGATTATACAAATTCATACTAAGGTGTGAAGAGTTAAAGGAAAGACAATTCAACAAGTTATAACCAAGGAGTGATTATTTTTTCCTTGAAAGTTGAATTATGAAGTTCATTTGCGTGGAAGTGGTAAGTATACGGTACCTTATCACATTCCCACAAGGGTGAAAATCAGCAGCAAGGATGGCATGTCCATCATGACCATCTAATGTTATCTCTGATCTTTTTGTTTTAAGATTCCACAAACTAATAATTCCTTTAGCAGACCTGCAAAATCAAGGGCAAACTTAGGTATCACAGTATTCCAGCTATGTAATCATATCTCTTGACGGTCATTTTTCCAAAGGGAGGGGAAGAGGGCTAAGGAAAAAGTGAGTTTGATTATTACACCTGCAAATGTATGCAAAGCACAATCAGAAACGATGACGGTTGTTCCGATGATTCAGTTGCATCATGGAGAATGACTGTTTCAAACATAACTGTGATCAACAAAAATCACACTGGTGTTTATTTCGTTCAATGTTCACAATGGTTCACTTGTGATCAATGTGCACAAACCGTACCCAGAAAGTAGAAGTCCTTCTTCCCTAACAGACTTTGGAGCAAACTTGACGACATTTAAGGCTGCTTCTGTACCGCGCAGAACATACAATGGGTCCGGAGGGCTTCTATTTTCCATGATGGTTGCATGCTTTCATGCTTCCACTTAGCGGTTTCTCTGTTTCTTGAATTGCTTCCTTTTTACCAGGCGTTACGTGACAATACGAAGGGGAATGGAACTAGTTGCCTACACCACTGGTCCATGGACTTTCGGCTCAATTAAAATGGCCGCAGACTTTTGAGATAGTAAACGAACAGACTAGACTACCATTTTTTCCCTTTCGGTTTTGCAAGAAGTAATGTTTAATGGGTCTATTTATGGAATTAAGGTTTTAACGTCCAGTTTTAATGCCTGGCTTTTGAATCGAAGATCGCGTGACATGCAATGAACGGTATAAAGTCACACGAATCTAATTTCGAATTGATTTGCAACTTACGCGTCAGACGCAGTCATGTCAGTTGACAATGGGATGAATCAGCTGGCAAATGTTGTCAAAGCACCAACGGCGTTAACTGTCAGCGACGAAAATAGTAAATGGAGAACTGAAATTGAAGAAATGGAAAATAACTCGGAAAAGGTCTCCTCCATAGCTGATATGAATATAACGACTTATTCTGAAGAGGAATCGCTTAAAGAGATGCCGCGTCAGACAGAAAGAGTACCGCTCAAGCGAAATTCTGATGAAGACTACGTGGATAATAAACGACAAAGAACAGAAGGAGATCAAGCTGCTATGACTCGGTCAAATGACAGGGAAAACGTTAACAGTACAACAGGAGATGAAAAACAAGAAGGAGAAAATCAAACAGATGAGCAAGAACGAAAAGTTATTATCAGTAGGTGTTAACTATTCTTTTGTTTTTCAGATAAGTGTTAAGCTGTGAATACGTTAAACTTTTAATATTTTACAACAACACTTATGATGTAAGGAGCCTAAGAAACAGGACTGAATTTCCTTAAATGCTTATATATAGAGGCTACCATGAAAACTACAGCAAAATTATTTCTTAAAAATATTTTAAAAAATTATAACAAGAAGATCCATGTGTGAAGAATACAGGTGAATGATACTTTATTAAAAGCTTTTACTCAGTTACATAGTTATTGTCAGCATTCACTTGTACAGGGGACTCTGCAGTGGTTTGCAATGAAGATCTTCAATAGACTGGTAAATAATACATCCCCAAGAGTTTGGTAAATTATCCAACAATAGTTATTTAGGAGCAGGTGTTGATCATGTAGATGGACAAGCTAAATAAAGACACTTCATCCTTTATAATCTTGATGAAAATTTTCATTTTCTATAGAGTTAACATATCATCTAAAATGTGGCTTGATTAGCCAGCCAAGGCTTAGAAACGGCACTAGATGACATGTTTCATGAGTTAAGGAGAGCTTTAATTGTGGGGAGGACACCCATACTGTTAACTTTTTCTGTTGAGACTGAGTGCACATATCTTAACTAGATAATTATTGTTGTCCATATGAATGTGTGTCACTTTTCACATGTCTTAAAACTTTTTTGATAAGAGTAAAAAAGGCTTAACAGTGCATTGAAGTGATATTAAAATGTTCTTGATAATAATTAGTCATTTGCATCTGTTGTTTATGTTTGTGATGAAAATTTTTAAATATGACTAATATAAATGAACAGAGCAGGTGTTTCCCATTCTTTCAACTCTAAATGAGTGACCAAGACGGAGTTTCTCCTTACAATATCAATACAATATCAAGCAGACAAGTAATGAGAATAAAGAAAAACATCAATAGGAGATTGTTGGTTGATCTAATACCAAATTCTGTAAACTAAAATCATAAGAATTATTTGTAATACAGTAAGGAGAATTAATAACTAGATCTAGAGAGTGAAAGGGCTAAGGAATGATTTCCTGAGTGAAAAGTCTCTTTTTATTCTAATAAACTATAGCAAAAATAATTAAAATAAGCTTGATGAATCCTATATTCCCTCACTGTGTTCTTTAAACATACACTAAGACACTTAATAACTCCCTTATGTTTAATGGGTGTATTTTACTTAATGTTTGCTTTGTCTCTTTTAGTGAAGGGAAGTCTGCCAAAGCTGGCATTGCCAGAGGGTTGGATAGCACTTAATCATCGCAGTGGAGGAATTGTTTATCTCCATAAGCCATCGAGAGTGTGCACTTGGTCTCGTCCTTATCATATTGGCGGTGGAAGTGTTAGGGTAAAATTTTCTTTATGTTTCATACAACATATTTCATTTGAAAGCAAAGACAGGATGGCACTATTTACTTGCAGTTTTTTCAGAGGGCTTTGTTAAAAATCTATTACAAGTATTTTGATTCTTGACATACCAAGTAGGATTTGGAAGAGTCTTTAGTTTGCTTACAGAATTAGGTACCCATTTTTCTATGTTAGTATTAAATAGGGTTGAAGATTCTTCAAAATGTTCCAAGGAAAGTTTAAAGGCAAAGGGGTATTCTGTATAACCTAAATACAAATTAGGAAGTGAAACAGAACCTGATGTAGTCCAGACTTTGGTTAGAAAATTGTGGGAACAAATTATTATCATTATGTATGCTCAGAAGGCTTTCACCATTTCAATCCGGTGGGTGTCCAAAAAAAATTTTGTTTTAAAAGAAATATCAAGTGAACACCTTTTCAGGCAGACAGTAAATCAGAAGAAAGAAGGATATCAGCTGAGGGATTTTGTTTGATTTGACAACAAATTCTCAGAGCTAAAGATTTAGAAAACATAAAGCATAAAGAATTGATATTTCCAGGTTATATCTTGGGAGTAAGTGGGCTAAAGCAGAAATGTTTAAACAACTGTTACAATAAGACTGATCTCTTATCTTTCACTTGCCTGCATCTTGCGCTTGCCTTAAAACTGCTACTGGTGGGTCTTTACTGCCTACGAGTTGCACTTTTAGTCACATGCAAGGAGCATATGTAGAGTGAAATGAGAATTATTGTAATGGAGACACTGCTTATCCTGAGCGTTCTTGTAACACATTGTTTAGAACTACCTGCCTCAGTCTGTGGGTATTATGGATCTGACCTGGGTATACAAAACTCAATAGAGACTTTTTGGGGGTCTAGCATCTTAAATAAGTGTTTGTTCATGGAAAGAGTACCAGGATCATTTCTTTCAGGAAATGCTTCAAAGAGAAACATTTGTGAAGAGGGTAGCCTGAATTTTTTAAGAGGTGCCAAACATGAAAGCTGGAATTGGATCAGCCTATATTAAATTCACCTCTCTTCCCCTCTGTTCTTTTTGTATCCCTTTTATCATGATCATCAAAGGTTACTTTAATCTGAGAGACCCACTGAGCTATAAGGAAAGTATGAGAACTGTTTTGTCACTGGGAGACTTCCAGACAAATGAGGAGGGTTGGCATTTGTATGTGTGTTTATTCTTTAAGTATTTATTTGCCTAGAAGCCAAGCCCCCAAACTTGAGATACTTTATTCTTTACTATTAGTTATATTTAGTAATCAACAGCATAAAAACAAGAAGTACTGTAATCTGAACCCAATTCATTGTTCTTGACTGTCAGTTGAAAACTCTTCCAAAACTCAGTATGTAGAAGCCACAAGAGTCAGTCAAATTAAGATAAATTTTGAGTTTCTGCTGTTAAATAAATGTCTGTACTATAAACTGTAAACTTTCAGAAACATGATGTACCATTGGCTGCTATTCCATGCCTCCACCAGAAAAAGGGATTTTTAATAGAACAAAAGAATGCTGAAGAAACAAAGTCAGAGAACGGTACCTCCAAGTTAACAAACCCAGCAGGTTCAGTCTTAAATGCACTGAACACTCAGGATGTTGAAAAATGTTATGCGAATGACAAGGATAACATCACACAACACCCACAAATTACAGAGAATGCTCATGATTATAGTGAACAAGTTTCCTCAGTAAAAAATATCTCTGAAGAAGAACAAGAGTCTACTGACAGCTGCAAGAAGACTCCAACAAGTTTGGAGTTATTAGACGTTGGAGAACTAGGAAGATACTTGTCAAATTTATGGGAGTTTCATACCCTAACATCCGAACAAGAACGGTACGCTGTAATGCCCCTACCACAGACTGTCGATGATCTTGAATTACCTTCAAGTCTGGAGTGTTTATCGTATCCAGTAAAAGGCTCAGAGAATGGGAAGAGCTCTGGTAAAGATTATCTGTTAAATGCTGGTGGTAAAACACCTGTGGCTTTATTACATGAGTACTGTCAGCGATTTTTGAAGTCCAAACCAGTTTATCTTGCCAGTGAATGTGCTAGTTCAGATAGTCCCTTTGTGGCAGAGGTACAAATAGATGGCATCAAACATGGCTCTGGGGCTGGTCCCAGCAAGAAAATAGCTCGCCAAATTGCTGCTGAATCTACTCTTGAAGTTCTGTTGCCAGGAACGTTTAAGAAAATTCGTGATTATCAGATCTCTGATGCCGAGCTAGAGGTAAGGTCCTGTAGAGACAAGCTAGAGTAGTTAGATTAACAGTCCTTTATTCATCCCATCAGTCTTAATTGGCTTGTTTCTTGTCATTTCTTCACTCCTAACCATTAAAATATTTTTCCTTCTTCAGTTTGATGTGTTAATGAGCAAGCATACAGTTTGTTGTCATGTGATTCCTTTAATGAAATAAGAAATGCCAGACGGAGACCCTGAACATAATTACAGTACAACCCCACTAACTCAAACCCGGGTTACTCGAACAAGATCTAATTTCCCTCAGATTTGACCTCATTTTTCCAGTCATTTATTATCAGCTAACTCGAGCAACTCGAACTCTGTTAAATTGAACTAAATGTACTATCCTTTGACTCAAATTTGCCCTGATAACTCGATCTTTAGACAAAAACGTTGTTCGAAAGATGTCATAGTGTTGGAACGTAGCTGATTGACATCTCCCATTCTTTAATCGCGATTGATACCATCGTGGTAACATTTATGAGAACGTAATTATTTATCCAAACTTTCCAAACTAAGTTCTTCTAAAACAGCTTTATGAACGGAAATGACTGTTGATTGTCATTGACTTTGTCACTATCTGCTATATTATTATAATATTAATACTGTTTAGCAGATGTATTCATTTATTTTGTTCTTCTTTATTTTTACAGTTTTTTGACAAAGTAGACATCTTGAACCCTCGGCTTTACGAGTTTTGTTCGAAAACCTCTCTCCCCAGTCCCTCACAAGTCCTTGAGGAATGTGTAAGGAGGTGGGTAGATATTTTTAGAAATTTCCTTTTCTCTTTAGTATCGTTGAAATGCAAAAGAAGAAACTGGCTCTGACACTCTTAGTCTACCCTAAAGTAGCGAATAAATTAAAGTAATCAAAATGAATGATATTCTTGCCTATTGCAGTTGTTTTTGATAAGCTTGAAAGAGAGTTTTGTTCCTCTCCCATAGACATGTCGTAATTGGTTATTACATCGACCCGAATGTAAATTTCTCTCTCTCTCCCTTTGATATAGAAATCAGGGTATTTGTTCTTCCATTGAGTTTTCAACCTTCTGCGAACAGGACAAAAGTCTCGTATTTATTATAACGTGTGGCAAGCATACAGCAAAGGTAAATTCAAAAATATCTTATCTTGTTCCGATTAGTTGATAAAACGTAAAAGGCAATGTAATTATTTTTGTTTTTGGTCGTTTGTGAAACTGAGTTCCGCGGTTGTGTGAACCCCTTACCTTTTGACAGCACTTTAGCATATTCAATTTGAGCAAAGCCTATTAAAATCTGTGCCAAAAAAGTGGAAACATTCTATGCCTCGCCTGCGACCAGAGTTTTCCGCAGAAAGCTTTCGCAGAGCCAAGGGGAACATCTTTCAAATTATTTCCATTAGAAAATTCAACTCACTTTTTTTTGCAGGTTCCTTGTAAAAACAAACGAATTGGCAAGCAGTTAGCGTCTCAGCATATCCTCAAAGTAAGTGTAGAAACAAATTAGCCCATATTTTGTGCATGCATTCTGCAGTGCATGTTAATGCTGTAAACAGAAGCGTAAATTTTGAGGCTCGTTGTTTTTAGCCACAGTTTTCATAAGTCTAGAAAAGGCCTCTCAGAATTTTGTAATTCCTCTCTTTGATCTGCTGTGTCTATACCAGACTCAAAAGTCGACTAAGTTTCGAAAACACTAGATTTTTTCGGTAACCTTAGATTGGTGTTCGATGAAAAATGAAGATAAACTACGAAAGTTGTTTTGTAGGACGACCCGAAAATTAGTAAAATTATATGGCTTACCAGGATTCGACGTTTTCGAGTACTTCTTTTCAACACAAATATGTGAAGCTATTTTCACGTTTTTGACATAAATTACGGGCGTTCTATGACCCATGTGATTTTATGTCATGTCTGTTTTAGAGCCTACATCCTCATCTCGAAAAATGGGGAGCACTTATGCGGATCTACTGCGACAGACCTACAGGGTCAATAAAAAAGGTATGCTCATGTAATACATTAATCGTAGTCTCCTGTTACGTTCATAACAATTCCAGTTTTGATACAAACTTACAGTAATTCAATTGAATCAGACCGACGCTCTTCACTTCTTTACTTTTAGTACTTACTTTTACAATGAAAAAAACGTAAGGCACAGGTGAATTAAAAGGTTACGTTTCTAAAGAAACTATCATAATGGTGCTGCGTGGGGGGGGAGGGGATATTACATGATAATTTGGTTTTTATCAACTGAGTTGATAATGTAAATTGGCCACCGTGAAGAGATTCGCTCTGACAAAGGGCCAACGCTTGCTGAGCGGAAACGTTAGCTACGGAATCTTTCAGCGGTTGCCAATTCACATTAATTCAGTTAATCAAATCAAGTTATTGTCAAACTATTTCGTGGTTTAGGTTCTTGTTAAGATGTTGGGCGTTCAACCTTCTAAAGTTTGATGTTTGTAATTTATGTTAATCGTTATTATTTCTTTAATTCCGGTCCCTGTCAGTGCGAGTTACTTTACCTTACCACGCCACACGAGAGTTTAAGTTTCGTTGCTGGGAAAAATTGATGAAATTTCTTGGCGAAATTTGCCAAAACGTATTTCGTTTGTTTGTTTGTTGTCAGTATCTAAGCAGCTGCGCATCCACCCCTCCCTTTGCCCTACAAATTCAACTGATAACAAGTAAGGGTTAATGTTGGGTTAGGGGAGGGATGGGTGCACAGTTGTTGAGATACTGATATTGATCCGTTTATTGCATAATGCTATTTTTAGTACAAAAAAGATGATAATGATACAGCCAATGAGAAGACAGGAAGCGACTCTTCTGCAAATACTAATTTACTTGAGCGTCTCAAAAGCGAGATGAGAAAACTTAGTTCTGAGGTATGTCCACAAAATAATTCTTTCCTTACTCTACACAAGAGCGCCTCTTATTAAAGACCCATTTATAACAAACTACACAGCCAACCCAACCTGAAACACAGACAACCCACGCGAGTAGTGCATCACCCTCAACTTATATTTGAGCGTACAAGCGAACCCAACCCTTAAAACTAAGCTGCACTTTCTTCACTATGTAACCTAAACACAACATTGATACTTATTTACAACTGAATGTTTGTTCGTGCGCTTATTCATTAAGACTTTTTTTTTTGTTGCAGAATGAAAAAGGAAAGACGGACTCTCTAAATAAACCAGCAGATCCAGTGTTTACTGTGACTCTCTAAAAATGGTTGAATTCAATCAAAATTAGACTATTGTTAAGAAGTATCAATTAATAAAAACAATTTTTCCGCTGAACATGCATAGCATTTAAGATAGCCAGTCAGATTTGTACACTGTATGTTTTTTATAAATGAGATTCTATTTCAACACAACTAATAATATCAAATGTAAAACACATGAAATGATGTTGTTCTACCAATATTTTCTATGTGAAATAAAAAGAACAGCCGAAACTTATGACCTCCTGAAAAACTATTTTATAAACATAAATAGCAGCAGCCTTTCCTTGAATTTTACATGGTTATTGTCGTTTTTGCTCGCTCAAAACAATAGTTTTTGTTTATTGCGCCTTTAACATGGGCCTTCTCCTCTTTTTAAATCCTGTGCAACAGTATTGACAAATCTAGTAGTGCTTCCTTTTCGGCGAAGTCCGTCGCGCGAGTTAAAAAAAAAGTTAGTGAAAAAAAGAAGAAATTGAGTCAGTGCGCCGCGTGGAACTCTAGGCGCCTAAAAAGTGAGACGTTTGTGCGCCTCACTCCCAGGGTTCCGCACAGCGCACTAACGATTTTTTTATCACTGATTTTTCGTTCCGACTCGCGCAACGGACTACGCCGAAAACCAAGGACTGCTCGTAGTCTAAGACTTTGAATCTTTCTCTTGCTTCATGGACACACACTGGCAGCTGATGTATATGTCATTTCACTTATCGCATCACCAATGTTTCGAGAAACAGATTTCTACAATCTCAAACTTCATTTTGTAAACACACATTGAGTCCTTGTAAGATTTGATACTTGCGAAGGCAGTCGTCTCAATTTTTTCACACAGAATGTGCTTGTTTTATTAAGTTGTTCGTTATTTGGTTCTGTGGTGGCAGAGAAGCCAACTTGGTCAGGTGTTGATACTTGCCAAGGCAGTCTTGATCTTTCACTCAAAATGTGCTTTTATTATTAACTTTCCCATTATTTGGTTCTGTGGTGACAGAAAAGCCAACTTGGTCAGGTGTATTGGCGGTTCTTCTACCCGAGATACCTATTACGTGAATTCTGTCTCCATGACAACGACAAAGCATGTTCTGTATACCCCTCCTAAACCCATCCATGTACCAAGTGTACAAAAGCGGGTCAGCAGCCGCGTTCAGTAGAATTAACAGAACAGTTATAATGTAAGTTGTGGAGCCGTAGTAAAATCCTGGCGCGTGGAATATCAGTAAATACAAAACATAGTTCGGAGACCAACACATGGTGTGAACAACTGTTACAATGATGAGCATGACTGTCACGCGTTTGCGTGACTTGAGTCTTGCAAGTTGAACCGAGTTTGTAATCGCATCTTCGTTTCGCCACAGTTTGTAGATGATTCTTAAATACAACAGCGTCATCGTTACGATCGGAATCGCGCAATTGACGGTGAAAACAAATGCAACATGAGCTTGTGATGGATACCAATTTATCCATTTTTCCACGCAGAAATCTTCTTGTGGGTCGTACCCGATGGCAGATACACTTGGCCCTGTTAACACACATGCAAACCCCCATGACAACGCCATTATCCAAAGAACGCGTTTCTTGTCTAACCGGAACTTAGTCCTAAAAGGATGCACTATGGCGAAATAGCGCGCCGTCGCTATGGCGATAAGTAAGATCCCAGCCGCTGCAGCGCTCAGCCAGATGAACACACCACCAGTGATGAACTTGCATAAGTAGTTCCCGAATGTACCTATGATTGAGAAAAGAGAAACGTTACAATCAAATTAGTTATCTTATAACGCTGCGCACTAAGAGTCCCTCCGTTCGGAGAAGTCCGTCGCGTGAGTCAGCAACAAAAAAAAAGAAAAAAAATTGATATTGGCGAGCCGCGCGGAACTTTAAGAGCGAGACTCTTGGACCTACTGTTCTGAAGTCCACAACAAGTGCGTAGATAATTGAAGCTGTCAGCCCTATGTTTGCTCAGTTTGGTGTTCCGTATTCGTTGAGGACAGACGATGGGCCTCAGTTTGTTTCCGGGGGGAGTTTCTCCGGGAGCAGGTAGGTGAAAGTAGCTTGTTCTACATAACATCCTCGATCTATCATCATTTGTATCTTACGCTTAAAATTCCTTTTAAAAATTTTCATCACTAACCCGTTGGGTGCTTAAAAGCATGATGGAACACATGCCTAGGTAACATAAATACACCAATCACAACATCTGCTGCAGCAAGATTCACCAAGAGGTAATTCATGGGTTTCCTCATTTGCTTGGATCGATAAACAACCAAGCAAACAAACACATTGCCAACGATGTCGATCACTATTAGCAGTGAGAACAACGCTGACAGAAGCACCTCGGCTATGGAAACCATTCTAAAAGACAAAATCACATCATAGCGTTACATTCGAATCACGGGACAAAAAGAAACGAGGGCTCCATGGACGAACTGCAAGTAATTGTCACAAAGAAGTGTATGGGTTGTGTTGCCTCCAAAAGTGTTTGACGTTATTCATTCAGAATTTGTCACGGCTTTTTCTTTCAGTCGCATTTCCATTTAGTTCTTTTGTTTTCACGTTCATTACTTTCATCGATATTCTGTTACTTTTTTTTTTGTATAATATTTCTTTGTTTATGTCATTCGTACGGAAGTTCTTTATCGTAAATTTTATTCACTGGGCTTTATCATTTAACTGTGCTGGATCGTCTTCCTCGTTTAAAATTATCATTTAATATCGCCAGCCTTTGTATAATATTGTCTGATTGTAGCCATTGTATGATACCGTATAATTGTAGTAACTTATTATTAGCGACCGCTTCGATTGTCCAGTCCGCATCAATGCTTCTGTTTGTCTCGTTTGTTGGAATATATTGTTAGAGAATGTTAAAGAGCGTGTTTTTAGACATGTTAGAGTAATTTTAGCCCTCATAAGCTGGTAATACCATAGTGATTATTATTTAAATGCTTGAAAATGAATATTTAGTGAGAAAAAACGACAGAACATTAAAAAACATGTATTTCAGGAAAGAAAAGTAAATGTTCACAAGCTTGCGTCTTAAATTAAGCAAGTATTTGCATCATATATCGTTAGCGCCTTAGTTTCAGGTCGAAAGCAAAAACAACAGCGTTCAACTTTGTGCTTCCTTTCGAAAAGGCACCAAACACTTAAAAAGAACAGAATTATGGATAAAGCCTAAAACAAATACAACCAAATTAATCTCTATCTCTGTCCATCTCTCTCCTCAAATACTAAACGTGCGTAGTCATCGGGTAAAATACTCAAATTGAAAACAAACCTCGGTGAACACGGGGAAAAAATGTAGTTCATTAAATTAGTATTTTGCAGGTGTCGGCTGGGATTACTCGGCGCAAGATTTTAAGGGGCGCTCACTCAAACTACGTTGTAGAAGATTATTGGACGTGAAGAAGGTGCTATTCGGCACTCGCTCTCACCACGTAAATAGGTAAACCAACTTTTAATGAAGAACTGTACCATTCCGAGCTAGTACACTGAGCCTGGATTGACTAAGCATTGTACAGTGTCATTAACAGTAACACTGAGCCACTCGGTAAATGTTTTGGAATTGAGAGACAGACTAGAAAAAGCAATGTAAGATTTGTATTTACACAGAAGACAAGGTGTGACCCGCACTACAACAAATACACTGAGAAAAATAGAAGTTCTCGGTTTTCTAAAAAAAAATATAATGAAAAGGGTCCTGGTAAATTGTTTCGTAGAACCGTTTGATGGTGTTTTTTCATAAATAGACGCAAATTCATTGAAAATCGATAAGATTCTTGTTTGAAATTGGTTGACAACGATATGGCGAAATGCAAATGCAGCAGATAGGACCAAGGAAAAATCAATACAAAGGAACTGCGGTCATGTACGTGTGAATCAAAATTATTTTTGAAATTCTTTTCGCTGCCATAGCCACAAAGGAACGCACATATACATATAATTCATAGACCCACCAGAAATTCAAAGCCTTCGCACGGCTATATATGGCACCGCTGTTGATAAGCCCGACGCGAACTTGAAAACATGCTAAGCTCTTTTTTAAGATCCGTAAATCACCTAGATATAACACCTCACCTTCACGAATCACATTAGAAATGGGTTTTCAATGTGCTGTCTCTTGTCTTCCAAAAATGAATTTTTCACTTATCTTCTTGTGATAGATTCAGTTTACTTACTGAAGTTTCCGCCAGCGATAGTAATTGCTTAAGGTTAACGCAGCAAATGGTTGAACAAACAACAAATTGTTTGCAAGGCAGAGGGTCCTCGAGTTTCCTAAAATCTGATTGGCTACCTAAATGTAATTGCAAAAGATACGTCCGCTGGCTTTGCTAAGTCGTTCGAAATTGTCAACGTATGACGTTAATCGCAATTAAAAGCTGAAATTCAACTCAAAGTGGACTTTCTTTCGTTATTCAATATATCTTAATAAATAGAAATGCCAGACCAGTTGATAATCCATGTGTTTCTCTCCTTTTACCATCTCATATTATAGTAACTTTCATGTATATTCGAGTTTGTTCAAGGTACGCTGTAAGTTTAATCTCTTGTCAGCCCTTGAGTTTCAGATGGCTTTGTTTTTTGCCAATCTACGTAAAGAACGAAATATCGAGAATTTGTCATTAACGTCATCTTGTATACATAAAGAAATAGTTTTTGGCTTGGAATTGTCACCTGTATTTCTGCTTCTTTCCTAGAGGGCAAGCCATGGAACGCGGTGCTTGATGGTTAGGTAACAGAATGTGCGCAATTCGATGCGCAGCCAGAATACCCTGCGAACAGTGCCATGCAAATTTGTCCCGCAACGGTAGAAAATTCCAGTTCTCTACGCAATCATGGACATGCAAAGACCAATCACCTTAATTCCTGATCAGCTGGTATGGAACTCGTTTCGGTGGTAAGAAGTGAGACCCTGGTGACGACTTTTGATCATATACATTTACAAAGCGGACTGTCCCTTCTTTCGAGCCATTTAAATTGAGTATGTTCATCCTATAGTCTTCGATACGTAAACTGAAGCACTTTAAAAAAAAAGGCGGGATTTAACTGATCAGAAAATTAATTTTTGTTGTATCTTTTCGCTGGTTATCTACCACAATTGGTACGAAAAGGTATGTCATTTTTTTTCAATTGTCGTAATTTTTTCGCTAGAAGGTCTTTTTTTATCTCAGATTTTAGTGTTTTTTTTGGTTTGTTTTTTTTTTACTGTTCAAAGCAAAATATTGTAGGTATGGTTTACAAGAAATCATCTTAAAATCAATTCTAAGGAAATCTAGAATTTGTAATTCATTTATCAAGGAAAAATTCAAAATGAGATATTTCTTTTCATGATGAGCTGTAAACATTCATACGAAAAAATGGTCTTAAAAATGATTTTTCAAAATTTTTTTTCATAGTTAATGGCCCAGAACAATATGTTACATACGTGTTCATGGCGTTTAATTAACCACTGATATGTTATTTTTTACACCAGAGTAAATACATCATAAGAGTAGTCATGGCTAATCGATCGAAAAAAACTGCAATTGCAAACAAAGAAACACTTTGAAAGTAAATCATATTATAAGAGAGACAATTTCTGAACATTACATTTCTAAGGTTAGCAATCATCTTAAATTTTCCTCAAAAGGAAGAGGTCTACGCATTTTGTAAAGTTTGCTATTCTAATTTAAGTAGGTAGCAGCTTATGTTACCTTTTGTTTTTGTCAAGTAAATTGACAAAACTAAATTACATTATTAGATCCAATTGGAGCGTGAATCCTATTGGCTCACGGACGTTTTACTGTTCAAACAGTCGTTACTGTCATCAATATGTCACGGCAGGTGATGATATGATTGGACTACCAAAAACAAACTACGCGGTCTCATTATTTTCAAGAAATTATTGAGTTGGCACTTGTCCAGTTTGCGGTCAAGTTTATTTCGTAATTCTTCGTAACTTTTCAATAAAATTGGAAGAATTCAATAAATTGATTATTCAAATATGATATTTAAAAATATTTGTTACTTTGTTTTCTTTATCATTCTCATCAATTAGTTTACACGTATCAGGTAGTATATTATGCTACATGAAAAGGTTCGCTGAAGACTATGTCATGGATAGTTGTAAGTTTGGATCCACGTCAGTATCTGAGCAACTGCGCACTTATCCCTCCCCTAACCCGGCAACAGTCAACTGATAACAAGTCAGGGTTAATGTTGGGTTAGGGGAGGGGTTGGTACGCAATTGCTCAGACACTGACTTCGATCCGTAACTTTTTACCTAAAATAGGTTTTCCCGTTATTTTTAAACACTTACAGAGAAGTGTAAATATAATCATTTTTGAGCACTGAAACAAAAGCACGAAAAAGCTGTCCACAGAAAGGTCCTCTGACCACCGAGGTAATATCATAGTAAATACTTTAAAATTGATAAAAAATCTTTACATCAATACTCTTTGTTTTCTTTTTAAGAAACCCGTTATGAATGTCTCGGTGGCAACCAATACAGACAGCAACAGTAACATCCTTCGACTGGCGGAATCATTTCGATCTCGAAGTTCATTGCAAGTTGTTCTGGAATCTTTGATCTATGGTTCTGTAATTGTATCTGGCTTTGTTGGAAATCTTCTAGTCCTTTACATTGTCTACAAATCGGCGAGGCTCCGAAATGTACCAGGACTGTTTATTGCTTCACTTGCCCTTTCAGATATCGCCATCATTGCCCTTGCGACTCCACCATCTTTGTTATCACTTATCAAAGGGAATTGGGTCTCCACCTTTGCAGCCTGTCAATTTCAAGGTTTTATTGTCATAGTAACAGTAGCTGCCTCTTTGCAGACCATGGCTCTTATGTCCGTCGATCGATACTTCCGCGTCGTTCATCCGACAAAACATCGACTTTTCTTTACCATGCCACGCGCACGGCTCATGGCCGCGTCAGTCTGGATCTTGGCATTGGCGTACCCAGTCCCTTATCTTGCTACTGAAAAAATGTTTGTTTTTCATCCTGGAAAATTTTTCTGTTTTTTCGTAGAAGAGGAGTCCTTGGCAGCTGACACTATTTACGTCTGCATTTTTTACTCCATTACCGTTCTCACTTATTGCTACATTAACGTTTACAGACATCTGAGACTGAACGCAAAGCGCGTTCAAGGTTGGCGCACGAATGAAGTGAAGCCCTCAACCTTGAACGAAAAACGCGTCCAAGGACGGTTCACGCAAGAAATCAAGACCTCAGTCGAAGATGTCAAATTGACACGAACGTTATTTGCAACTGTCCTTGGATATCTGATTTGCTGGACTCCTGTTCTCATAATCGATTTTGTGGAAAAGGGTGTTGGGGAATGGTTCCTTCCACGTTGGGTCTACGTCATGTACAATGATTTTGGACTTTCGAGTTCTTCTCTAAACCCCATTATATATGGGGCCCTAAACCGAACATTTCGACGAGAATACAAAAAGATTCTCTGCTTCAGGAAGTCCTCGCTTAATCAAGATCAAAGCAACACTGAACAAATACCGATGGAAAGCAAAAAAGTTCTTACAACAGAAATAACCATAAATTCAACTCAAATGTAAAAAGAAAATTTCGACCGAAATTCAAAAGGCTTAGCCTGGGGAAAAGGACAAAAAAAAGTTTCTGTAAACAAGTTTCTTCCTACATAAGGTGTTAACGTGTGTGGCAAAGAAACATGTCTTAAAATGAGTGTATCAGATTACTTTAAGTTTAGTCACAAACATCACTGTTTTTATTAATAATGATTAAGAATAATAAAAATTAATCTGCATACAAAATTTTTTTGAACTGATAGACACTTTCACGGTTTTGAAAAAGTTTGAAATGGATCTAACGAAGATTTAGCCCCACAAAGTCTCCAAATTTTATCAACTTTAGTATGCGGGTTGACGGCGAGGAAAATTTAAGAAAGAAACTTTAATCTAAAAACTTTCAATTAAATTGATGCTGATAAAAAAAATGTATAACTAACAAAAGTCTCTACTTTTCCCTGTTGACAAAATTATCGAACACAACCAACCCGGATGATAAAATTTCTGTACCAGATATATGTGAGGGAGCCTGATAATGGTACTTTTTTTCCTGAAAAATCTTTGGAATATTCTGCAAAATACTTATAAGAAAGTAGAGGCAAGCTGGAATTGCAATACCATAAAGAACAATCAAGATGCAAGGCAGACGTGCCCTCGGATTATCCATTGGTCCGTCATCTAAGTCACGTGACCAGTGAAGTTGATAACCAATTCTTATAATTTACGTCACAAGTTACATCCTCACGCGTCAATTATTATTTTTTCAAGCAGCAATTTTCAAGGCAACTTACCATAAAACCAAATTACTTACAAGCGCTAGAGATTGAGTTCAACACATATTCTCTCAGATTTACTCTCTGTGGCAAATCAATACCGCTTGTATAAGCTTCACTAAAAACCACTTCTTTGCAAAAGAAGGATTTTATAAAGGCCAGATCTTCAACAGGTAAGTGAAATAAGGGTTCGTAATGGATTCTCCTAAATCGTTTAACCATAGACGAAAATAAGACAAGAAAATAAACTTAAGACGATATTTTCCTGTGAGGTAGTTTAGTATTCTACTGAGGTTAAGAATTGTTCAGTAATTGTTTAAATTTCTATCAATGAATTTCTACCACAACCGCAGAAGCAATAGGTGCAAAAAGAGCTCGTAGGTTGTTTAATTTACAAGGTTCTCATCTTCATACTAGGTTTGGATTTTGTGTTGCGCAAACTTCATCGAAATTACTTAAGGAAGCTATTTAAAAATACATAAGTTGCGGGCAAACGGACTGTAGTTAGAGTATGGAAGCAGTAATAACAAAAAGAATCTCACTCGTTCATTGTTCTCAATTGCGAAAGATTCAAGATACTGGCGTAGCATTGAAAGGGAAAATTATTTTCCAGCAAGGCTGGGTTGAAAAAGACATTATATGCACTTTATTTGTGTTTTGAACATTAAATTCAAGTGCTTTTATGTTAGGGATTATTCAAAACTTGAAAGGCTAAAAAAATTGAAAAAACAATGTCCAGATATAACACAAGGTTATACAATGAGATAAACTTTTTGAAATAAGATAAGCGAGCTTTTCCCAAGAATAGTTGAAAGATATTCGCTACATATTCTCTTCCTAATACTATTCTGAAAGCCATTGTGAAAGGATAAATACAAGGTTTGACAATTTCATGGTATTATTTACACGGCATTGCAATTTAAAGTCGAACATTTCTTGAAATAAATTAAACGATAGAGACAGTTTCCGAGCATTTTATTTCAAAAGGAGAATCAAGAACGAAGCTGATCCACAGGGAATTAGTCCAAGCTTTGTTAGACTACTCATTTTAGTTTACGCAGGTGGTGATCTTAATTGTAGTAATTTTTTTTTTTTTCGGGTAAACTGATAAGAATAAGACAAGAAAGCTCAGTCAGGTAATTAAATTTCAGTCCCGCGGAAATCCTATTGGTTTATTGTTAATTTATTGTTTGAACAGGCTTAGATATAATAAGCGAGATGACAAACTGAAACCACAGAAACTTGGCATCCGCCGCATCATCAATAAGCTATTAATTTCTACCAGTCTTCTTATCACACATAACAGACGTTTAGCTGCAAAATGGCTTTAATTTTGCAAGTTCTGCTATGAAACTTTCGTCGTGTTTAACTAAGTCCCATTGTTGCTGTTATTTTTGTTGTCTCGATTCAAGCGAGGATATAATGGCTGAGCAAATGCAAATAAAGTGCAGACTGACATATTTATAATATTCCCGCGAAGCAAAGCTCTGAAAATGAACTTGAAAGTCACCTTCATCTATCTGTCAAAAGTATGCTAAACATTATTTATCTTTGTTACTGCAGCAAAAAAGAAAAAAAAGAAAAAAAAAGGAATGAATGCCTCTGAGAAACCCTCCATAGAAAGACAAGCCCTTCATCTGGCAGATTCGTTTCGTCACCGGAGTACATTTCAGGTTATTCTAGAATCTTTGATCTATGCCTCCATTGCTGCGGTGGCATTCATTGGAAATCTAGTTGTTCTCTACATTGTGTACAAAATACCAAGACTTAGAAACGTCCCAGGGCTGCTCGTGGCATCCCTTGCCATTTCAGACATTGCTATGGCAACTTTTGGGGCTCCGCCGTCTTTAGCATCACTTATTAGAGGGCGTTGGGTTTCGACTTTCGCAGTATGTCAATTTCAAGGATTCGTTGTCATAACAACGGTAGCTGCCTCTCTGCAGACCATGGCTCTTATGTCTGTCGATCGATACTTCCGCGTCGTTCATCCAATTAATCACCGGATATTCTTCACCATGTCTCGCGCACGGCTCATGTCTGCGTCAGTCTGGATCTTAGCTATGATGTACCCAGTCCCTTACCTTGCTTCTGGCAGGAAATACATTTTTCATCCGGGAAAGTTTTTCTGCTTCCACGAAGTAAAAATGTCTTTTGAATCATGTGTTATTTACATTTGTATATGCGTCTCCCTGGCTACTCTCTCTTTTTGTTATTATAACGTCTTCAAACATCTTCGTTTGAATAGAAACCGCGTTAGAAATTTGCGAAAGGAATTTTCCAGCAGGCACGAAAAAGAACGAAGAGTCTCCGCAGAAGACATCAAAATGACCCAAACTTTATTCGTGACTGTTATTGGATATTTAATTTGTTGGACACCTGTACTTATTATCGATTTTGTGGACATGGCTTCTGATGGCTGGTCCCTTCCTCGTAAGGTCTACGTCATGTATACCGATATCGGACTAATAAGTTCTTCCCTGAATCCTATTATATATGGTGCTTTAAATCGAACATTTCGACGAGAATACAAAAAGATTTTCTGCTTCAAAACTCTATCAAGAGAAAACGAAACTTCTTTCTTTGAGCAAACCAACACAGCCAATTTAGCTTTAGCTAAATAATGATCTAACGTGTTGAAAGACTGAAATATTTAACAGAACATTAAAGTTAATTCTTTGACTTCATAAAACTTCCGTCTGCACTATGATAGTACATACAAAAATTTTCCTTGCAAGAGCCATCGTGTACGGGAGTACTCCTAACGCACTCTCAAGATCTACTTATCAATTCTCCTCACTATCTGTCACCCATTTCTTAAAAGTTTAGATCTGAGAAATTGCTGTTCAATTAAGAATTGTTTCCTTTGTTGATATTTTCCTTACTTCTCCTAACCTTCCTGCTCGAAAATTTATTGTTATTGTAAGGGAAATTCTCTTTTAGTCTCTCCTGTGAGTGACTTGGGGATCACTCATTATCCATCGCTCGGGAAGGGGGGTGGGGCGGGGAGTTTTGGGAGTAGCACATGGTTTTCAGGGAAGAACGGCGGGGAATCAGTCATCGCCAACGGAGTCTAGGGGGGAAACTATAGAAAACTGACAGGCAATGAACTGCCAATGAGGGGGATCATAAAAATATTGCAGAGCCTTACAAGGGATTAGGTAAACTTTAACAGGACACAATCAAAATCCTCCGTGAATGGTGGATTACAGAATCAACGGCGTGTAATCGTAAATTGCGCTAACCTTTTTAAACTTTTTTTTTTTTCAACAAAACCACTGATTTATTTGTGCATGTTAATCGGAACTCCTTCAAAATTCGTTAAGTTAAACTGAGAGGAAGGGGGCAGATATTCAAAGCTAAATAGATTCTTTGTTACCACAGCAACACCGACGCTGAGACGCTTGCGCAGAGGCAGTAAGTAATTTCTATTTACTTTTGAATTGCGTCCCGCGACAGCGTTTGTTCAAATTATTTCTTTTCCTGTTCCAATGGGATTTTAGACAACTAAGACACCTGGACTAACAAATCACTTAATAGATCATTTTCAACGACATGCATTTGGTCCAAGCGCCTCCGTCTACCCTTTCAACGCCTCGAGATACGGTCATCGAATCCGTTCCTGTTATGGCTCCAACTGCTGAGGGAAATCTCAAAATTATGAACATTCTGTGAGAAAAATTCTTGTTGCTTAATGCTCATATTTGTTAAACTTTTGATAATGATCGAAGCACTTCTATTTTTATTGCCGCATTGTCTCGTATTCTGAAAATATTATAATTTGCTTTTATTTGAAACAGGGAGGCAAATTCTGAGGTGATGTGTTGTCGATTCAATCTCGAAGGCGGTTTACTGGCGGTTGGTTTAGCTAATGGAGTAACCAAGGTAAGACTAGTATTTACTCTTTTTTAATTTTCGAATTTGTCACCAATTTTTACTTTTCCCGAAGCTAATATCTGCTCATCTGTAGGTTAAATTGTTAACACTTCCACCTTTGCGAAAGGTACGTACCGAAAATGTTCAGTGTTTTATTTTTCGTACATTTTTCTACGTCCTAGGTGTATGCTCCTGACACAGGACATTGCGTCTATAGTCTCTCGGACCAAGACACTTTAAATAATCATTTACCAGTGACCTGTCTTCGTTGGAGACCAACACTGGAGGGTGATACTTATGGAAATATGTTACTCGCAACTTGTAAGTTGGTTAGGTGCAAACTTTATGTTTTAAGAAAGAGGGAACTTCTGCCGCATTTAACAGCTGTTGTAGTTTTAATTATACGATATTCATATGTTTAAGTTGACGTCTTAGAAAATTAGCGAAAGTTAAAACAATCAGGCTTTTAAGCTTGTGTTAATCCTACAAGTAATATGGTGCTACCATATTTATTGATAACCAGAGTGATAATTACACCGTATTTGTTTAGTCTGTCGATCTTTAATACTAAATTTTACCCGTATTCTTATGCAGATTTATGTATTATTTAAAAGTATTATCTTAAATGAAGATAAGTTGTACTTTGACACCACTAAGGCTCTGATTACAAGATTGTAAGATCTTGAAAAGTTCCCAAAAGGAGGGCGCTTTGGGAGAAAAAGCCTCATTTACCTCCTGTTGTAAAAATTAGGGCAATTACAGTAATTGTTAAAATAAAAAAGACGGCCATAACACAAAGGCTTTCTACATGTCTAAGGTAAATATATAAACACCCTCTAGTTGTGAATTGTGGACATACCTGGGGCAGATGTTGATTTTTGCAGAATTGTATAAACAGTGTCAAAGGTGGCACCTCACCTCACTTACATTCTAGCAGTCTGTGTTATGAAGGCTATTAGATGAAAAGTACCTGCAGATTTAGGGTAGATTATGGGGAACAATCTGGCTGAGTGAAAATGATTACATGTTTAAGCCTTCCGCCCTTTTGCCCAAGTTAATGTTTGTAGCTTTGCAATTCCAGGTTCATTATTTGTGTGGCAATTTCCTGATTCATTCACACCCACAAAGTTATTTTTCTTTCTTTTCACTTTTAACTCTTGGCAAGACCTTGGCAAACAACCTCAAATTAGTTGGCTTGGTTCTTAGGGTTAGCAACTGCAATGTTGGTCATCTCATGATGAATAGAAAAAACCCACAGAGGGATTAGTTACAATTTGACATGAAAAAACCTCCAACAAAGGCTTTGTAATGCATCCATGGAACTTTCCCATCTTTTGATCAGACTGAGATTAGACTTTAGAGGAATACATAAATGCAGTATTTTACTAATAATAATGATTTTCTGATAGTAAATAGTTCCTCTCTATTGTAAGTATTTTTTTATTCATTTTTTTTTTGCTGTTATAACTGCAGATGCAGATGGTAAAGTCAAAATCTGGCATACATCAACAAGCACCTGTATGGCGACAATAACAGAAGTTTCTAGGCAGATTTTAGCATGCGCTTACAGTCCTTCAGGAGATAGATTTGTCACGGCCGGATCAGATACAAAACTAAATGTTTATGATGAAAGAACTAGACAAATCATTTGTACTATGCAGCCAAGGTATATCAATTATTTGGGACATCATATTCTCTTTAATGTACCTGTCTTTCATTATTCTCACTAATTTTATGACAGTTATTAATGTTATCGTTACTTTTTATTATTACTAATTGTTATCTAACAAGTGAGTCAACATTTTCACACCATGCAAAAAGGTTACTTCACCTGGTCTAATACTGAAGAATTGTTAAGAAGGTGCTAAGTTGATGATTCAGGATTAGCTAAGGCTGCTATGTTATGTTCATGATAATAAGACACTTGGATTTTTTTTTTTTTTGACAGCTCATCCCACCTAGTAATGGATGGCCACATGAGCCGAGTGTTCAGTGTACAGTATACACCTGGTCAAGATCATGAATTTCTCTCAGGAGGCTGGGATGATACAGTTCAGGTAATAAACAGAAGTTAACCCCACCCCCATCCCTCTCCAAAAACATATTAGACAATCATGCAGGTCCTCCTTAAGAGAGATATAGTTTTAAATTTTTTAAGCTTTCAAGGTCATTTGATTGGGGTGTTGTGAATGACAAAAACTATTTTCCCAGGTTCATTGAACTTTGATATAACCTGTGTATTCAATTATTCTGGCTTAGGTTCCTCTGATATCAGTGGGACATGATTTATAGGCCTGCCACAAGTGAATTTTTGTAAAACCAAACTATTGCTGTGGTAGGTTAGAACCTGGCTAAATCCAAGCCTAAAAGTATCATACAGTTTAGATGCATTTGTGCTGTTTCTTCTTTTTTCAGACTGTGATAACTTAATCCTGCTAATTAATGTCCACTTACTAGTTCAAATTGCCCTCCAATTAATGAAACATTTTACTCTCAAATATCAATGATGGCATTCAAAGGTATATTTTTTACTTATTATTTTTCTCTGCTTTCGTGGTTTTTAGTTTTGGGATACAAGAGTTGATAGCAAACATTCTGTAAGGTATAACTTAAAATTCATAACAATATAAATGCAACCCTGTGTTTTTAAGTTAATTCTATTTGTGATATCATGAAGAATTATCAAATATTAATAATATATGATCATGGTATTCAGGAAAATATTTGGACCTCATATTTGTGGTGATGCACTAGACATTCAGTCACTGAGCATGTCAAGCACCAATCGGCAAATTCTCACTGGGTCATGGAGAAAAGACAAAACTCTTCAAATATGGGATCATGGCTCTGGGAAACTGATAAAAGATGTACCATCTGATTACAATGGAAGTATGGTATGTTCAAGAGATTTTCAGCACACTGTAAAAGTTATAACCTTAATCATATACCATCCAAAATTCATCAAGATTCCTTGGTCTACTGATGATATTTGTAAAAGGTGGTTAAAACCCAAACTTTCATCAACTCTTCTGAGCAACATTTGACCTCTTTCCACCTAAGAACCATTTGTGAATTAGCATTACTTAAAAAAAAGATTTATGAACAGTTTGCCTGCAAGTGAACTCACAGACTCAGTTGGGGTCTCTGGTGAATAATTTTTTGTTGTTGGTTATTATATAGCTCTATTGTGTCCAGTGGCAAGGTCCTGACAGTATCATAGCAGGAGGGAGTGATAACAATATGATGAGATGCGTGGATCAAGGAACTTATCATGTAGGACATAGATGTGCTGTTATACTGTACATTCAGCTTCAGATATGTACTGTACCAGTTATTTTAGGTTATTTTATAGCCTCCTAGTAACTTGATGATATTAACAATCAACTGACTTTCCTTAACTATCTTAGCTTTGTGGTCAGATATTAAGAGTTTTGCATGTGGATAAAAATAAATCTTTGTATACTTGTACAATCTCTATTTATGTAATAGTGCAAGGAAACTACATATTACAATTATGAGTGAGGCATGAAAAAGTTTGGTGACAGAGTTTCAGTCATAAAATAAGGTGTTGTCATGGGCAACCATCCTAAAAAAGCTGTGCATCACCAAACATCAAACGTGAAAACACATTGCCACTGAAAATGGGACAACAACACAATTTTAGCACCTAAACATGGTTGCCGAACTTCCGTCACACCTCACTCAATTAAAAAATCTTCGTAATACTATGAATCCAGTATTGTCAGTTGTAGTCATAAGTACTGAGACTTTTCTATTGTTTGCTTATCCACAGACTACTGGCCGGCTTGTAGATCTTCCACGTGCAGTTTACACGGTAGATTTTGAGAGACATTCCCATCATCCAATCATTGCTGCTGGAACTTCCAACTTTGTATATCTTGCAAAGAGGACATAAGTTGGTTCATCATTCCTAATTAATTCTTAAGCTTTACTGGGAATTTTGTTCCATATGATCTAGACTTGAATGTGCTTGCAGTTTCTCCAGTGTATTCCCTTACATTGGCAAGCACATGGGTACCAGCATATGCTACTAAATCCTGTGTTCCCAGTTTATTGGAAACTTGCTTTAGATTTCTGCAGTCAGCTATTCCTTTTAGGTCTGAAATCTGGCAACGGTTTGCAATTGGGAATGTTTTGTCAGCACACACAACTCTAAACTGCTTAGTGGTCTTTTTACTATGTAGTTCAAATCTGAAATGGTTCTTAATGACAATCTCCATTAGCTAAGGGTCTCAATGGGGTGATGGCTTTTAAGGCTAATGGTTAAAATTTTGGCCAATATATGGCTAATAATAATGATACCTGTCACTAGAAATTTTTTTTTTGCAGTTGACTTTTTTTACAACTAATAATTAAAATATGTCTATTTTTATGCCAAACAGCTAATTGTTTTGGCCATTTCACAGCTAATGGTTGACTCCCTCTTTGCACATTTGTGATAAGCCCCAATTGTGAGCTTCTACAATGAAGTTGTTGACTGTAAATAGTCCAAAGGTTTGTTTTTAATCATAAATATTAGTATTGTTTATGGCAGATGATATATTTTTGATTGACCTTAAGTATTTCATGGTGAAAATACTTAGCTAGTTATCAAAAATTTTACCCAACTTGATTAAAAATTGTTTAATTAGTAAAGGAAGTATTTTTCTTTCCATTGAAGGATGTTATTCAGAAGAGCTAATTTTAACATTGTCTACATGTACTGTTTGTAATACTTGTTCAAGAAGAGAGTTTTTATCACAGAATGTAAATCTTGTGAAACTGAAGCCCCTATTCCAACCCACTTGCAACTGAAGTGGGTCAGCTTGGTTAAACATTTCCCTGAATGAACAAAAAATAAATACAAAGTCATGTACATGCATAGAGATGTGTACATAATTTATCAGATATTTTGTTTTGAATTAGTACATTTAATAATAATGATAGAATAAAACCAACAAGCATGATTCGAATTTCTCCTCTCTTACCAAAGATTAAACCAAAGAGGTCAGAAATTCAAAAATTTAAATCACTGATTTTTCACTTGCCAGTGAATGCAAACTCTTACTAGAGCCTCTATTTAGTGGGGAAAATGCTCAGGCATTGGTCTGTCATTGAAACAGAACTGTTTATTTTTGTTAAGTGGGATGATTACCACTTGGCATAGTACATAGCAATATAGGCTTATTCTGTTTCATGAAACAAAGAACCTCTTGAATGAACAATCAAATGAGTCAATGGTTGTTATCTTATCAACAAAACAAAGTCTTTATTTTTTCCTGAAATTAAGTTCTCCAACACAACTACATTGTAGATTAACTGACACAAAGCAATCTGTGATCATGGAACACAAAATAAAGGAACAGTGTAATGAATACAACAGTAACGTCCAAATTAAACTTTTTCAGGCATGGAAATGACTTGAAAAATTGGAATGCAAATTGTTGGTTTTGCCAGATTATCTTAATGCAAATGGAACAAATGTTAAAGGAAATTGAATTCATTATTGAGAACAGAGAACTACTTGGTACCCATGCAGGCTCCATGGAAAAAAAAATTTGAAGATATCTCAGTTGATCAGGTGCCAGTTGGGCATTGCTGAAAAGTCTAAAATCCTCCTTACCTCCCATTTCAGATAAATTGATGGTTCTTTTTTCAAGGTGACAATTGTTATGATTGTAAACACTCATGCACTTGGCTGAATGTGACAAAGTGCATAATGACTGTAACCTGGAACCTCACTTAGGGAATCATCACATGATCCCACTTGGGATGTTAACATGTCAGCCCAATCTGTGCATTGTTTATCTCCATGCATGAAAATGAAAAACTATGAAATATAGTATTCACATTTGTTATGGTTCAGTCTGCATTTGGCCAAATGTCCCACAGAAGTCAACTTTCTTCCAGAAGCGTACAAGCTAAGGGAAAAAGAAATCTGTGAAATCACGAGATCATGAGATCACTATTCCTTCATTCAAATTCATCATCAATATAGACAGTCTGCACTAAATCATGGCTCCATTGTATGTGTCTAGAATCTACAGACAAGGTCATTTCTGTTATTTGTTGATTCCTTTTTTTATATCGCTCCTGTCGTGACCTTGACACATCATACTTTCTCCATCTTTCTAATTGAAGCTGGCGTTTTGCTCTTCTTGCCTGCTTCTGTGCTGGAGTAGAGGGAGATGGCATGTCATACAGAGGACTGTTGGGAGGGGAGGGTGAGTTGTGGTCACTGTTGATTGCTATACGAGTACCTTCATCAGGAACACTTGAAAATTGCACATTTGAAATAGAGCTCAACTGCCCTAGCGTTTCCCACTTGAATCTCGACGATGATCCCTTGAAATTTTTAAGCTTAGTCTCTTTTTCACTACCGTCAAATTTCCTCTTAGGGCTCGTCTCTTTCAGACTTGCCTTGCAGGCGGAAGTGTAACTCACACGAGTTTGGCTCTTATTATTATCTTGTTTTTCTTTGTCTGAGCAAGTTGACAACGTATTTGGACGACATTCATACCTATCACATTTCTCCGAAGTAATTTGATTTTCTGTCTTATCTAATGTCTCTCCTCGTTGCGTAAGCCAACTATTCTCCTTTACATCTCCTAAGGAATTCGTACAACAGTTATCGCCATCAATTTGTACTCTGATTCCATGTGGACCGACTGGAACAGCTAAATCGTGCAACAAAACTCGTAAAGTTGGCCCATCACCGCGCAATTTGCTCCTTGTCGTCTCCACTTGTTCCTCTTCTAGATTGAGACAATGTAAAGACTCTCTTAGCTTCTCCAGCTTTAATCTGTTCCTAGAGACCATCTTGCCTCGGTTTCCTTTTCGTTTACTGACACCTCCGTTCATAGTGGCTCCTCTCATTTGTGAACGGATCTCTTGAAAAACCAGTGCCTTCCTCTTTCTTAACCTGGAAAAGAAGTATTTCGTCTTTTCCTCTTGTAAAACACACGTAGACGAGAGGTCTATTCAGAGTTGTCAAAGAAGCACTTTAAACCGCCATGTTCTTTTCAAAACAAACTCTTCCAAAGAGCCTGGAACGAGACAATTCTTGTTTCGGTTTATCCGCCCGAAGCGTCCCGTTTTCCTTCTCTCGTATCTCGTATCCCGTTTCTCATATCCCGTATCCGTAACCTAGATACCTGGAAGATTTTGGCTTTTACATGTTTGGGTCTGATGTACGAGGTTGGTAACTTACTGACAGTAAAAAAATTCCTCAGACACAAAAATTGTTACAAAATTTAGTTATCTGCCAAATGTAAATCAAAGTGATAATGTGCTGCTCAACTTGGAAACAAATTGTTAATGTGGACATTGCAATGGATATTACTCATGGGGGATTGAGACAAGAAGGAAAGTGAGACATCACAGTACAATCTCCATGAATCAAACTTTGTCATGCAGGTAAAACTGTGTAATAATTTTATTTCCTCTTCTGTGATGAAAAAATAAAATACATGCTAATTAAACTATCCATAAATTTTCCAACCACATATTAAATACTTTATTTCCTTACATACTTCCCTATCTACTTATACAGAGATAAAGCAATATTTTTTTTGGTTAACAGACACAAACAGGTGGTTTGAAAACAATTGTAACTATTCTGTTAAAGACTTTTCTTAAATTCTATTCCCCTCACATTCCAAACAGCCCGCCATTCATCTGGGCCAAGATGTGTCCGTAAGGTTACCCAGCCAGCCTCTTCGAGACCCTTGAGGAACGCTGGGAATGCCTGCAGAGTAAAATTATGGGCTAGTGCTACTAAATCCCATGAGCAGTCAGACAGGTGGTTCCTTTCTGCAATAATGATAATATTTATAATAAGAAGATTAGGACAATCTTAAAAGTTCTGTCTAGTAAAAGATAAGACCAAGAAATTACAAATCCAAGTTGCAGCTAGTTTTGGATCAGATGCAGAGTTAAGTGAACTAAAGAATGATATACAACACTCTTTGGACTTTACCATCCCCTCCCTCTTCCCCTCTTTTCTCCCACAGTAAACATATAAAGAAAACATTGTTGAAATATAGATCACATGGTAAGGATTAAAACATCACTCTTTAATGCAGATCAAATAAAAATAAAATGACACATGAGGATAGTCAAATTAATTTTCAGCTAAGTTATTGCTGTTATTGATTACCAACTTCAAGTAACAGAGTAACATGAGAAATTAAATGCATTTCACCCTCTAATGTTACAAGTAAATGTAACAATACAATAATGGTGTGAACATGTGTCATAGTTGAAAGTTATCACTATTATTTTCATGAATTGCAAAATAGTTTTTAGTGGATTTTCATGAGCCTACCTTGCCACCAAAAATTATGTAAGGCCTCCAGTGCTCTTTGACCTCCATCAGAATCACCAAAAACCTTTTAGAGCAAATATTTCAGGTAAAATAAGATTTGTTCCCCTTTGAAATGTACAATACAATAATTGTACAATGGTACATAACAAAATACTACCATGTAGAGCTTGCTACTGTTCATAGAAGCAATCACATTAGCACATGTTGATTGTCTGATTTGAAAAGTTCTTGGCACCTACATTTTCTCCTGTGACAGGATAGTCTTTTTACATTTTCGGTAATTTTGATGGCAGTTTCTTGGTCATTGTATAAAATGAGAACAATGGTTGAGTTTGGTCATCAAAAGAAAGATGTCATTGGCTTTGTCACAGGTAAAAAGAAAAACTTTGAGTGCACCTACAAGGAGTTGAATCCCAGACATTTGGATGCATACTCTGATGTTCTACTACTAAGCTACAGGGAGCTTAAAGGTAACCTGCACTACATACCAAGTCTTATGTGACTGAGCATCCTGCCTTATACTATACTAATGAGAGTTGTGATAAGAATCTGTGACCATAATCTTGCCTCAGAATGAGTACTAACTAACATAATGTGATGCCAAAATATAATTACCTTTTTGATATGTGGTTTTGTGCGTATAACATAATCAAGAGAACAGGCTTGGAAACAGCTCTGAAGATGATCTGTGGCATTGGAATCTTCATGTAATGCTACATGAACAGCACCTTGATTAGAATGGCAGTTAGAAAAGAAGATTTAGGATAAACAACAACATTAAAATCTTGAATTTTTGGCTTGAAAATTAGTGGCCATACTGGCTATTTATGATACTCAAATCTTGCACAAACAAAAGCTTGAATGTCAGGGAAAATCACCTGAATTTCTTCCTTGATTTAATGTCAGTTTCATAATATACATAGTGCTTTCAGAGTTTGGTAATGCAGCATCAAGATCATTAACACTGAAAGATACAAAACAATGTTTTGTTTGTCAGAAGAGAAGACAAGTTAAACAAACCACACAATATAACATTCCCATTTTTAAGTCTGAAAAATAAAGAAGTAACTATACCTATTTATGACAGAAACAAATTCTGTCCCTAAATGAATTCTCAGACATTCCCCTGTGTTACGACCTGAGAAATATAGAAACATGCTTATTTCATTATCATGTTAAACTTCATAGAACAATCACAGAATCATTAGTAGACCTGGCATTCACATTTTTTTGCAGACATTTTACCAAATATAACAGGTTCCCTGTTGCCCACTTCCTGCGGAGTCATTATGTGCCCTGTTGACAGGAACTCAGTGACGAGAAGGTGCAGGCGAGACAGACTAATTGTTTCCATGACAACAGATGACACAGCTCGGAAATTTGCGTAAAGGTGAAGAAATGTGAAGATGAAGAACAAAGTCCAAGTTAGGCTGAAGTTAAAAGAAATACCAAAATTTATATAATCCATTGACAAGAAAGAATGAACTTAAGTTTCTAAATAATTATCATAAGCCTTTATCCCCTGGGAGTGACTAGGATCTAATTTTTGTAAAAAGTACAGCTGCTGAATCAAATGTTAAGGTCATGAAAATAGGGAAAATGATTGCAAACTAAAGAAGCTTGTGATTGTAAAACAAATTCTCCTTGTCAGAACCATAGGAAATGCAAAGATGACAGTATGGAGAATATCAATATTAATATCATGGTGTAAAAGGGATAAACATTTCTCTCTGTTCCTCTCAGTCGCTAACATGACTTCTCAGAGAAATTAACATTTGATATCATGACAGAAGCAAAGTCTGGCAATACTTATAAAAGTCGTTGGGTTTGGACATCCATACAACTTTCAGCAGCCACAACTGAACTCGTTAGGTATCCAAGATAGATGGTTACAAATTACAAAAGCTCTCAAACAAAATTTGTCATTCTGTTAGAGTGGTAGGAAAAAGTGAAGGAATGAACTCATTCCTCTAAAAATGAAATTGGGATTCAACTATATTATTTTTGTAAGGATAAGTTTTTGTACACTTACAGAAAGTTTCCCGAGACCAAAGGTGTGATGATCAGACCAGCTATTAGTGCCATCAAATTTACTAAAGTTTCCTGGGTGAATAATGAGCATAAGATTAGTAAATTTGCTTTCAATTATATATATATATATAAAAAAATAAAACTAATTCATAGTACATTGTTCACTAAGTAACCAGTAAATAATTAAAATAAATTCAGGATTGCAAAGATACCTCTTCTACAGTTTGCTAACAAGATTGTATAAAAACAATAGGGCTTTTACAAGTACAAAATGTGTTACCTGGCTTCCATCTTTAGCAGCAACATCAGCCATATTGTCCCTTCTAGCCTGGTGCTGAGTCATAGCAGCTCTTGTGGCACCTCCTGCCACACCCACAATGGACTGGGTTCCAATTCCACACCCCATCACAAAGAAAAATGAGATTACCAAAAACTGCTTACATTGTTACTGACATTGCCATAACAGGAAGTGATAATAGAAAAAATATTACCAAATGTGATCATTACCTTTGATATACTTGATAAACATGCCAGAAAAGTGAAATATGTTTTAAATAATGGTGCCAACATCTCTATCAGAATTGATGTGTCATTCAGTATATCAGCAAACAATCTGTAAATAATGTAAAATTTTATGACTTCCTCAAAATTATGAAAAATAACCATTAATTTAAAATATCATCATTAATTAGTAAAACTTATACCTAAGAGCAGCACTTTTCATTATTTTGAAATATCTAAAAGGTTTATATTCATTTATAATATGCATATAAGTCATGGTTAAACATTTGAAGCAAAATAGCCCACACACTATAATTGCTCAATATAATTTTCTCATGGCAAGCAATCATGAGTACGTTTACTCCCTTCCCTTTGGATGAGATGCTTATCCATCCAAGGTTATCTCTTAGCACTTAGCTGACAATTCAAACATATTCATTTATACTCCTTGGTGGAGAGAGGGACTGGGAATGAGAGTAAAGTGTGACCTCCAACAACATAAAAGGGTGAGTCTGCCAGGGCTAGAAACCAGACCTCTCAACCCAGAGTCCAGCACACTGATCATGCTGCATCTCCCAAAGACAAATCATACTGATTAAGCAAAAAATATATATATTAGAGAACAGCAATTCCATTAGTCTGTCCTTTCATATGGCATACCTCCATTTCTTGGCATTACAATCCAAATTACTCCTAAATGGATATAACATAAACATAATGTGAAAAATAGCTTGTTACAATTATAATAATGGTTCCCTTTCCACATAGAAAACTTGAGTTTGAGAGGTGCCTGGAAGAAGCACCCAAACTTAGGGCTGATATACTGCTGGTGAATGTCAGGCTGTCTTAAGTTTCCTAGCAAGACAAAGGGAGAAGTTGACAAGAGTAACTCAGGTCCTTTTTCATTGCTCTCCCAAGGTAACATGTACAAAGTCAAAGTCTTCATACCCTTGGAACCATGCAAATAGAATGCTTCCCACCATGCCTGTCCCACCTGAAAAAAAATCCATGCCAACATTAAAATATAAACAGTTAAAAATATATCAAATTACACAAATCTCTCTTCAATAGAACTTATAAAAACAACCATATGAATCTATAGGAAAGAAGTTCACTTTCAGTGCACAAAATATATGAAAAAAAAGGAAACATATCCCATAAACAGGAGGAGGAGCAGACAGGAGGGAAGGGAAAAGAAGTGATCAACATGTTATTTCTCCTTATAATACCCATACATTATCCAGCAAACAGGCAATGAGAGTACTCAAACATGTCAGGTAGAAACTGCTATCTTGATCTAACACCAAATTCTTGTAACTAGTTTACAAGGTGATTTCTAGTGGCTAGAATGGAGAATTAACAATCAGATCTCTGGAGACAAAGGGTTAAGCACAATTCCACACATGAACCATAACAAAAGTCATCTCTGATGAAATAGGGTATGCCACTGGTGCATATTTGTATCAAGTGTCCAGCTTACATGCTACTCTCATCAAACATCCTAACTGGAATATGACTTATTGTTAAATATCTCACTTCTTAAAATCCATGTCATAGTTGCCGCAAGGGCTGTAGCTTTTTCATCCCCAACACCATAACCCTTCAACATGGCTTGTGTGGCAAGGGTACCAGTTATTGAAGAACAAAAAGCCTAACATACAGGTAACACAAGTCAGCATCCATTTTTTTTCTGCTTTACAGCTTTAAACATGAATTACAGTGTTTTATTGACCTTCCATAGCAGAAACAATCATCTTTTCTTGGCTAATGAAGCAACCATGGGTATTGATCCACCTTATTGCAAAGTTAAACAATAAACTCCCAGAAGTGACTAACATGTAACTTCTCCTTAGAGTATCCATACCTTATCCGGCAAATAGGTAAATGAGAGTACAAAAACTCATCAGGTAGAGGTTGTCATCTAGTTGTAACATCAAATTCTTGTAATAATTTACAAGTAAATGTGTAATAGCTAGAGGGGAGCATATTTTGGGAGCTAAAAGGTTAAGAGATGGTTTGGGAGTACTAAGGGGAACTGTCTCCAAAGAGGGCAATTTACATTTTATTTTGTTATTTTGGAAGAGGGAAGGATTAATGAGCAAGAGAGATAGATGAACAAAAACAGATAGCCTGAATTACCTGCATAGTATCCCATATTTGGTATTCCAAGTAATCTTTGCTGACACTGTCTGGGTAGCCTTGTGGAAGAAAGGCAGACTACAAAAGATACAGCCAGTCTCTTATCCACATTATATACATTAATCAACATTTAAATTATGTTGTGTGAAGCTTTTTTTCCCCGGAGATTTCAACCTGATACTAAGTATTTAGCTTTCATCATTTCTCTCAACAATTCTGCTCAAAGCATATTTGAGAATTTTTGAGATCTCCTGTCTAATATTTCATGTTGTGCATACCTTCACCAACAACTGTCCTGACAAATTTCATACAGCCTGCAATGGGAGAGGGTTAAGTAATCACCTTCCTCTTCCCCACCCCCCTCCCCACCCCCTCTCCCCCCTCCCCTCCCCCACCCCCCTTCTGTCCCACCCTCCCACCAGTTCATAGCACAATCTTTGTTGTCCCTGTAAGTTTTGCATCATGGAAATTGCCCCTTCTGTCATCCTCTGCTTACCTATTCTTACCAGTATTCGGAATAAAATGAGCTCAAAACACAGGTGCCTGCCTTGTTTTCTTTTGACCAAGTTCTTGTTTCTCCGAGAAACGTTGGGTAATAAACTTGTTGATCCCCTTGTAACCATGCATGCAGTATTTCATACTTTTTCTGGGAATCATGGGATCTTGGTGAGAGCTTCTAATGTCCTACTACTCTAAAATCTGCATCAAATTGGCTCTTAATCTTAAATCAATGGGGACTAATGGCAAATTGGGGCCTCCTTTGTAATTGCATTCCAACCCCATGTGATGGAAAATCTTATTAGGTGCCAAAGGCGCGAGCTTCTAATGTCCTGCCCCGGAAATTCTAAAAGGTTCTCTCATCCAAATTTTGACATCATTCCGGCCTGAATTATAACATACCAAATGCTCAATAAGGGGTTTCTAATGTGACAGATCGCCAAAAATTCTAAAGATTAGCCCCTTTTTCAGAATTTTATGATAAATCGGGATAATTTGGTAAAAATCGGGAGAGCGGGAGGCAAGACATCAAATCGGGAGACTCCCGATCAAATCGGGAGGGTTGGAATCTCTGCAACACAGCTGACATACCTTGAAAAACTGCTGCACTGAGGTAGCTGCAGAATCTCTCTTCCTTCCTATTCTTTCTATATTTCCACTTTCGGTAGAAAATCTATATTTTCTCTCTCTGCTGCCCGATCCATACTTTTCCGTAGCAACTACAAATTCATCCGCCATCTTGCCACGGTGCAATGGCATCTACCGCTGACAAAATTCAGCTCGATCCGGTATCTTATCATTTGCTCTTCTTCAATATTGTGGTTTCGAACCTCATCGTCTAGTGAGATTAAGCAATCAAAAACACATGATCTTTCTAATCACAAGGTCTTCTATATTCTCTCGAAGAATTTTGAGTAGTATAAGTCTGTCGAGATCTCGTTATTACAGTTCGATGGATCTCAAAGACGTCGTGAAAAAGCTACACGAGTTTGCGCCACTACAGCTAGCTGAAGAATGGGACAACGTGGGCTTACTCGTCGAACCATCCCAACCTCATTTTGTAAAATCACTTCTTCTTACTAACGATTTAACTGAAAAAGTAGTACAAGAAGCTATTGAAAAAGGAGTAAATATGGTTATATCCTATCACCCGCCGATATTTAAGCCACTTAAACGTCTCACTTCAAAAACGTTCAAGGAAAGAATTATTGTGAAAATGATAGAGAATAAAATAGCTGTGTACTCTCCGCATACAGCTTTTGATGCAGTTAAAAATGGCGTGAACGACTGGCTCGCTTCAGGTCTGGGAAGCGCAAAGGTGGAACCCCTTCAATGTTCAAAAGGATCTGGTTCTTGTCAGTACAAAGTTTTGACTAGTATGTTGACCAATCAGGAAGCAGAAAGTTTACTAAAGCTTCAAGACACCCTCAAAGGACTCGATGGAGTGGAAAGGATTGAGGTGGAGGCTGTAACTAAGTATGTTTTGATCATCTGAACAATTAGATGGGGGAGGAGGAGAGGGGTTGTTTGTTTAACATGTGTTTAGGGGGGTAAAGATATCTCCCATCCCCCTTTAAGTTCAGCCCACCTTTCCAAGAGATTCCCCTCTAATATTTAATGAGTGTGGCCCTAACTACGAGCTTATTCAGGCATACATGTTACATGCAGCTGTTTGGAGAAAGGTTGTCAGGAAAAAGGACAAAGTTTCATGTGACAATCTTGAAAGGTAATCTGGTAATCTGGGTATCTGGTAATCAATGAAATTTTATAGTACAAATGAATAAAGTCATCAAACCTGTGATGCCTTCTTCGCACAGTGAATTTTTCTCAGATTTCCTTGAAATCCTGGGGCAAGAAAGATTACCTTTTGGGGTTGTGTGCCTTTCTCCAAAAACTTTACTCAAAACAGCTGTATATTAGTAGTGAACTGCTAAGGGCAGTGTTTAGAGCCATTTTGTTTTGAAATGTGAAATATTTAAAACATTTTTGGAATGTCCTCCACACTTTTTTTTTCATCAATAAATGCCTAGGCTTATTTTATTTTTTTGTTCTTAACAGACCAGAGACAATTTCCTTACATTGCACTGAGACTGGCCTGGTCAATGCTTTTCAGATGTTGACTTCTCAGTTTCCTGAAACTGTTGGTAAAACAGAAGTGATGCCTTTAGCTCAGGTGGGGCTAAACAGTGCTCAGAACAACTGACAAAGCTTAAATCTGTAGATCTGTTTCCATATACAACTTCCATATGCCTTTTCTAATCTTCATGGTCTTCCACAGTGACTTTCAGGGCTCAGAAAATTGATAAAGCTTAAATCTGTATCTCTTTCCATGCACAGCTTCTACATATGTTTTCTAATCTTCATGATCTTCCACAATGACTGGCAGTACTCAGAACAAGTGACAGAGCTAAAATCTACATATCTCTTTCAATGATTGTCCACCAGGGCACCCCCATGCATTTTCTAATCTTCATGACCTTCTGCAATGACTTGTAGCTCTTGAATAGTTTTCATACCGGTATCTTAAGCAAGAACTCCCCATAGGTGATTCTTCCCTTTTTTCTGTACTTGTTCTTCCTTCCTTCAGTTGTTTGCCGGAGTGCTAAAAACCTTCCTTTAGTTCAAAATATGTTTAATACCTGTCGAAACCTTAGCAGCTGATAACCATCACTATTTTGAGGCTTCATGCTTATAGAAATGTTACATAATTTTTTCTTTTTGTTTTAATTGAAATATCATAACATGGAACAAATTTGATCAATAGATTTTTCTTTTCGAAATTTCTTTAATCAATGTCAGTGTCTGAAAACTGCACACCTACCCCTCCCCTAACCCAACACCAGTCAACTGATGGCAATTTAGGGTTAATTTTGAGTTTGGGGAGGGGTAGTTACACAGTGGCTCAGATACTGACATTGATCTGTTACTTTTTACAGATTCCTCTTTTGGGAACTGGTCAAGGAAGACTCTGTACACTACAGACACCAGTTACTCTGTCAGAATTGATAAACCGCATCAAAAACCACCTGAACCTTAAACATGTTCGTCTTGCTGCGGCACATTTAGGTATGCCTGAACTAGCTGACCCCCAGCAAAGCCGTGTTCAGACTATCGCAATCTGTGCTGGGTCAGGAGCTGGTTTACTGCAAGGAACAAAGGCTGATGTGTATTTGACAGGAGAAATGTCACATCACGAAGTGCTAGAAGCAGTGTCAAATGGAGTACATGTGGTCTTGTGCGAACACAGTAACACAGAACGTGGTTTCTTGCTGGAATTTAAGACAAAATTGAATGGCTTGTTAGAAGAGAAGGTTAATGTGTTGGTTTCTTCATATGATGCAGATCCACTTCAAGTGGTTTAGGAAGCAAATTTCTTTTGGAGACAAAGAACAGTTCTTTCGATGTTCATTGACCCTGTAGCTCCCAAGATCTCATCAGTAATTCTTCTTACTGTCTGTCATACAATTCTTAGGATTTTAGTTTGGAGAACTTGGTATTGAATCAACTAAACAATCTCCTAATTGATATTTTCCTTTATTCTTATCACTTGTCTACTTGACATTTTAAGAAGAAATTCTGTCTTGGTCAGTCATGGGAGTTAAATCCTCAAATTGATTGAAAACCAAACAGATGCAATGAGTGTACTCATTGACCTCTTGGCTTTAAGGTTGACAACTGAATTTAGTCCGTGATGAGTACAATTTAATACTGAACTTTCTAAGATGACATTGGGCCAGTCTTGAACATGTTCACTAAGCTTGAGATCTAAGCAGTTAACCTGCAAATGAAAAATGCTCAAGCCTTTATTTCTCTTGAATTCTCTTGGGAATTAAGTTTGGCTCAAGATTGTCGGCTTAATGTCGTTTTGGATAACATCCCAGCCTCCCTTTAAGGGCAGTGCAGGTGAAATTGACAAGTAGTCTAGGGCAAACAAATAGAAAACAATGAAAAAGCAGGAAACGGCAAATACAGTTGTTTAAGGGGATTGTGTTAACATGCTTAAATATGTGTCAGATCCACTTAAGTTATCAACGATCAGTGAGAAGAAAGCTATAAAAAATAAGTCAAAACCAAGTGGAACTTTGAATAGCTTTATTAAGTATCAGAGCTAGTGAACTACTGTTTCACTTTCAGCAGAGAAGGTACAAACCTTTAACGTTAGGAGAGCCCTAACAAAGAAAGTGAATGAAGCAAAATTATTTTAGATACTCTTAACAATATAATAAGCAAATCTGAATGACAAAATATGTAGCACAGGTGAAAAAAGTCTTAAAAGATATAAAAGTAGCGGAAAGCATCTTTAAAGGTATGTACTGTAAAAAGTACCATCTCTGAAAATTGGCTTTTGGCTTTTGGCTTTAACTGTGGGCGAGCCCGAGTTTTCGTTATCTTTGAATCATGTCGAGACATTTAGCGACAACCACAAGCACTTGCAGTCAAGTCAAAAATAGTCTTTCTCACCAAGTTGCCATTGGCTTCTCTTTTTAAAACACCAAGTCCTTGATATTTGGTCGGAACGCATTTACTCTGCACGAGATTCGCACGAACACCTGGGGACGAAAACACACGTCTCCGTTTGGCGAGCTCCAAGACGAACGCATGTGGTGTGATGTGTTTCGCAGAGGAGCTCATGCTGTCGGCTACATCACATCGGCCATAACACAAAGAGAAGTTGATAAGGCCTTTAGGTCGAACATACACGTTGGACAGGCCCAATCGTGCGAAGGAGGTTCTGAAGCTATGAAGTCGACATTCTGTCGGGTACCGACCACTGCGGAGTTTGCCATAGTGTCTCTTTGGCTTATTACCAGTGAAGATAGATCTTGTAAACGTTGTTGAAATACTCTTGAAATAGGCCACGAGGAAAACGGGTCCATTTTTCCACCACTCTTCAAAATTTTTTAATTCATTCCGCGAGGTGTTTGTGATGATGAACTCAACTTTCACTTTACGAAGGCGTCTTTGTTCCTTCCACTGATCCAAAAGCCTTGATACGTCATAAAGTTCTATCGTCTTTGTTGTGTTTACAAGCAAATCTTGTATGTTATAAGCCAGTCTAACTCCGTCCTCGTCAAGGACGTCAAAAGCGAAGATAACGTTATCTTTTGTGGGAAGTCTAAGAAAGGCCAGGTGAAGTTTTAACGTGTTCTCGATGTCAATGGCTGAGGTATCAAAATGGGTTGTGAACTTTATTTTGTACTGATCGTCAGTGTTGGTGTTTCGACGAAGAAATCCTGAAAAAGATGGGATTTTTAACCCCAGGCTCTTGATGATCAAGTGAAAAAAAAAACACATTATACAAGCAAATAATTCCTCACGATTGTTTCAAACAAGAACGGGAGTGTCTCGCACACCAAGCAAACGTGTACATTTTTCGGTACAAAATTACTTCATTCATCAAATACTATCGTATGTGCCACAGTTTGGAATTAAAATATATTTTTAAAAAAACATTTCCAACTTTAAAGATGCAAATCGAAGGCAGAGAAAACAGTTTTAAGCGCAATTCAAACAAACCTTTGTCAAATACAAAGAGGAGGTTTTCATCTTTTGAAATCCTCAGATCCTCTGACAGTTCCTCGATGTAGTCAGTAAACGTTGTGCTGCGCTGGTCAACAGATATCTTTGCCGAGCTAAAAACGATCATGAAAGCAAGAACAGAGAACAAAGATTGTGCATTCCTGAACTGGTTCATCCTTAAAGGCTCAAGATTCCAGAGCCAAACCTAAGAGAAGGTGGATCTAAATATGAGAGTTTCCTCTTGAAGACATTTATTTTTACTGAGGTGGCCAAAAAGACGCCAAAATGTTTTCGAGGCGACAAGAAGGCGTATACGTGCGCTGTAAAATATACAGCACTCCCAAACTTTTAAACATGATAGTTGATAGCTGATTAAAGGAAGCTTTTAAGACCTTATCTCATTTTCATAGTTTCATTAGTAATTAAAACCTCAGCATGTGCCTCTCCTTCAAGTGGTTTGCCTCATAAGTCACTTGAAGACCTAGGAAAAATCGTGGTAACTTAAAAATCATAGTCAGCTCGGAGAAGATAATTGAAACACGTACTCTGCTAGTTCGAGGTGAATACCAGTCGCAGGATTCAAAGCGTACAAATGGTTAGGTTTTCGACGCACGTGATACAGAAAGGAAATGAAAACAGACAGTTGAATGAATAGTTTGTTATTCTTTTCAAAATATTTTTAAAAACATGTTTGCACAAGTTCTGAAACAGCTATCTATTGCTCTAAGAGGCTTTAAACGTCGCCACTTGATACTGCAAACTGACATATCAATCCTTAATCTCTCCTTTTTCGAATACCACTGCCATAATTAATGTTCCTCGTCTTCTACAAGCGTTGGTAAGTATGCCGGTTACCTAACTTGGTCTTGCCAGCCCAAACTGACGTACAATCAGATATTTCTTTTGCAGTAAATACGTTAGAAAGTTGTGCAGTTTCCGCAGATTATGAAATCAGTTTCATTCCTCTCCTAATAGGCTCCTTTGATTTGAAATGTCCTCCGTGTTCCGAATTTTTGATTTTATCTAGCTAATGAACTGTAAACGCTTCCACACATTCTAACTAATCATGTTCAAGATAATAATGATAATAACAACGTATTTTAATGTACACAGTATCATCTAAATGTAACTTTATCCATCTCCAGTTCTAGGAACACAGTTAATCGTCGTAGTATGGTATAAATGCAGTATACATTAGAGGTTTAAAAATTGCATGACACGTGAAAATTTTACGTGGATTGCCCACTCAAAATGTAGTAAGTTTCACGTTTAAAACAATTTTAAAACGTCATATAAACTTTCCAAGCTTTTTACCGAATCATCGACTTTTGCAAGAAGAGGCCGAAGATCATTTATTCCAGATCAAGGCCTATCTAAATTCATATTTTATTTCATGATGATAAAAAGAACAACATTTTCCATAGGCGACTCTAAATTTCTGAATTCCATAACACTTTCCTACATTATCCCACTTGATTAAACACTTAGGCTCGCGTCCAAAGAATTCACTAAATTTACTACTTGTTTGTGTGATTTATAGATACGAAAAACAACCTGTAGCGAAACAATAGTTTTATTCCACAGAAGGGCGATGTTTCTTTATGGAAAAAAAATTGCAGGTTTGCTATGAACACGAGGCAAACCATGAGCACAAACAGGCTGTTCTAAAGCTCTTACCGGTGACACTGTTGTATTGGAGACATGCAAATTGTATTTGATTGAGTCAGAGATGGTTAGCTTTGAGCTAACAACTTCAACCCATGGGCTTATAAATAGTTTGGCGTTTATTAACTTCCATGTTTGTTTGTTCTCTTCTTACATGGTTTTTTTTTATTGTTGTTGTTTTTCTTCTCCCTCGGTGATATTTAGCTCACATTTATTTTGTGCATGTACACAATCTTTTCAACTAAGTGCTCTGAAAATGAATGAAATATTTTGCTTTAATTGTGTTAAAGGAAAGTATCAAGTCTTTCAGTGTAAATCTCTGTGGATATCGCCAACAAATTCTACCCTGTAGAACACGGAAAATACGTCATGTAATATTCAAAATACTGTGAAAGTAACAAATGTAGAAGTACAAATGTTGGTGTTGCTTCAATTGATCGGTTTCGAACGCGGCGAAGCGTATCTACCAGGTGCGAGAAGTATGGAAAGGCGAGGGACCTGCTTTGGAGAACACGTTGTTGGCCAAGTTAAGAAACAGTTATTTGTTATGAAATAAGTGACTGATTTCGACAGTGAGTCGTAACTTTTATGCTTTTAAGATCCATACAAGTATTCTTTTTAATCAGAATAGTTTAACTCCTACATTGAGTGAGATTTCTACCTATTAGATTTCTCAGAATTCTGTTAAAATCACTGATCTACTTTTAGACCGAAAGTTATGAAATAATTCACATTAGAAATTTTTAGTACTTTTTTCTAAATATTTACTGGAGGACTATTAAACCATATTTTCATCTCTGATGATTGAATCAGTTTTATGGATCACTGATACACTTGAGCAATTAATTAAAGAACGCAATAACTAATCGAAAACATGATAGCTGAGCTGCAAAAAGTGAGTGTGGTTTATTTCTCGGCATTATTCTCTGTGCGCACCTGAACTTTCTTGATACATCGAAAACACGGGAGCCAGACTAAATGAGCAGAAAAATGCGCCATCTCCGAGGGTGGAAATGCCGCACTTATTAACAAAGAAAACTTAAAGTTTGCAAATAAACACCCAATCCACGTGGCTTAATTAGATGTTCGACCAGTAATTAGCAACTTTGAAGAAGAGCGCTCTATTGGTTGCTAGGCACGTGACAGATTTTGGCGGAAAAATGGCACGCTTGAACCTGCAAAGAACACACTAAGTCTTTTGTTTTTCTTTTGTTTTCTTTTGTTTTTTGAGGCTTTGCTGTCAAATGAGTTACTTTACTGAAGGAATTTAAATCCCTTTTGGTCGAGAAAGCCTTCACTTCGTTCGAGTCTTTGGAGCAGCTTGAATAAAGAATTGAAAACTTCACCAGTGACTGAAAATGGTTTACCCTGAGGTTGAATTCCACATTGGAGGGAGTTATTTTGCAAGGTTTGTTTTCGTTTCCCGGCAGTTATCATTTTCAAGTGATTAATTTGATATTAGGAAACTTCACGCCATTTAATATAGCTGTTCCTTTGCTCCTAAAGTTTTTCAAAGCTGTAGAAAAGAGAAAATATTTCTCTAACATCAGATAGGTTTCATTGATGCTACATGAGTAGGATTTGTCTAAAAGGAAAAAATTTCATCCAGCGGAACTCCTGATTCTGACTTCCTTAAAACTTCTACATGGAAGCCATTGAGTTATATCTATAAGCGCTGGCTCGCCATTGATAATGTATCAGGTGTACAACAACAGCTTACCGGAGCAATGTACGGTCCTACTTAGAACTCGTTATAAAGAAAATAATTACAATTTGAGCGCATGAGTGTCTTCTCGCAAGTTCGATATCATGGTCAACTCAGAAGAAATAGTATAAGATATAAGGGTCCTATCGTGTGGAAATCAATCCCAAAATTCACCAGAGATGCTACATCCCTAGCTTTTTAGAGGAAAACTTAAACCTGCCTCAAGAGCATTGGGCCAAATACAATTGGAGAAAGAGGCCTGTTTAATTCAATCGAAAGATCCTGTCCTCTTATATTTATAATAGTTTTAATACATCCTTGTTTTTAATCGTTTTAAGATGTAACTTTTAAATACATTCAATTTAAGCGCTTTAAAGGAAATTTATGGCAGGTCCACACCAGCCCATGGGTTGCCACAAACAGACCTGCCACACCGAAAAGTATTTTTATTCGATGTTTGTTTGTAGATGGTTTGAATCTCATTTAAAATTTGCATTTAATTTAAGTCACGTGCTCGGCAACAGACTACTGTTTGCTTAACAACAACATGGCTGCTAAAACGTCACGAACCACACAATAAGCACTCAGTGACAGACACACGAGAACGTTAATGTGTAAGATTTTCAAGTTACTCTGAGCACTTGTTGAGTCTTATCAAGACCATGCCGCTGTTAACGATGAAATTGTGACAATTTTAAATCAGTTATAAATCGTTTTTGATTCGTAGCCGAACAGATGAATTAATAATGGCTAGGAATGGGAAAGTTCATCCGGTGATCTCGGCAAACAACGACCAAGATTACCGTCGTGAGTGCGTGGAGTTGAAAGGGATGAATCATGTAACGAAGTCGAGGAAAAGAACTTCGACAGCTTCAAGTGAAAACTGGCAGAAAGTTTCCAAAGAGGTCATGGCATTTTCGCGGTGGAAAGGTTACACACGCTCTATGAGATCACTGGCTGGGGAGAAAAACTCTTCCGCATTGAATAATAACAATCGAGCTACGCGAGTTTACTCGAGATCAAGTTCGTACAAGGATAGAGAAATGAACTGTGTATTGGATAGTGATGTCGAGGATTTAGGAAATGAGCGACTTTCCATGTATGATACAAATGCTTATATGAAACCAATGCCAGCTGTAAATCAAGGCGAACCCACACATCCTTCGATCGCAGCCAGCAGAGCATTGATCATCTACTTCGCCAAACTGGCCAAGCAAAGCATTGAGACGGAACAAGAGCTTGATTTTGAGTTTATAGAAGGACTGCTTGGTGAAGGAGCTGACATAAACTTTACTGATAGGCACGGACAGAGTGTTATGCATGAAGTTGCTCGAATCTGGCACGTGGATGTTGCCAGGTTTGTTTTGGAAAATGGCGGAGACGTAAACAAAACAGACGAGTTTGGACGGACGCCACTACATATTGCTGCATCAATTGATTATCCTGAGATGGTAGAGTTTCTAGTTACCAGCAAAGGTTAGTTTTATGAGCGTGATTATTGCCTTACCTCATTTAAGTCACCTCTATTTAGAGTCTATGTATTTCATATCCTCTATTTGTATTCCAGATCCCACACTAATGAGAGCATTACGATCCTTATCGTTAAGTGCTTTGATTTTTTAAATTAAATTTCCATTTTTGATGCAATCGATTCAATCGCTGAATATTAGTTTCATGAAATATGAAAAGCTCCTCTTGTCAAATTTACCATACTTATACTGTAATAGACACAAACTATGAGCTAAATTACCGATTTAAATGTTTTATGTACCAAAGTGAAATTGTCTAAAGCAAAATTGCCTACTGATTGATTCATGGAAAACTTATATTCAGAGGAGCCCATATCAAACAGATATACACCATCTGAAGAATACACAATTCGTAGAAAAAACCAATTTACTCCTTATTTTCAATGAACAAAGCCTCTGTTTACCGACAGCCTTGAAGTAAACCTTAGTAAGGATTCTATGGGTTGCCACTGTGCATGGCTCAAAGTAGTGTCCATTTTAACATTATACCAATCACCCAATTATTCTCATTATCAAACTTTCAAAATGCTTTGTTTGTTACCTTGGAAATGCTATCAAAGTGTCAGAAATCGTGTGTTTACGTAATCAAAACATTTTAATGCACTTTTTGACCGGAAAGGGATTAATCTGTCATCGTTAACTTAAGCCAATCAAAGAACAAATCTCGTAATCGTTGTGAAAAAATATATCTGAAAATTGTAGTTTATCAGAAAAACATTGTGTTATATTTTTAATTTTGACTTGCTATAGCAAATCTGTAGAAAATCTGATTGTAGTTCAGAACCACCTTATATTTTTAATGCTTTAAATATTGTTTAGAATTTATTAGACATTAATTGATATCATTTTCAAGAAAACACAAAATAGTGTGGTAGTATTGATCCATTTAATGATTTTTCTTGAAGAAAAATAGCTGAACCATTTCCGCCATTACATATTCAATTCAAGTTTTATAGCATCCCTTTTGTGCACTTTTTCCAATAGCTGATCTGCATGCCATCACATTTGGAGAGTTACAAACACCCACTCACTATGCTGCTAAAAATGATGCATCTAAAGCACTGAGAATGCTTCTTAAGCTGGGAGGCAGGATGGATGATACAGACTACAAAAGACGCACTCCTCTGCTTGTAGCAGCTGAGTTAGGTATGATTTGAACTGAATCCTATTGGTTCCTTTAATCCAGGAGTGATTGACAAGTAAATTCTCCCTATAGTATTAATACATTATTCAGTAAACAGGTGATGAGAACACTCAAACTCATCAGGTAGTGGTTGTTATCTTGATCTTACACCAAATTATTGTAACTAATTTGCAAGGAAATGTGTAAAAGTTGGAAGGGAGAATTAACAATCAGATCTTGGAAGTTGAAGGGTTCTTGGTGATTCAGAGTGGTAAAGTCCATTGAAATGCGTCATTCTTGTTTCCTGTAGTGTAGCTAAGCAACTATTTTGCTTGAACTCTTAGTTTTATTTTGTTTGAGGGGGTTGAATTTATTAGTAACTTAAGTTATTTAAGTAATTGTTCCTGAAAAGCCCCATTGGGGAGGTAACAATAAAGTATGTATGTTGAAAGTTGTTCCATACAAGATAGGTGTATTTTCTGAAAACACAAACTCTTGCCTCAGACAGTTGGACTAATTCTGTATAGCTCCGTTTCCAAGGTAATAACTCATAAAGCTTGATCAACGTATGTATTTTTCTTCGAAAATAACTTTTTACTTCAAAAGACAGTGTCACTTTTTTAACGTGGTCTTCACAATTATTCAGAGATTCAGATTTGTCTAACATGAGTGTGGCCGTGAAGGTGTATAAATTCCTTCTTTGTGTTTCAGATCGATCAGAAACGGCCAAATATTTAATAGATCAAGGCGCAGCTGCTGGTGTTCAAGACAGTGCAGGCAGCTCAGTTATGTCTTTCATGATCTCCAAAATGCCTCCTGTCGCAAAAGGAGCCTTGGATCAGTTTCACACAACAGACCGGGGTAACCGCCGGCAGTACTTCTACCTGAATCATCTGGAACCTTATCTGCCGGACGAAAACGGTGCATACGTTTCTTGCGCTAGATCACCGCTTCACTGTGTGGTATATTACAAACAAATGGAACTTATAATGCACCCAGTTTTCAAACGGCTTCTTGATGTAAAGTGGGACCAATTTGGCTGGCGTGGAACAATAAAGAACATTTTTGTGCACGCGTTTTTCGTGTTAGTATGGACAGCGCTAGGTGTGACTCTTCATTTCGGAGACGATTCGATTACGAACTATTACAAACCCCCCAGAGATTATATATGGCGAATTGTTCTGGAGAGTTTAGCTTGTTGCATGACTCTGTACTTTATTTGCCTGGAGTTTCAGGAGATCAGTGCTTCGAAGAAGTCGCACCGAAACTGGAAAAGATGGAGGATCGATGAGCTAGAGAAAGACCTACAGTTTTCTCATCCGCGTTGGCCAGAAGAGAGAAAGTACCTTGAAATGGAACGCAACGACATCTTAGATTCAGGAATTTCTTACTTTAATGACGCTTGGAATTACTTTGATTGGGTGACATACGGCTGGATTCTGGGAATAATTGTGACTCGTATTTTTGCTGTTGTGTTAGCCAGCGATGTAGCTCGCTCCCTTCATCCAAAAGTGTTCGCTATTGCACTGATTTTCATCTGGCTTCGACTGATGAAAGTTTTCCGCGCTTTCATTACACTGGGACCGTTCATTGTTATGATCGGACATATCATTGATGATACTCTTAAGTTTGGCTTCCTTTATTTTATATTATATGTACCTTATGTCTGTGCGTTTTGGATGACATTCGGAGGCGCAGAGAACGCTGCAGTTATGAGAGCCAACGGGTTGGACGGTGACGGATGGGAGAACTTTAACGATCTTATGTATTCCGTGTGGCAGTTGACAGTTGTAGGGAATTACCCCTGGGATTCCCTGCTCGTGGTAGACCGGTTAATGGCGCAGATTCTCTGCGGAACTTACCTAGCAGTGTCAGCTATTGTGATGATAAATCTTTTCATTGCGCTGATGTCGGACACGTTTCAGCGTGTTTATGACAACGCCAAAGCGAACGCAGCCATGCAGCGCGCAAGCACCATACTGACTATGGAAGAGAATATGGGAGACAAGACTCGGGAAAGATACAGGAGACTGATTCATGAGAGATTCTCTCCTGAGGTGAGACATAAAGATCATCTTCTTCCAAAGTTAGTCTCATTCGCAGGCTTTGTAAGGTCCAGAGACTAGAGTAATGAAGACATTCCATTTTATCAAGCCTTATTTTGACGCCAAAGAGAGATTTGCGCATGTTTAATAATTGTGGTGTTTACAAATATGTTTAAGATTGTTTTGAAAGTATAAAATGATTTATAAGGAAGCGCAGGGAGAACTAAGAATCTTATACAAATTCGCACCGGAGTTGGCGTCCATGCATGGACGCGCACTTGTCTAGATAGCTCACATGCGCTGTATTCTCCGTTGAAGTAGGAATAATTAAGATGTGAGAATTTTGGTTCAGCTCAACTGTAACCTGAATGGGAATTGTCAGAGTTACCAAAAAACTCACTCAGGTGGTGTACGTGTAAGTCTGCATGGAAGTCCGTTGATCAGAAAGGGCTTCCGCTCGTTCGCTCTCTTTTGCTCTCTTCCGCGCTCTTCGGGCCTTCAGCCCTACTCTTTTAACTTGAATCCAATGTTGCAGCAGTTGATTATTCCCCTTCAAATGAAGCCGCTTTTTACTTTTTCTATCTAATACCTTTTGTTACTTTTAATGATTTTATAATAACACTCATTCTTATCTGTTTCAAATATATTTACTCATTAGGAAATGTATTATGATGATGACTCCACCCAGCCTGGTTCTGGTGAGTTGGAACGAATGACGCATCAAATCAAAGACGTGGTTGATGAAGTGTTCGAAATGCTACAACCGCTGAACCGCAACGGATCAGGAAAGACGGCAGATAAAAGCACCAAACGAGAGATTGAACGGTAAAGGATAACATACTTTAATTGTTTGGGAAGTCACTGACTGGCAGAAAAGTACTTTGGGGAAAAATGCATTTGAACATTACATAGGTGGCTTATACTTCTAAATTTTAAGACAGTATCAACTTTGAAACAGTCCTCGAGTAATGTTTAGCAACGAAAGTAGTGTTTTTCATCCGTTACTTACCAAAAAGAAATTTCAACTTAAATATGTTACACTTGTTTCTGTAGCTTAAAGTAGCTCACGAAGTATTCCATAGTCCATTTGGGCTGGGCGGACACGTTCTGTCGAAGGATATGAAGAATGTTCTAAAGATTTGTTTCGTCGAAATCCAACAGGAAGGCTTCTGCTGATGATGTTTATTAATCGGCTATATCTTGAACCCTTAAATCTCAGGAGTGATATCGATTCACATGTAACTTCTCCCTATTATACCCATACATTACCCAGCAAACAGATGACGAGATTACTCAAACTTATCAGGTAGACGTTGATATTTTGATCTTACGCCAGATTCTTGAAACTATTTTACAAGGAAATATATAGCAGCTAGAGGGGATAATTAACAATCAGATCTTGGGAGTTAACTAGTTAATCATGTCTCTGTTGTATATGACTAATTCGTTTTCTTTGTTTTGTTCTTCTTGTATCAAGCTTGCGATCTGACCTCGCAGAAGTTTCCAACCGACATGAACAGACTGTGAAAGAGATGAGAAACGAAGTGGCAGAGATGAAAGCTTTGTTGATTCGTGTTTTGGAGCGAGGGTCAGTACCGTCACTACCATCTGTCCGATCTCTTCACGATCAAACTCAAATTCCTGAACGCCACTCCCCAAACGAGGCACGAAATCCTTCGAAAAGGTCAGCGAGTAATCGTTCGCACCGAAAACGGCATCGACGGCAGCATAGCTTTCCGAGTGATGACGAAGTTGATCACAGGGATTACCAAGGATTGCCACTGACCGATGACATTGGAGGCGATGCGAATGAGTTGCCTAGTGTGCGGGTGTTGACTACGCGCGCTACAGCTCGTAAACAGCAAAGAGACGAATAAGATCACAGCTGAACAAACGAAGTAAAATAAAGATAAACCGCACGTTAGCTAAAACTGGAGACACAAAAACATTAATATTCAAAAATGACAGACAAATAAGGGGAAATTCTTATTTAATCCGAGTTACAGCACAAATATGGAATAGAACCAAGCGAGTGCAGAGTTTGGCCCCGCGGCATAAAAATGTCGTACCTCGACAATCCGGCCTTTTCCAGTTGAGTGTTTCTTCATAGTTTGTCGTGTAATTTCGGGATTGGTTTACTCCGTGTCAAGAGAGATCCTTTAACTAAAGCCATGTTATATGAAATATCCGTTCAACCAATCGGTTCTGTCGAAAACGCATTTCGTAACTGAGTTGTCGGTGAAAAGCGACTTGTACGAGAATGGTCAACATTTATGTTAAAACCAAAATGACATTTTTTTAACGGATGTATAGTTTTGTAAAAGCTCGAGAGGCTTTTTAAACAATGGATGTATTTTTATAAAATGGAGAGAAAGTTGTCAACTTACTCTATTTTTCGGTATCATATACAATATATAGTGTGAAGAATATAAAAATAAATTGCTTAAACTTGATCAGCAGTATGCCAACGATACTACTTTGAGAGAAAAGAAGGACTCGGAGGTCTACTCTTGTAAAAACATATCAATCTTCTCGGGCGCAAGGCCTGCGACGAAGCTTAGGTGCTTTGGTCGTTTGTGATCATACTAGGAAAACCGACAGAAAATTGTAACACCAATTTAACAGTTTTTTCTTTGGAATGAGATAACAGCGCGCCTCAAAATAACTCGCACTATCTTGTGATAGAAGAAAGGGTGTGTGATATAAAAATTATTACTCCTCTTGAGGTCATAAGACGAGTACGTCACGAAACATTCTGTGTCACGTACACAATATCCTTTCCTAGAAGTGCGCTTACGTCAAACAGGAAATTTTATACTAATGAAAAAAAATTAATCCTGAATTCTAGACTTAATAACGAACAGCCGCAGCTAAAAAAAGCTTATATATGCAGCTGTCAGGATAAATTATGCCGGGTCAGGAGATGAAAAAAAATCCTTAAGAAGCCCGCGTGTTTTCCATAGATATAATTTGTCACGTTGGTTCCTCGCGGTTCCACTGTCTCTCTTTTGTAGATCAGCCGTCTCTCACGTGTATTAGTTACAGAGTTTTGATTAGAATGCATGAAAAGGATGTCGTTGGTAGAGTGCTCAGGTAAGAATCAATTTATTAAATTATTGTTTAGTTAGCAGACGGGTGATCTCTCAACAGAGCGTTACATTGTTCAGATCAGCAAAACATTCATGCCGCAGTGATGTCGTTTAGTTTCCCCTCCTGAACTCGCGAGGTAGGTTCAGTTTGGCGCGTATTTATCCTCTTGATAGGATTTTACTTTCCACCTACAGTCCTAAGTGTTCTTTGATAAATCCTTTTTAATATTTTTGATAAGAAAGTTATAGTTTTTTTTCTTGTTTTTAAGAGCCAACACGTTATGTGTTGAAGGGGAGTGAGATTTAAAAGTCCAGTCCCGAGCTCCATCTGGAAAATCAGAAACATATAATACTATTTTATCAACTTTACCTCGCTGAAACCAGTTTAAAAAAAAGTACTTACGAAAACTCTTTCTTCAAACTAACTTAGTGTACACTGATGACAGTCCGGAGTTATACGTAGAGGATAATTTTTTCTCGCAAAGTAATACTTAAATTATTTGTCAAATGATTATTAGACTCAGTAGGCGAGAATGTCAAAAAGTCAAAATAATTGCAGTATATACCTTTTGCATACTCAACGGCCACAAGAGATCTCTTTACGGCCCGTAATACTTATTTTGCTCAGTAAAAAACAAAGTCACTGTAAAAGAAAATAATTCGTCTGACAAGAAATCTTATAGGCTATCCGGTGGCGGTCAGTTTTCTGAGTGTTTTAAGGCACATAGCGATTTTAACACTGATGGTCGGCTTTGAGATTGTTATCGACGACTTCTGGGAAATGATAGCAGTCCTTTTAAGTAAGACCTTTAACTCAAGGCTGGCTTCCTTTTTTCGGTGAATAACATAATTAGAAAACTGTGCCTCATGGTTTTGTCATTATTAAGCAAAAGACAAATGTTCTACTAAAAGTAGGTGTAGGATTTATTTCTTAATTTCAACACTATGTCGGAAAGTTAGAGTCTTTTAGCAAATAGCCGATGAATAATGTTGAGGATGCCTGTGCTAGTTATTTCTCGTCAGCCTTGGATTGCACTGAGTTTTACAATTAACTGTTTTGAGGAAATTCAGACAGTCTCAGGTCGTAGTTGGGAGTGAACAGTTAGGAGAGGCTTAAGAGAGAGGCCTGGGAAGTATTAATAAACGAATACTTTCTGATTTCAGCACATGGGTGATGTGTGTAATATCATGATCGTTATTTGTAACCGTCGCGTCTTTGTTGGCCTCTTTCGCTGTGAGAGGAACTACATCTCGGTGAATAAGACTCGATAAGGAGTACTGATGGCATTTCATTTCTGGGTCAATTTACTCTGATACCGAGCCTACGTGAGGCAATGTGGTCATCGATATCCTTGAAATGTTCGTGGGTGTTAAATATCTTTTTTCTAGATCTTTCCCTGAATAACGTGATTTCTTTTGTATAAAGAAATCTATCGGGTTTTCCAACAGTTTAATATCTTGATGTAAAATATGCGCCTGATATAAACCTACCTCGGTGCAATGGAGAAACAAAGCGACATCTCACTTCACATCGCTACAGTTTTGTTTTCCTTGCTAAATTATCAGCGATTGAGTTTTTACTTCTCATAACTTCACTTTGAAAATTCAACTCCTCTTTCTCCCCTCATTTTTTGTCCTCCTCTGCCCTGTGAACTAGTTCTAGCAATTTTGCTTTCTTGATTTGAAATTGTCATTGGATAAAACATCAAGCGTAAATTTCTCAAAACAAACAAGATTAACTAGCAGAGAATTAGTGCTAGGGATGCTAAGGTTGTGCTAGACACGGTCAATTGCGCTACAGAAAGGACTGGGCTTGAATGCGCCATATTTGGCTGAGGTGGCCACAATGGTGGACAGTCAAAATTTGATTACTTCTTCGAGTTTGTCTTGTGACCAACAGTTTGGGGCGAAAATCTCCGAAATGCGACGGATTACAACTACTTCATGATCATGGATTCTAGATATACCTCTCTTGGCGAACTTGGACAAAGCACTTCGCTTTACACAGCACACAATCGCGACACAAGTCAAGCAAATGATCCTTACAGAAAACGAACTTCAATCACACTCGATGAGAACTTGTCCAGGTTGTTCGAGTGCATGAGGCTGGAATATGGAACGTAAGTGGACTCAGATGCTTTTTTAACCTTTCCAACATTTTCCGAGTTTTCTTATGGCTCTAATCGGGGGGTCGCTGTTGTTGTAAGTCCTCCATTAATTCGCATATTAATAAGGTTTTGAACGATAGTTTCCTATAACAATTGAACGAAGTTCAAAGCGTTTTAATCAGATAGCACAAATTAACGAAGAGATTAATAGAATTAAATACCGTTAAATTTTGTTTCCTTTGCGTTAAAGCAATCGATATTCTCTCTTTCACTGAATAACTGCATGCGTTCGTGACGATTGTGTTTAGATGTATAACCGTGTATTACACATGTTTGGTATTTGTATTCTTTTTCACTGTAACAGTTTGAGAATGTATGACTATGAAAATCGTCTTTCGAGTTTTTGTCGATAGAACTTGATAATCTTTTTCATTCCTGAGAAGCTCTTCCATGTTTGTGTCTCATGTTTTCATTCAAGATCACAATATTGATAATTTGGACACTTCAACAATCAAACTGTTAGAAAGGAAATGCTTTGATTTGTTTTTAACAAAGTCAGTTACTTTCTAAAACTCGATCTAAAAATTTGGGTCAAGGCCTATGAAGTTCGTGGGATTTTGGAGAAAGTGTCCCTTAAGTGTATCCCATCTTGTGCTTTCAACTCAAGATTCTCTGAATTTTAACTGTTCACCAATTACCTGTTAGTAAAAAAAGAAATATACATTAAAGTTCACATGGCAACCAGGTGGACAATCAGACACGGTTTGATGCTACTCTGGTTTACAGATTTAATGAATGTAACCAAAGAAGTTTACCGTCTATGAATTGTAACTTCTTCGGTTACATTCATTAAATCTGTAAACCAGACTAGCATCAAACCATGTCTACCTGTTAGTAGTTAGGATGAACATGTAATATCATTTTACCATGGTAGAATGAAGAGAAATGCACAGCCTAACTTGATGCAAGGCCTAAACAGGAGAACCAACTTGCTAGCTGACATAGATGTTGAAAATCATGAGGAATCTTAGTATTTTTGTTTAGAATGTTTTTGCTTATTTATTTTCTCTGAACATTGGAACACACAACCTGGTTGTTGCTTTATAATCATTTGGCCATGCGGTTTGCCTAGTCCTCAAAATTAATAGCTTTCTAGTTGTGTAACCAAAATTAAAACACCTTGCAGCTACATGAGCATTAAACTGTCCATCTTCTACAGGCTGATGTGATTGTTTTTGGTGGTTTGTTGTAAGAGATGTCCATAGCTAATTAGATACACTAGTCTGCTACAGATGTAACAAGGATTTTTTTGTTCCATAAGTGTTACCTAAGACTGCCTCTTTCCTTCCTGTTAACCCAATACACATGTGGCAAAGTTTGGTGTGGTGCTTAAAAGACACTTGTCTATGAACACAGGATAGCCAGGATTACATTTAGACAACAGCTGTGACTCTCTCACTATTCTTAAGAATGCCAAGGCTTTTATCAATGTTTTAGAAAGATTCTTTTGAGAATTTATACCAACATACAACAGCATGCATAAATTAGTGTCAAATGGTATTACTTATTTAATGTAAAGTAAGGTCGTTTTTGTTTTGTAGCATGGTATTGGAATTTTTCTTTTATCTCTACACATAACTAGAGGCGAAGGAAACAGAGGAAAATCAACCTCAATTAATATTTGTATTTATATGAAAAAAAGTTGGTCTCTAGTTTTCAAAGCTACTTTCATTCTAAATCCTGTAAAAACTAGTGTTTCTGCCTTAAGAAAATGTATGTGAAAAACCTTAATTTTGTGTATTCAACCAAGTTTCCTGAGCTCACAGATATACATGTTGAATATATATTATGAGAAGCTTTCTCAATGGATACCTCAGGGGTGTCAGTGAGCTTTGAAGTAGACAGAAAAACTACAAAGTAGGAGGCTAATGAAAGTTCAATCTTCACTTTAATATTGATAATTTCAAAGAAATAGGCAGCCATTTTGCCAAGTTTCCGGCTCTAATTGAAACCACCACTATCTTAATATTTATTCCCCCCTCCTCCCCCCCCCCCTCCCAGTACCCCACAATTTCAGGGGCACTGTAAAAAATTGAAAGTGATATTGTCTAGTAATTGGAGCTACATCTGACAGAGTCACATTCTTATTTCTGTTCAGGGGAGGCTTTCTAATCTCACCAAAATGGAAGAACTTCAGAAGCCAGAAGTTACAGTTTGCTGAAAAGACACGATTGAACAATGCAATTTGGAGATGTTGGCATATCCAATGTGAGTATAAAAAGTATGTTTTTCAAAAGATAAATAGAATTGAATGTCTCACAATGTGGTCACTTTGGATGTGGATCAGAATGCTAGTCTTCTTCAGGTGAAGAGGTTGATTGAGTTCACATCACCCTTTTACTGTTGTGCTCAGCTGTGATTGGATGCATCTGTCGACATCCAGGCTTCTGGGATTTCAACTTCACTGTCCCTGTTGATGTTGTTAGGGTAAAGCCTTAGGTGAATTGCCTCTTTCACCCATGTACTTCGTTCCAGAGCAGGCAGTGTTCAGTGTTGTGGGTGTGCTCTGAAATGGTGGAGGTCTGTGTCTAAGCAAGTCGCATACCCTTGTTGTGTTCCTTGATTCTCTCCTGCAGAGGTTTGCCAGCTTCACCGATGTACACCTTCCCACACTCACAGGGAAATTCTGTTTAGGCCATCCTGGTTAACCAGGTCAACAGCATCCTTTGGGTTCACTAGTTGTGATCATAGGGTAGTCTCTGACTTGAAAATAGTGCGTTCGCCTTGTTGTTGTAGACAGCAGCAAAGTTGTTTGGAGAGGGCTGTGACATAGGGCAGGACTGCAGTGGATCTGAACTCCGTAGGGGGATCAGTGCTGGCTGTCTTGGTTTTTGTTACCCTTTGTTCGAAAGAGGAGGGATAACCATTAGCAACAAGAATGGATGACAGATGTTTCTTCCATCGGAAATAATGGAGGACTTTGTTATGAGACATTTTGCATGCTTCTAAAGGCACTTTACAATGCCACACTCTACTGATAGAGATGGTGTTTTTAGTCTTGAAGGATGTCTCAGATAAAGCCAGCGACTGATGATATGTGTTTTCTGTCTACAGATTCCAAGGGGAGGCGACCATTGTTTTGTCAATTTGTCAATCCGCTTTCTGAGGAAAAGGAGCCCTTTAAGAAGAAACCCTTTGTGAGTTTTTTTTTTTAACACATTGCTTGATTGTAACAAAAACAGCGTTATCTGGGATTGAATTGTAGCTCTAAAAACCATAATGGATGTGGTTTTTTTCCTCTTCAATGAAGCTGAATATTTTTTAACTTTCAAAACTAGCGTATCAAAATTTAACAAAAATGTAATTCTGATCAAATGTTCTTTGTATGGTAGCATTAACTGGATGTACTTTCTTTCACTCTAAAGGCTGTTATACTTGAGGGTCGCTATTGGAGGAGAAAGTTGGAAGCTGTAGCCAGGGAGTACAAAAAACTAAGAATATATTACAAAAAGGTTTGTGAATTGTGTTTATTAGCCCTTGATTAACATTAACTTTTCCTCATGATATCCATGCTTTTCCCAAAAAAGAGGAAATGAGGACACTCGAACTTATCAGATGGAAGTTGTTATCTTGACTCATTTCTAGCAAGTAATTTACCAGGAAATGTTCAGCATCTTCATGGGGAAATTAATTAATCACACATTTTATGTCTCCTCAAATATTCATATTATTATTATCTCTAATGCATAGTCTTCTTTTCCGCTTTTCTTTTCAGTGGTCAAATTCTCCTGTAAATACCAGTCCACTTTCTCATTTGAGCCTACGGGTATGTTGAAGAATTTTGCCACTTTTTAGTCATAAGATCTATTGTTGACAGAACCATCAGGAATGTACATTTTGAATGCACAGAACTAATGTGAAACCTTTAAACCAATGTAACTTTCTTACTTCTATATTTAAAACCTTAGTTGATTTTAAGATTTCTTTTGTGGCTTAATTTTAGGCACAGCAGATTGATCAAGAGATTGCTCAGAAGCTTGAGGAAAAAGAGAGAAAAAGAAAGAGGTTTGTACAGAGGACATTTCTGCAGTGTTACCTGATATTGGATTTCTAATGCAAGATCACTCTATATGGTGTGACTAAAACACTAAAATTTTTCAAATTTTTAAAAATACGAAGTTTTATGCACTCAGTTAAAAACCAGCTTTTTTGCTTGCTTAAGTATTATATGAAAAGCTTTATGTATCTCCAATTAGCTCATATAGTTAAAGTGTTTTAACACTGGAATAAAGTTCATCATAATTATCTTATCTGGTGGTATGCATGGGTGAAAAATGTTCCAAAAAGAAGCATTTTTTATTACTGAGGTTGAGGATTCTGTCACAAAGTGGAGATCATCATCAGGTTAATGTATTTCTTCACTTCTCATCAGCTGTTTGCCTGATGATGTATTTGGTATTATCAACTGAGTTGATAACGTAAATTGGTCACCGTAATGAGTTTCAAAGCTGACATTTTGAGCATTAGCTCCCCTTTTCACTCTGAGAAAGGGCCAATGCTTGAAAGATCAGCTTTTGAACTCTTAATACAGAGGCCAATTTACATTATCAACTCATTTGATAATACTAAATTCCCCTGTTTTACTCTCCCTTCAACACAGCACCACAATTTCTTTAGAAACTTATCCTCTTAATGGATGTGTTGATATAGTTTGCAGAAATATCTTGTTGGTCTTTGTGAGTGCCTTATTTGATCTTTTCCAGGACAATAAGCTCAGACAGTGGAGATGAGAACCTCTTCACTATTCCAGCTGCCCCAGGCAGCAATGCTCAAGTAGATCACATGCTAAATATTATGGACACAGCTTTTAATGATGGTAATACTATTCTGCTGCCTTTTTTAACTATTCGTTTTGATTTTTCTCAAAATATGTATTTATCTTGTGTTATTTATACACTTGTAATATGTAATTAAAGGAATGAAATTTAGCTGATCCCTGAGGGGGTGGCAAGGGGAATGTACATGACACCTGATCAAGGTCAATTGATATGTGAAATGTGAATTTTACAGAAAGGCATGTGTGATTCATGAATTGCTATCTGAATTATATGTGACCTGTGACTTTTTTCTTTCATTTGGTGAAAACTTCAAGATTTCCCTTGAAACCTTACTCCTAATAAGAGAAATTTTTATGCACATAATGCATGAATTTTTTCTGAAATTTTTGCATGAAACATGATCAGGACCTTCCCCCCCCCACCTCCTTTGCTACCCTTCTTTGATACTCATCTCTTTAATAATTTGTAAACCATCTAATTATCCCAAGGAGTTGAATAATTAAGGTTTGTTTTTTTTTATTTTTTCATAGACTTAGCTTTGTCTGCTCTGCCCGACACACTTTTCACTTCTCGTCAAACCAACTTTGGAGGAGCTGTAATTCCACAAGAAGCCCTTCAACAACAGCCACTGTCTCACAGAGCAAGAGGTTAAAAACAATCTTTATTCTATATAGCTTAACAATACACAAAACTCGATGCTTTCCAAAGCAAAAGCTAACAGGACATCTCCAATTAAACATGGCATTTTGTAATTTTACCACAAACAGAATATTACAAACATGAAGATGCAATTTTAGCAGTTTATGAATATGTGTGGTATTTGCAATCAGTGAACACTTTTATTCCCAAGATCTCATTAGTAATTCTCCTTACTGTGTGCCATACAATTCTTGTAATGTTAGTTTGAAGAATTTGGTATTGGATCAACATAATCCTTTTATTGATATTTTTCTTTATTCTCCTCACTTGTCTGCTTGATAATGTAAGGAGAAACTCTGTCTTGGTCGCTCATGGGAGTTTTAGGGTTAAATTTAGTTTTATTACTTTCTCTTTAGAAGCATCAGATGTTTTTCAAGTTCCAACTCTAGATAGCTTGCAGCCAAATTTAGACGAATTTATGGAGCATTTTGAAACTCTTACTGGTAAGATCCTTAGCCAAGTTAGGACTAAAAATAGTATCCACTTCTTTCTAACTACATGCGCGGCATTTAGAAATGTCAATAACCCGGCATAGAGTGCAGTTTTCAGTTTAGGAATTGCGGTGATATTGCTTGCTTTGCCCTCTGATTGGTCTGAAAAAATTAAAAGATTAAAAGTAACACAACATATTTACTTGCGTTTTCCCTAGCTTCATGCTATTCGTTTTTATTTGAATCCTCATTGGCTCCTTGGGATTTTTCCTTTGTTCTAATTGGCTGATGTGATGTCTTTGATTTTGGTATCGAGACACCCAGTCTAAAATCACTTTAAGTATGATTCAGTGCTAATTGCAAGATGCTTTCATTTTTGTAGGAATGCTTGTGAAACAAGCTGAACATGCAGCAAATCAACCAAGTTACGTACAGCAGGGTGACTACCATCAGCGCCAGGCCGTTGCTCCTGCCCCACCAAACGCCACAGTGTATGTGAACCAAGGTGACCCATATGAGTCAACTGCATCAGGACAAGAGGAGGTTATGGATCATTCGGGGGCTTATGAATCTGTCACACAAGAAATGTTCCCAACCCAAACAGTGGACAATTCTCAGTTGCGTCAACAGGTCATGCAACCAGATGGACAAGTACTCATGGACATTTCCAGTGCCAATCCCACAGTGGAATTCACTTATGACTACGGGAATGTGCTGCAAGGAGGAAGCTTCACTTCACAACTTGACCCAAGCATACATGTGCAGAACAAGCAGCAGGTTGTTACATCACCCAGACTAGCTTCCCCTGTTGAACAGCCTCAGCTGCCACCCTACCCAACATCGCCACCGCAGCATCATCAGACTCCGCTGGAGGAAATTCAGATTCAAGCTCAACAGCTTCAGTCTCGTGGTAATAATGTTCTCTCCCCTACCAACCAGTTTGTTGGTAATGTGGATCCCTTTAACACGGCCAGGCAAATGGATGCCTCGAGCCAACAGAGGAAGGGGCGGTTGCCTAGGAATGTGTCTGATACACAGTTATATACAATGGACTTGTCTCAACTGGGGACATCTCTCCACACAAATTTGTTTCCCTCCATGGAAAGTAATTTACCACCACAGCTGGAAGCCCCCAATTTAGCGGCACATTTGCAGTCCATACAGCCCCGCACAAGGATCCCTTCCTTACCAACAGCCTCTAATGCCAAACGGGTCCGTCTACCGAGAAACATGTCTGACTCTAAACTGAGCAGTTTAGCGAGCATGTCTAGAAGTCCGACATCACCTCCATCGCTACCCACAGTGCATTCGTCGGAGATAGCAAACCAACCGTCACATCCAGCCCCAAATCCAACACATCACTCGGGAAGGAAAAAGCGAGGAGGATTTCCTCGTATCATGTCAGATTCATCTTTGTTGAGTTTAGGTCAACAGCCGCACCAACGCTTACCTCCAGCTCCGGCAGCAGCGCCAAGTACATCGCAGCGCAGACGAAAGATGTCTACTCCAGAGCATCTTGGAAACACTGTGGCAGCACTGTCATCTCAGTCACCAACATTCGCCAGCACTGCAGATACACCGCAGTTAACGGGGAGCCTTACTACAAATGCAAATCTTTTGGAACAGTTGTTATTAGCACCTGTGGCTAATCCAACCCCAGTTGCTTCTGAATCCTACCAAACAAACAGCTCCGTTTTAGGTCAGCTCCTCACTCAGCCATCCCCTTCTAATGCTGCAGTGCCCATGCAAACAAGAGATACTGGTAATGTGAGTGGTACACAAGACCCTTCTCTGCTGAATCAGCTTTACCAGTTGAAACAAGTGTTACAGAAACAAAGCGTCCCAACAGAGCTTGTTAATGCATTGAGTACCTTAAGTAACGCAGGAACGACGCAAGCGACTCAGCACAAACAAGAACAGCCGCAGGCTGTTCAACATAAAACTGCTCCTATGCAGCCATCACTTCAGATGAAACCCCAAAATCAAAATGTCATCACCCAAGCGTTGCAGTCCTTGTTGCGAGCACCGCCCAATGTAGCTATTCAACCCACGACGTCCAGCAAACCAACAACACCAGTTAGTAACTTTACTTCACAATCGCCATTGCAAGCCGCGTTGATCACATCAAACAGCGCACCGGTTCCAACGGTCACCATCAAGCACACGCCCTCAAATAAAGTTCCTGTGCCAGCTGTGAATCAAAATGTGTTGCCGCAGGCGGCAGTTATTATCTCCCCACAGGGTAATCTGCAAACTGTCCAAGATACACCTACTGGACAAATGGGGGGAGTACCCGAGGTATCAACCTCATCCATGCCGCAGGTAGTGAATGTTGGACATCCTACAGTTCAGGGGCAGAGGATTCTTTTACCAGCGAGTGTTAACCTGAGCACATTGTCTTTAGCACAGCTAGGTCTTTCACCCGCAACGCTTCAGTCGGTGAGTAGCAAATTCTTTATTGATGGGATATTATAAAGTAGAAATCGTTGTTGAAGACGAGTGATTAGAAGAAAGACTAGCGTGAACGTCTTGGCAAAGTGTGCCAATTGAATGCAATTAATTGACGCTCGTCTTTGTGGAAGCTACGAAACGGATTGTCAATATTATGTCCCCATTTTTCAACACTCCATTCGCCTTTTAACAGCGCAAGCGGGTTTCTTAAAGTATTTATCATGTATTTTGATCTTAGACCTCAGCGGAATTTGAACTTGTGCCGTTGCTGTATAAGCTTATATTTCACGTTGTCCTTTTCAGTCTAAATATTCCAATGGATAACTTGCTGAGTGGGCAGAGTTCTAATTTTTTACGCTGTTATGTGCCACTTAGGTTACTGTTCCTGTACCATCAAGCGCTGTCAATAGTTCCTCTCCTCTACAAACAGTTGCGACTATGAGCGCTGGAGCCAAGAATTCAATGGGTGAGTTACATACTTTTTTTTACGATCAATTTTTTCTTTATCATGATTTGAGTGTGTACCTTTTACAAAACGGTAACAATATCAGGAATTGTGGTTAAATTCAGGAGACAAATTTGAGCTTTCTTTCCCTCAGCTGTTGCAGTGTCAACTACTGGTCTTGTGACTGAATCTCAGGACACAGGAGGAATGAGGCCAACAAAAACGCCTGTAAGTGGAACGAATAATCAATTCAACATACGGCTGGGAACACGCCTCAGAGTAGCTTGTTCCAGGTGTTTAGTTAGTAAATTGGGTGACAAGGCGAAAAGGGAAAGAGGTTTGGGACAGGTCTCATGAGCCGCCCCAAGCCCACGCGACCCTGTCCAAGCCTCTCTCCTATTTTCGGTCTGCTCTACTACCGCGCTTCAATTGCCATCTGGACGCCTTAAACAGACCAGCCCCAAGTAATTAAATCACTAGGACAAAATTAAGCTGAATACTTTTGACAAAACAAAACCTGTCCTGTTTTTCTTAGCACATTAGTCAAGTTGCTGGTCCATTTACTTAGGATTCTTTTTTGCCAAAGAGAGGTACAGTGAGTCGGGTGAAAAGTTTTCCTCAAGAAGACAACACAGAAGCACCAGGTTTCCACCCAAAAAATCATAAATCTGTAAACGAAGGGATAAATTAATGTCTAAAGGTTAAGCAGACAGACAGATACCTTTTGAGTGTAGAAAAATTATCGACATTGTATGTCATTTTTGAAACCAAGTTTCTTTTATTTTAGCCGCCTGCCAAACAGACAAGACCTGTAACTGCAGAACAGCGGGAGCAGTACAAGGTAAGTTAAACTGTTAGAACGTCATGTGAGATTTGTTGTGAGACTTTATACTGTATACTGCACAAGTATTTCTTCTCAATTAGTCATGCATATGTAAAGTCTCGATAACTGAGCCTACCAACTCCACAGTCATCTGTCGGATTACATTTGCTATTTCACTGATGCTTTGCCATCGTCTCGCAAAAGTGAGCAAATAAGTGAATTCCTTATCTTGACTTTACTTCCGTGCAAAGTGTGAAGATAAAGGAATTTAGTCCTATCATGAAATTGTATCGGTCTCAGCAATTTATTTAACACTGTGATTTGTTTGATATAAATTGATGTGTAAGGCTTTTTTTCGCTCTGTCAGGAACACAGACGAATTTCGCACATAACAGCGGAACAGAAAAGACGTGGTAATATTAAAGTAAGTGGAGATGAAAAAGGGTTGGTCGGTTTGTTAGCTGCTGACTTTCTCGCTCAGTCACTCAACCAGGCAATCGTCAGGCACTGAGCTCATTTAGTCTGTCAGCCAGTCAGTCATCCTCCAGTTCTTGGTTTATTCCTTCTACTTTGTAGGTGATTGTACTAAAGTCTATAAAATCTTACAGTGATAATAACGCATAGTTATCGGTTTGCTTCTGTCCAGATGGGCTTCGATCAGTTGATGTCACTTGTTCCGTCACTTGCCAGTCAAAGGAATTCCAAAGTTAGCAAAGCCACAGTTCTGCAGAAAAGTAAGTCTCGTTTATACTTACTTTAGAGTGCCGTTCGATTGGCTCTCATATACCAAAACCAAAGTAATCGCAACAGCCAATGAGAACGAAGGAAAATACCTTAAAGAGCCAATGAGAACTCAAAGTAAAAACAAGCAAGCTACCTAAGCGCGGGAAAACGCGGGCGATCAAGTCGTGACTAGTTTTACTTTTGCATCTGATTGGTTGAGAGAGCGGTGCAAGTTTTCTGGACCAATCACAAACCGAAATAAAGCAAAACCTAATTAATCCCAGACATTACCTTGCATATATTACTTCTCAGTTTCTCACAACATTTGTTGTGGAACTTAATAAATTCTCTCTAAGAAATCGTCACTAACTCAGTTTTACAAGTCATTAAATCAGGCATATTGTTATATGGTCGGCATTGTCTTGTGGTATCGAGGTTGTTTTATGTTTCTCGTACGTTTGCCTGTCTGTTTTGTTTTGTTTTTGTTTTTGTTTTCATTTCGTTTTGGTTCTTGTTTCAGCTGTTGAATATACCACCAAGCTGCAGCGGGAGAGACAAACCATGCAGGAAGAAGCTGACCTGCTCAGAAAACAGATCCAGGAGCTAAATGCATCAATAAGGTGAGTGTTTATATGGGAACATGTGATGAAGTATTAAGCCGGTTTTTCCAAGCAAAGCAAGCACAAACGCAAGCTTAACATTTACAATTTGTGAAAACGCCCCCGACGCAAGCACAAGACAAAAGAAAAGTTCTGATCCTTGTACTTCCGTCGAGGCCGTTTTCACGGTGAAAGAAGAGCTGTTGTCTTTGCATTTGTGCTTGCGCTTGCACCCATGCTTGCGTTGCTAATGAAAACCAAGGATTTTCTGTATAATCACCTCATGCACGGTAAGGTAACACTGTTATAATGATAAAATTAAAATATCAATAGAAAGCCAACTCAGTTCTGCGTTTAGTTCCCAGGCGTTTTAAATTTTTTAGAACCCCAGTTTACAAGGGGGAGTCTATTGTTTGGCATTGAGAATGGGTTTTGGTGTATTTCCTTCGCAGTATGTGTCAACAACAGCTTCCGGCCACAGGAGTACCAGTTGCAAGACAGGTAAATGCCTATGATACATTTAATGAGTCGTCGAGCTCGTTTGATGTATCAAGTTAATGTTTACTTGTTTCAAGCTCCTAGTTAGTCTGCGGCAGTATCGTGCCTTTTTTTTTTTGTATCGTTGTCCTTAAATAAACTTATTGTCGCTTAATTTAGCCCTAGTTGTATAACTTAATGAGTTTAAATCGCAGCAGATGTCACTACTACACAACTCTCAAGGCGCGTTCTTCTCTAATCTGTATCTACACAATCAGAACAATAGCAACAAGGTAGTTCCTGGAGGAAATTAATTTTCAAAGTATATGGGAAAGATATTCAAACTGCCTCATCCCTACCCCTTTTTTGATAATTAGAATTGAGATTACTTTTTGGACGATCCAAAATACCTCATAATGATCAATTTCGGATGGAATTTTCTCAGTGTCTCTTAAAGTGAGAGTTACTTAGCTAGGGTATGTTGAATGTACTGACTCCATTACTCATACCTCATTACTGAGATGCTAGCGTTAAATTATTACGTTTTTCTTTGACAGCGTGTTGATCAAATGTGGTCCATGTTTAATCAGTACGTAAAGACACGAACGCAAGACAACTTCAAGTTCTGGATAGTATCCTTTTAAGACGATTGTCCTTCTCTCTTTATTCTTTTCTTTCCCTATTTTTCCGGTTATGTGCACAGAGTACAGGAGCTCAATGATGCGGTGGAGCAGATTAAGTTCCTAGTCACATCGATGAGTAGTGCATGGTAAATCCCGTGGACTCTTCGCATGCCTGAATGTTTAAATATAACTCAGTTACCTCCTTCTTCACACGCGATGCTTGCCTCTATTCTAAAGTTTCAAAAAATTAAACTGAAGTTTTCTCTGCCAAAGTTTTAAGACTCTTTCTCGTCTGTGTGGCTTTGCGCGCCTGACCTTTCATTTTAATTTGATGCGGTTCAGACGTTGAATTATGTGTTCTGATTGGCTCTTATTTCGCTGTTAAGAATTTTCAACTACGCGATGCTCTTGCAATACCGTGGTTTGACAAAGAGTCTTGAAAGTTTGTTTCAGAATAAAATATTTTAAATCGCCCGTCGAAAGCTCGAGTTATGTGTATTTACTTGTTTTCGCTAATTTTATAACAAAATATTCACATCTTTAACTCATCGTTCAGTTCAGCGTACTGATGCGTCATCTGTTTGAAGAGTATAATAACACGGTGTCTACAGCCAGTGTGGAAGACTTCTGTAGAACAGTTATTGGGTGGCTTGAACAGCACTGTTCTTTACCCGCACTGAGACCTGGTAAGTATTGTATCGTAACTGTTTCCCTATCTACTACCTCTGAAGCCTACGAACAGGCCCTCATTATCAGCGGTTCAGCAGGTGCGTTCTTCGCCCGCGGTAAAATCATGAGGCCTTAAGCTATGGAAGACGGCGAGAGGTCTACAATGGGATCTGGCACTGACAAAGTGCCAGACTCCTGGCAAACCTCTCCCCCACTCGTCTCAAGGCCTCCGCGGGCGAAGAAACGTGCGTCGTGTGACGCAAATAACGAGGGCCTGCCCGCGAAGAAAAGTACTGTGTGACTACCCTCGTGTATGATGTGAGAAGTCACACAAAGAAGCCTAAGACGAGTTCATGTGGCAGTTCTTTGGTGTACCACATGGTAAATCGTCCGGTAGCTTGGCTTAGTCAATCAATATGGCTGATATTGACCTCGGTTCCAAAACAGAACCTAGCAAATGACCAACCTTATTGACCTCAAGCTGGGTCAATAACGCACGTATATTTATCCGTTCTCAGCGGCATTGTCCTCGTTACGCGACCTCAGTAAAGCTACGTCGATCTTGTCAGACCCGTCGAAAGTTCCTGAGCAGGCGCTGAGAGCTACAGCCAACAGGGATCCTACAGACCTGTCCGCCATGATGGCTCCTCCAGGTGCCAATGGTGGGGTTCGAAATGGTGGGGCAGCGGCCGGCTACAGTTGAGAAGGACCTAGACACATTGTCCCTAGTAAATAATGTTCCTTTAGTCTCTGCAAGTGGCATCTCAACATTGTTTGTAAAATTAATCGGCGAGGCTTTCCATTGACGCTTCTACGATTCAGAAGGAAACTTCCTTGGTTTAGACACTCACTTCTAACCGGCAGCCACTCAGTTTATTGCACAACATCTTTTTAAAAAGATTTATGCACTGTGTGGAGAAACTTTTTACGCCATTCTGTACATAGTATTCCCTCTAGGAGACGACCTGCCAAACACGTGACCTGTTATTGGTCACACTTTGCATCGGTCTACATGACCCTGGAAGCCAGGACTCAACTCGATCCTTTCGAGTAAGGAACAAAAAAAGATTACAAAAATGTACCAGGAAACATTTTGAAGTGAAACGGACATGGTACAGAAAGAGCACAGGAAAATTTGCGTGTTTGCGAATACGTTTATAGATGCGCTTTTTTGGCATATGAATGATGCTGTATATTTAGTGTGAGAAGTAACGCAGGGGTATAATATTGGTGAGAAATCGGCCAATATGAAAGAGGTTCTTTTTCCAAGCATGACGTAATTTTGTTGCTAATTGAAATATGAGTGATCAAGAGATAAATGTCATGATTCCTGTAAGTGAAGTCGTAGTTTGTCTTCAAAGATAAAAAAAAATACATAACCTATAAATAAACGAAATGTTGTGTTCAAAACCTGTTAAAGGTCATTATTTTCAGATCTAACTGTTCCTAATTCCAACACTAGCTAATAATATCCATATCTGTACTAGAGACAAAAGTATAACTTGTACTATAAGCTGTTGTCGTCAAATGACTTTTCCTATAATAAGCGAATACATTCGACTGCATCTCTTTGATAAGCTGATACTTCCCAATTCTCTTATCCAAACTGTCGCTTTTGTATGCCATTCTCAACTCTCAGTCCCAGGAGTCTTTCAGTGTTAAGTTTAGGAGGAGGTCTGGAGTCTAGTTTGGCTTGGTTCCTATTCAAGCCTTACTGCTTCTATATTGATCCATAAGTTATCCTGCCATCTCTATGGTATGTACGTCATGTTTTTAGTTTAAAGTGTAACGACTGGATTTGCCTTGTACATTGTATTTTGCCCCTGTGTTAGTGGTGGGCAGTTGCCCAGATACTGATATTGACGTTAGGCGAACAGTTAGATCGCTTGACTAAGGCTGATTAATCCTTAGAGAATTTATAATGTAGGTAAATACTAATAGAATTTTAATAGTTCTCTATGTAGCACTGTAAATGTAAGTTTTTGAGTGATAATTCTTTGTACATAGGGTAACTTGTTTCAATCACGTCGACGTTTGCCGATCATCTGAGCAAAAGGAAGGACTCCATAAATTAACTCATTAAACTTTCGTGAAGGGCTGTATTCAACATGTAAACTGCAGTTCACAATCTCAAATCTGTATTTGTTTTATAGTCTATTACGAGAATACCTCTGTTTGTTCAATTATCCAGGTGTAACTATATTGTCCAATGTTTGGCCTCTGTTTAGCTTTGTCACTAAATTAGCAGTTTTATACTGAGGATATGGTGCAAATTCAATTTGCAGTGAGCTGTAAGGTGGAAAAAGGATTTTTTGCAAAAATAAACTGCTTTTTTACAACAACCTCTTAAATATATTTCGTTGTCGCTTTTTTATTTTTAAGTGAAATTTGGCAAACCGGTAATGGCTCATGGTTTCATCAGACTTACTGAGTCTGATTTATGAAAGCGTCACACATAATTTTCTTTGAGAGCGCTTTTTGATTGAGGTTCGTAACATTTAAGTAAGCACAATGGCCGTAGAAAAAATAAAATGCTTTGAGAGCCAGTGAGAACTCTAAGTACAATCAACTAAACACCCTAAGGCGCGGAAAAACGTGGGTGGCCTTGTCGTGATTGGTAGTAGTTTTACATGTGATTGGTTAAGAAAGTGGCGCAAGTTTTCTGAACCAATCACAGAGCGAAGTAAAGCACTTGGAAAACAACGCAATCTCGGATTTGATAACTTCGACATTCAATTGAAAATTGCTGTATTAATCCTTCCTATCAAAACAACTTGCCATCGAGGCGCTATTTGCTGCCCTTTCTTTGACAAGAAGACTCTGGCAATACCATAAAGATTTAGCTTAGGGCCATCGAGGGAAAATAGACATAGAAACGAGTTTCTAACTCTTACCTTGTAAAAGGCTTCTGCCTTTCGCCTGCTATAGAGCTTCGCGCTATCAATGAATTTAAATAAACACTTATTTTTGGTTAGCTAATTGAAAATCGTTTATGTTACCGTGGAGCTTTGGCTTCATCTGGGTCATATCTCGGTAACCCTTTGTTCGCAGACGGTTCGTAATCAAACCATTGATTACACGGGGCGCGACAGTCTGAAAAATCAATCAACTGGCGTAATTGTACTCCGGCACTGTTGAGGGAAAAGGTTAAATTAAAAAGCTACGCTTATCTAAACTATACCATGCGATCATATTATAAATTAGTTGTATTTCAAATGTAAATTACCACTTGATTTTCTTTTTTCTTCCCTAAGTGCTAAGTTTTGGCACAAGTATGAAGAGACAGATTTATTTGACGACTCCTTCTCCATGTTTATCTAAAATCAGTGTTGATGTATTTGCCAATTTCTTTCTCACAATTAACACCTCAACCTAGTCTATCACATCAGGTCATTAAGATGCCAAGTTTCCCATAATAGATCAATTAAGAGTAAGCCTCGAAATGTTTTGGTTGTGCCGCATCTAAAACTGTCTGAGTTTAGATCATCAAACAATTGGCTCAATCATTATTTTTTAATCCATCTTCCATCCCGGTAGGTGACCAGGTTCGCGGGCAAAATTGCTTACTCGACAGATTTCACAGATATTACAGCTGCTTCCTTAGATTAGAAATCTTAACTCCTTAACCCTTAAGAGTGACCAGCTTCTAAATTCTCCTTACAAATGTCGCCCTTAAATCATACATTAAGGTCGTGCGAATAATGGAAATGATCACCAACTTAAGAATTTCTCAATTGTTTAACAAATTCTCCTTGTCAGCACCTTAGGAAATGTATAGAGAACAGTATGGAGAATATGCATACTGATGTTGGGGTGTGAAGGGTTAGGTTAAAAAGACGAAGCTAGTTGTAAAAAAAATTGCAAAATCATCGATGTTGTCAGACTTCATTCAAGAAACCGTCATGAAGTGTTTAGGCTTGTTTTCGGCCGGTTAGATCTCATCGGCCAGTTTGATTTTCAATTGGGGAAAAAAAGTTTTGGACGGTTCATTTGCGATGTTTTAAATTCAAGTGGGGGTTGCGTTTATGTTCTCTTTTGTGAAGTGTTGGATCTTTTTCAGTTCGACTGTGTTTTAGCTTCCATTGTGCACTTCATATTCGTTTCAAAAATGTCAAAATCCTGTGTGAATTACCAAAGTGTTCAAACAAAATGCTGTCATTTTTTTTTCCTTTAGTGGACCGCTATTGAACTACAGCAGTTTCCTTCGAAATTAATTTGGGTAATAAATGATGCTTTTATTAAAAAAAATTCTAAAAATGTAACGCCTCCATTTTAAAGAAAGAAGATGCTTGAAAGGGGCCTGAAAAGCGGTATATTTTATGGCTTTAATTAACGACTGGATTACGACTTTCGGCGGAATCTTAAATCGTACATAAGATATTTAACTTATTTTTGCCAAATACTTATTACAGAGCGTCAATTTTGAAGTGTAATGTAAAAAGAGTCTTTGGACATTTTCTACTTAAAGTGCATTGATTTCATAATTTCACAACTCGCAAAAAATCCGATTCTGTGAAAGAAGAAATCGACTCTACTTTTAATTGTGCGAGAAACATTTGTTAGAAGCGATTTAAACCCTGAAAGAAAAGAATGACTCTATCATTTTAAAATTTAATACGGTTTGTCGGTTTTTCTGACAGTGTAATGACAAGTAGAAAGTCAACAAAAATTGCAGCTTTAAATTCAACTTCTGTGGCGAGGCCGTCGGCAGCTGCCAAAAAATAAGTGTAAACTTGCGTCAGATCAGCTCACGCCGTACGTTTTGAATTACCATTGGATTTATTCTCTGTACACAGAATCGTTAAAACCCGAGGGTCGTTGAGAGAGGTGAAACTTTGACGGCTTTGTTGCTAGTGATTTATAGATATAAAAGAAAACTCGAAGGTTCTTTGTTTTGAATATCAACAACACAGCGACATTGTTTCTCCGCTGTGATCATCACCTGCCGTGATGTGCATAAGGAGAGTAGTCTAATTGTTGTTTGAAAGATTACCTCTATTCATTTACTGATGGAGCAATTTCCGCCTCGTCCAGGTTGGAGAAAACAGAAAAGGCGAAGAAATTAACTCATATCAGGTGACGTTTATTCAAAAGATTCATTCTTGGTGCCAAATTGACGACGTGGTTCGCAAAGAGTATTTATTTTCCGGCTTCTTTTCAATCACTGCAAACAAATCAACAAAAGAACTGTGTTCCGTGCAAAAGAAACGAGAGGGCATCAATATCAAGATGGCTGGACAGGTCATTCATCTCGCCAGTGCTGTTTGTCTATCCATCTTATCTGTTACCACAGTTTCAAGCAACCTACTTCTTCTTATTGCCGTTTGGAAAGATCCGCTTAAATGTTTTAGCTCTCCAACGACGAGTTTCATTGTAGGTATAAGTTTAGCGGACCTTGTCACTGCTCTTACTACGGAACCGTTCTTCGCAGCGTATTACTATGTGGTGTACACTGAGGGAAGGGACGCAGTCAATGGTGTCTTACAAACGCTCTTTACGGCAGGAAGCAACATATCCTCTGTGGCTATCTGTTATTCTTTTTTGATCGTGTTGGCTTTGTCCTGGGCTCAGTACATAGCCATAAAATGTCCGCACAGTTTTAAAAAAGTCGTTACTAGGAGAAACGCCATTATATTCAACATGCTCAGTTTGTTTTACTTGTTGTCTTTCATGAGTCTTCAATTTGTGGGAATCATGGATCAATTCACTTTTTTAAAACTCAGTCTAGCCCTAAACACTTCTTTCCTATCTATTAACTTGATGGTGATTCTGTTTTTATTAAACGCAGCTTTCCGACGCCATTTGAAGAGAAAACGCGCTTTTGAACAGCACGAGGAAAGCTCTTCGCCGCGAAGCAGTCGAAAAACCCGCCGCGAAAATCTACAGCAGCAATTTACAGCAGTGGCGATGTATTTAGCTGCTATTTTGCTCTTATCCGCGCTGCCACATGTCATTACAGCTCAAATATTCCTTTATCTATCAGACGAGCTTTCTCCTCAGGCCAATGAAAACATTCAGATTGCTCTCGAAATCTCCGATCTGTTGTTGTTTGTAAAAGTGTGCCTGGACGCGTTTGTCTACGCATGGCGCCTACCAACATATCGTCGAACGATGAGAATGCTTTTTTTTCGGCGGGCAAAGGAAAGGAACGGGTACATCAACGGGAGACACGCCAACCGTTTTACAGAAGTTTCGCTTTCGCCGCAGTAAAGGTGTCCGCAGTTAATGGGTAACCTTGACTAATGTCATTTTGCGAAATGACTCAAACCTTTAATACAGTTACTTGTAGTTGAGCTTTTTCAAAAGATTATTGATTGGAAACTGATCTCATCAATGGTTCGAGAGGATTCAGGAACATTTCTACTGTTGAAAAGCAGGCTGTAGTTCTGTTTTTTGGGGGACCGCAAGTTAATGTTTTCAGTTGATAATTGTTTTAAAAAATGTATTGAATTTCTGAAGAAGTCATTAGTTGTAACAAGTATTTGTCCGCTTTGTTGTTTAGACAGTTTGACACCTTTACTTCAAATACAATTTATTGCCACTTTTTTACCAAAGTCTGTATATGTGGAATAAAAGCCAGTGGTCAGTGATTAATTAGTGACAGATCTGTTGTACCAAAGAAAGTTTACATTTTACTACTAAAGAGAATGTTTATTATTTAGGTCACGCCCGTAGCTTTCCACATCTTTGTAGAGATTAAAAAAAGATTAAAAAAAAAAAAGACAAACATCGAATCAGCAGAACCTTGATAACCTACAAAAACGCTTTGTGGTTGAGATCGCAAATGACACTAACGAGAAACATATCCTATTTTTCTGCTCCTCCTTTTACGGAAATTTCAGTCTTTATTTACGATTTGTTCTGTGGAATCATCGAAGGCCTCATCAAAATTATCCGCCAGTGTGAAAATACGACATGACAATTTAAATATTTAATCGCTCTTAATTGCTTCATCGTCGCATATGAGTTTGGTCAAACAGGTTATTTGCAGAGTGCAAGAGAAAACCTTGGCTCTTTCTTTGTGATTTGTTATCCAATGTACTTTAAAAAAACGGCATCAAAAATATTCACTGAGCTTGAGGGAAGTAAATTGTTTTGGATAATTCTAAAGTAAACGTCAAATGAGCTTAATTTTCTAATATTCTATTTGCTTTTTTCTCAGAAATTTCGAGATGGGATCGGAAAGCGTCTATTTTGAAAAATATTTGCCTCAATATTTTAATCGTCTCGTGCTGGGTGATAAACATTAGCTCGAAATTATATAAACAATAACCTCCATTTGGCGCAAAAATAGGCTCGGATGTTTGTCCGAAAAGCGTACAGTTTTCCCCAGAGCAAAGCTCACGAAAACCGTGGGCTACGAGGAGCCGATAATGTTTAAGGACAAACATACGAGCATAATTTAGCCCCAAATGGAGGCTACTGTGTTAAGTATCCATCAAATATTTTTGCGACGCACAGGAAATAATGTTTACAGACAGCTTACCGTTTGCTGCGTACTTTATACTTTTCAGTGTGCACTGGTAACGACTTTATGAACAAACAAACATGTCCCGTCCTCTGTAACAACAGCTAACTGCTTTCTCATCTTGAACTCAATCTTAGACTAACACTTTGAATTTGCAAACGAAGGTTTACAAATTTTGAATATCACTTTGGATGTAGTACTGGATTTTCGTCGGTGTTAGCTGAGGCATATTCAGTTACCGTCTCTCTCTCCAGTAGAAGCGGCAGAATGCTCTCTAGACCGCTCTACTTTTAAATAAATACTTTGATCGCATTGGAATCAAGGTCTTAAAATTGAGGAATATCATGGAACATTCCCTCAGGGCAAATTTGGGCATGTAACTCGTCCAAAGCGATCGTGCGCGAGCGAAAATATTTGTCGGATTGTAAAGCAAGACGACTCTATAACCTCGACAAATCACTTATCGAGCGTCAGTGGATTAATCTGGCTTTTGTACTTCTGCTCAAAGGCGGGAAGTCCCTTGAACGCGGCCATTAAACGTCTTGCAGAGGTGAGTTCGAGTTTTGAGTAAAAGTTCGTGAAAGGCAACTACAGCAATAAACTGAACTTCTTTATTACAAGGAGTCATTCAACTACTCCCTAACAAAACAAGAGGAATAGATTCAGCGTTCTAGGAGAAAATAAAAAAAATCAATTGATTATAATTACCATGAGCAATGTTCCATCAAATAAGCAATGAAAACCGAAGATTTCACAGTTCTTCACCTACAAAGCTATTTTACCCAATCTTCTTAACATTATTATTATCCTGAAAACATTTAGCTACAAAAGATAGTATTTTTCATTGTCTAATTATCCCTACTTATTGCTTTACTTTCCAAACAACTAATCAATCAAGTATACCTTATAGAAAAAAAAGATTGGTACAACTCTAATGGATAATATCTAATAAGCTTCACTGGCTGAATGGTAGGCAAAAATAGTTACACTCTTTAATTTTATTGAAAGAGCTGACGGTGCCTTTAATGCTCTAGGCACTTTTGATTGTTCGGCTTCACTTAGTTGGTTTAAGAGATATTTTTGAATTTACAAGAAAAGCGTTACATTCTTCACGAATCAGTTTGGGTGATGTACGTGCCATATGAAAAGAGGTTTTTGAGCCAGTGAATGAGTCATCAGAGACTTCGAAGACCCGTGATTATGTTAATGAAAAGAAAAGGCTAGAATCGGTCAGAAATAATCAAGATAGCTTTATATCTTCGTATCTGAATTAATACATTTGTCTCCAGTGTCTCCTTGTGCAGAAAGTTACTTGCCAGGCTTTTTGATACGACAAAAAGATTGCCTTCAAAGTCTTCTGGTTAAGATTGCTATTAAACAAACTAGAAAAGAAATTTCATTCCTGATTTCTATCTGATCGTGAAGAAAGAGAGTGATTTCTGCTAGGTTTTTGCCACCCATCTCAACCGTGACTTACAATTTAGCTTAACGCCATGAATAACTTATAAAATTAAACCAAAACGCAGGATTAATACAAGCTTAATCACGATCTAAATTGTCAACTGATCGTTGGGCAGCGTCCTCCAGGACAGCTAATGCTACTGCTTCAATTTTATTCAAAGCTATACGAAGTACGGCAAATGTGCCAGCGAAGGACAAAGTGCTAGCTATTGCTGACCCTATGAACGGAATAAAACGAACAAATTCTTCCGTAACTATTCCTGCGCCAGCTTCCCTGGCCAAAATCGCGGAAATTCCGGCGGTACTGGCAAAATTGAGATAAAGAGAGATGACCTGTTTTTTAGTGGTATCAGCGAGAATATCAAATATTTCCGACCCTTCTTTAGGAATACCTATCTGGGCTAGGTACTGACTGATTTCGTAACTTATTAGCACCATATCAACACCAAAAGATAGCCCAGGAATTGGAGCAAGTGCGACTGCAGCAGATGCTCCTGCAACGAGCCACATGCGCCTTTTGAAAATATCAACTTTTCTCTTTAGAATTTCTCTTGATAAGCTGGTTAGGGCATTGAGAGACAAGGTGAGGCTCTCTCGCTGATATCTTGGCAGTGCATCAAGAATCGCTCGCGTAAGTCGATCGAAATCCCACCTTCTTGGATAATGGTTGCTTATCAGGAAGATGTTGTCTTCACCGCTGATGGGGTTGTAATCTTCGTCAACCAGGTTCTTCAAGCAATCGAGGCGGATGTCGCGCAGCATGTCAGCCTCATTGAAAGATTTCTTTCGCTTCTCAGCCCGATAATTTTCATCGATTTTTGTGCGAATGAAAAAAAAAGACCTCCCCTGTTTCCTGATCTCTTGGGCCAACATGGCGTCGTTCTTGGTAAATCGGGTGCCTGAAAAAATAAGGAATGTATGATAGTTGTCGAACTGTATTTTGTCGCAGTACGTTTCCAGGTCAGGAAATGTTTGTGTTCCAATTCCTGGCAAATCCCAGATCTTTATGTTTGGATTTTCTGGGTGATCGAAGGGTGTGGGCTCTAAAGTAACCTCAACAACGCCAGTTTTGGCAGCACCATCACTATCGTCAGCGAGCCTAGGAAAGGAACAGGTGGTTTAATTTGTTACAGATCATTTAACATATGTTTTTACATATGTTTTTTCGTGAAATTAAGTCTTTGACTTTATTTTGGAAAATTTAGGTTTATAAATCAACAAAGAGCTAATTGGTGAATATTTTTGTCCGACATACTTTGTCTATGTCGAAAAGTAGCATCAAAACAAAGACAGTTTTAACAATGACCGATATGACAGAGTCTACTGAGCTTCTAGCTTTTAAAAGACAAAAAGATGGTTATAAAGTTACTGTAAATATTTCCTTGTGTAGTTGTGTTGTTCTATCGTGATACGAACTCAAAGTCCGGCAAAATTTACTAGCTAGCAACTATGAAATGTACATAGTGTGCCTACTTGTCGCCACTGTTTATTGGCATAAATCACTACAATTTGTAAAAAAATCTAGCATAATACTCTTACCTCATTTATTTGAGCGGCCGAACGAAAAAAATCATTCCTCGAAAACTAAAATATGTTTTCACAAAAAAACTACACCACAATTATTAGGACATATTGGGCTACAAAATACGAAAGTAGGGTAGAAAACGAATTTTGGGCGACTTGCTATAATATTTGAAATTTGCTCGATGGATGCTGACATCCTCTCTTAAATTTGATGAAAAAAAAATTTGTCAATAGTTAGTTCATCGACGGTGCGTGTCTACATTCGAGCCGTGTACACGAGTTGAAAGGAAAGGTGAGTAGGACCCTTTAAGCCCATAATTCATCTGATTTTTGTTTTTTTAACTTCAAAATTTACCTATCAGTCATTTAAATGCAAAATTTAAGAAATGTAAAATGGTTTCCGTGTTAACATAGCCTGATGTAAACACGCGGGAGGTTGGGAGAACACGAGATAAGCGTAGGAAACCACGACGCGAAGCGGAGTGGTTTCCAGCTTATCGAGTGTTCTCCCAACTTCCCGCGTGTTTACATCAGGCTATGTAAACACGGAAACCATTTTACATTTCTTTTATAAAATAACTAATGAAAGAGGAACGAAAACCGTGTTTACATACGCTCATATAAAATGGTTTTATGGCCAATCAGAGCGCGCGTACTATTTGAATTATTTTATAATAATTTATTCAAACCCTGGAAGTGGCTTTGTGTGTTCGATCAAAACAACCGTAAAAAGGCGCAAAAAGTTCAAAGTCTGGCTATACAGTTCAAGGAATTGTTCAGTCTATGTCCGAATCACTTTCGACGAAATGGAATCCTCTTTTGCGAGGTTTAACCATGTTTGTTTTCAATTTCGACGTAGAATCGCTCGAGTAAAGTGATAAGCTGGGTCGGCTCGTAATTTTCGATTTCCTTGGCAATTCCCTCCTCTAAACACCACTTTTTCCAAACCGTCAACCAAATAGCAGTGCTTTTTATAGTGTTTTCGTTGTTAGAGCTGTTTTTCAGCTACTGCGTTGCTATTGACGACCCCAACTGATCGCTACAGCCAACTGAGAAACGTTGAGGTTGCAAACTTCAGCCCTATATTGCTGAGTTTCCTTACCCTTTTATCGCGTTGGCAAAACTCGATTTGCCAGTTCCTGAGTCGCCAGTAATTCCAATGTGAACCTCTGTTTTCTTCCAAGCATCCAACTTCTCCTTTAAGAACTCTGAAATACCGTTCACACCATTCTGTTTAACATAGTTTTGAATCTCAGCTTCATCTGTCATTTCATGATCTTCCAGTGGAGTCGAAACATCAGCCATAGTGCTGGACCGATTGGTAACTGAAATGCAAATTTTGGACGGATTCAAGCGATGACACAGTTTCGTTGATTATTAAGCACTCCAATGAGAAACTTTCTTTTTACAGAGTTTTTGACAACCTAAGGGTGATTGGTCGAATTTAAAAGACATGCTGTCGTAACTGCATGCATAATTTAAGAAATAATTTTCGTGGGAAAGGACAGAGGATGTGGACAGCTCCGCTCCACTTTCTGTTGAAATATAAGATACTATTAGCCTGATAAATGAACTTAATATGAGAAAAACCTGCTCCCAAAAGATACATCCTTTATTTCAGCGTTATTCATAATCCAACCTCATATAAATCAAGTATGTTAGGAGTGTTACTAGTTCCTAAATGTGGCAAACCCCAAACCCAGGGTCAAATTTTAGGATTAAGAGGATATTGGTATGAAGACAGGGAAAAAAGAAATAGAAACTTCCTGTGTCTAGAGAACTTACGAAAGAAAAAAGGGTTGCAGTCGAAAGCGCAATCTTGAAAACAAAAGAATTAAGCGGGGTAAGTTTCTAAAGAAACCGCGGTGCTGCGTCTGTGGGCCGGAGAGTATAACAGTTATATTATTATCAATATCAATAATCAATCGATCAATAATTTATTTAACTACGTTATCATCTAAGAGCACAAGAGCTCGTTCAAAATATGAACGTGCATTTAATCTACAATTACAGTAATAAAATCTAGTATTAAAAAAAAGAAATTTAAATACATAATCTATTATCTACGTACACACGAATATAAAATGTTATGAAAATTACATACAAAAAAAATTAAAAGTATAAAAATTGCAGCTGAATTGATCTTAGCTTAGACTTAAAAAACATTAACGTCATCGGCCAGCTTGACATCTTCTGGAAGTTTATTCCATAGTTGGGCGCACTTGTAAGTAAAAGAGTTCCTCGTAAAATTAAGATTAAATTTTGGAACGCAAAGATTAACACCATTTCCTCTTAAATTGTAAGACGTTTCTCTTATGCTAAAAAAGTATCTAATGTATTTCGGCTCTATATTCCTAATGTATTTAAACAATAGGATCAGAGATTGCTGCTTTTCCCTGCACTCTAAAGTATCCAACTTACATATATTTAAGAGGTCTTGGTAAGATAATAATTTCTCGTGCCCTGTCGGTGTCCTTAATATGTAATGATTGACGTCTTCAATTTTATTGACCTGAACTTTCCCCACCCCTAACAATAGGGGACTACAGTATTCTAGATGTGGTAAAATGAGAGACATGTATAATGCTAGCATGACGTCCACGGGTACAAAACGCCTAATTCTCCTAAGTGCGCAGGTCTTCGCATACGCCTTTTTTAGCTGACTAGAAATATGCTCTTTAAAGTTTAACATGCTATCAAGTTCACAGAAAAAGTGAGGATGTTACGGTGACACCAAGGGTAGTGTACTTATAGACCATATTGGTGTTGACACGACACCAACCAAGTGTAATCAGACAATTACACCAAGTTAGTGTTAAGTAACACCAACTAAGTGTAAGCGAAGTACTGTACAACACCTTGCTGGCGTTTTTTTACACTTTCGCTATGTAAAGAAATGCCCTGCAAGGGTTCAACACCACCGGTATGTAAAGTCACACTGAATGGTGTAAGTGTGTAAAATTCAGTGTTAAATAACACCAAACAAGTGTGAAATGTCTTAAACGCTGGGTTTTCTTTTTCAAATAGATCTGAAGTAGAATGATGGCGTATAGGCTGAGAAATCACAAAAATATTCTTGACATTTCTTTCATATCCTTTTATAGTGAAAATATCTCAGTTATGTGAATCTGTTGTTGTCAGGTGGTGAAAATCGACCGTCGCCTGCCAAAAGGAGAATCCTAAAAGGGGTGAATTTTCTCCAGAGAGGCGATTCTGAAGACACGATGTTTAAAAGTATGCCGTGAAGTTGTCATTTGTGTTGCGTTGACTTAGAATCTCAGACTACAAGCAAGCTAAAATACTTGAGGTATAAGTTGACAAAAAAGCGTTCACTGATCGATACTGAATTTTGTTGTAAGACACTCCACCAATGAAAACGTGTATTGGTAAGAGTTACGCCCAAATATTTGTGTTATTGTAGACATAAAAAGTAGAGGATAGAGTGTGTTGCCTTGTCATGGGGATGGTCATCGCGATCACGAACCTATCAACGCTAACGAGTTTTAACTGACTAAGCGCCGCATCGGCCAGTCGAAAAATTTAACAAACGCCGCGGCACTTTAACTGGTAAATATAACGTAATAAAAATCTTTTGTATTTTTTAACAACGCATCATAGTATCATTGCCTAAATTAACAAATTCTCGGCGTTTTTCGGAGTTTTGTTGCAGAATTCTCCACTGCGTTAAGAAAAATCTCTGCGGAGCGCTGGTTCGACAATCAATAGGACTGTATCTTTCCGATTTCTTGCGTTTATTTACGATCCATACAGTATCCGAACTTTCTACATTCAATCGTTCTCCAGTCTTCTGTTGTAAGATATTGATTCTATTTATCTGCTATTACAACGGAAATACACGCCTAAACTACGTAAATCCAAGATTGACATTACTTAAGCGTGATTTACTAAAATCCCAAGCTATTTCCGGTCAACTTGATTTTAACAGTTGTTTCTCATTATACGCCGATGTACTAGTGATTTAAAGGAAGTATCTATTTAAATTCTTTATTATATAAAACAAATAGATTCCAAGTTACCGTGCGTCTGTTCAGTAATAGATCACAGAGGACGTCAAAACTTGGAATCTATTTGTTAAAGGGCATGTAAACCCAAAAATACATGTTTTTCTTTTATTCTGTAAAAAGTGGCGCAGAAAACGAATTTGAAATTCGTTTTGTCCAATTCGACTTATTTTAGGAGAAAATCGGCATTTTCAACTGAAATTCCATTTCCGGTAAAAACAATAGCGAGAAGTCGTGACGTAAGCGGTGGAACCAAAATATTGCGCAACACATATTCCCCAGTAGAACTGGTGTGGGAGTTCGTGTAAGTAGCGGTAGTTCGGAAGATGTTTTTTCAGAAGATAGCGACTCGAATGCCTTAAGCTTAGTACATGACAGCGCTGGGGATAATCCAGAATCTTCAGGAGAGTCTGGGCCACGTCCTTAACAATATGAGCCGCGTAGGGTTCACCGAAGCGATCCGCACGAAGACAGTACAGAACATGTCGACAGCGATGCGACCGTCTCGGAAACTCAGACTGGTATTTAATTTACTTTGTGATTTATTTGTATTTAACATGAAAATGCAATAAGGCGAGGGTACAATCTAAAGGAAAGCAACAGATTTTTTTTTAACTTGAGCTTCTGAAAGTGTTTTATATAAAATTATCAAAGGTGCGAGTGTGGAACTTGTCAACCAATGCCGACAACTCATGAAAGTGTTTGTTGTACGGAAATCGGGCAATTGTGGCAAAATGGCCTGAAACCCAGATAAGTTGTATCACTGAGCATCCAGGTTTTCAGTCAATTTGCCTCGATTTCTGGGTGCTGAAGACGGCCAAGTACGCGTACAGGCAGCAGCAAAGCACAGATAATCACACCGGAAACGACTAAGCTAAATATTTTCTGTTTCATCTGTTTTGTTACATTTTGAGATCGATTTACTTGAGTTGTTTCTGCCATTGATTTAATAATACAGTACTAGAGCTAGTTGTTTTTTCGCTTCTTTCCTGGCAGGAAATTTCGCTAAATTGCCTACAGATAGCTTGTTCGTTGGTGTTGGGGATATCTCGGCAAACACTTTAGGGTCGCTGTGCTATCTTGTGCGGTAAACAATATCCTTCATCTCAGAAGCATTTCCATCGATAAAAAGTTGTATCATGTACATTTCCTTGTGTGCCCTTCATAATTATCCAACCCTGTTTGTGTTTGCTTCGATTTGAAATATTGAAAAGATAGTTTTGCAAGCTGAAATCAGGATCTTTTAAGTTGTACTCAAAATGATGAATATTGTCCTACTGACCTTTGAATGCATTTTCACTGCTGTAAAAAACCGTGACACAAATTCTTCTGCTGTTTCTCTGCAGGGTTTCTCAAAGGAAGCACCAAGTGGGGCTGGCTTGGATTTTCTTATAGAACATAAGATGTTTTTAGAGAACCAATAAAGCTATTGTTGTTTAATTAACAAAACGTTTTCATGTAAATCGATTTTGTACTTTCTCTGTTGACCTCTAACTTTTGAAGAGCTCAACTTCTTTCTCAGTTCGGTCGGCCACTTCCGAATCCTCGTCGTCTGCCGACTGTATGGGTCGTTTTTATACTTCCAAATAATTTGCTTCTGGTGAGGCCTGAATCGTCGGTACAGCACCAGGAAGAAAAATGACTGCCACAAACAACAGAACGTTCGAACGGCTCGACGAAATCGGCTATTTTCACTTGAACAAATTTCACAAATTGTCGCTTCAAATTTGCGTCATTTGGAAATATTTGCATTAGGCGCCCCCAGTTTTGTTTGAATCAGTACAAAACTGGACGACACAACGCTTCACCATTACGAAAAAATTGAATATATTGAAGCAAACTGTAAGTAAAAAAATCATGACGAGACCAGCAAACAACGGCTGTAGGAAAGACTCCTTCGTGCCTCACGCGATTATAAAACGAGACTTTGGAGGGTCCACCCGTGACTTCACACGAAAGATGGCGCCATTCAAGATGGCGAATGTTTCGAATTTGGAAGAGCTTTTACAAAGTGAAAATGGACTTTTGAGAATAAACGAATGGTACCTTCGGTGTACTTGATATATTTACAAAACATCTATGTGAAAAGAAAATGAACGTTTTTTGGGTTTACATGCCCTTTAAATAGATACTTCCTGTGTCTAGAGAACTTACGAAAGAAACTTCGTGTAACTGACTCCAGGCGCGATTACCTCAAGTTAAGAATTGAAAATAAAGGACGTCGAAGCACTGATCAAGAGCACTGAACTTCGTGTTAATTTCCAAGGATTTATCTTGATTACAAAATGCCAATGCTCAAAACCGT